ATATCCGGTAGATTTTGTAGTGGATAAGCAATATAATTATTGATTGCAAATGGAGCTCTTTTCAATACATTATAAGATTTGTATCACTTCCTTCTCTTAACGACAGAAATATAGCTAAGTACTTTTAAGTACATTTTAAAACAGCATGTTAGTAAATCTATCTACGTGATGCAATGATTTAAGATTTTATTGTACTAATAAATTTAACTTACAAGTATATTAGACTTTATTCGATTTTAGAATAGCATTAGTAAACTATCATCGACTTATTTATATATTCCACACAGGTATTACCTTATCTTTATATATATATATATGTCCCTGCATATACACGGTATACATTCTATATATATAGCACGTATATTTACAGAATCTAAAGGAAGTAATGTGATAATAAAATTAATTTATTATTGTCACACCAATCAAAATAAAAAACTTAATAAAACCTAAGTGGATATACCGTATCAAATTAAAAGCAAACTGTAGCAATATACTCTAGATTGTTCCATTAGTTTACTCATTTTATACTAACGAAAATGAGCAGCAATGGCTGTTGTCGATACAGAACTTTTTCTCTCGAAAGATACATCAACGAATTCAATTTTGACATTTCATGTTATAGAAACAATATACCGGTATATTATCAACACATAAACAAGTATATATTAGTAGAGTCTATACTTAATGTCACAAAAGAATGGATAACAATGAAGTTTAATTATGACTGTCATAAAAAAAACGGCTAATAATGATGCAAAGGTATCAACCTATTAAAGAATATTACAAATACAAATATACTATATTTTTAAATTCATGAACGATAAATCATTCCCAATCATACCTTATTAGATAATAGATTGCATTTAAATGATAAAGATGATTACTTCTCAAATTATAAGATAAAATAAGATTAAATTAATGACAGTTAAAAATGTTTCTCCTGTCTTAAATGGATACGTATATTACATAGATTAAGATATCCAGATGGCATAATTAACAATTAATAATTTCAAGAATGAGCTATATAATAATATGAAATTAAGCAAATACTATAATTGTCATGATAATCTACAGGATAGAATTCTATTAAATGTCATAAAATATTAATACCATTATAATTCATTGTAGCTTTAATCGATAGGTCCCGCTAACGGTTACAATGCGAATACAAAAAATGGTAACCATGATAATTATTTATTGGGATCGATAAGATGCTCCTAGCATATTCTATAATTCTAATGGCTTGAATATCATCAAATGACCATTCTTACATAAAAGTATCATATAGTAGCGTCTAATTTGAATAAAGCGGAGCGAGAAATTTATCGTGGCTAGTATTTTGCATTGATCTATATGACTTTCTTATTTTGATTTTTATCTCGTCAGCAATTATATCCATGAATGGAATAATGCATTATTGATTGCTATCAATGAACACTTTCTCGCTATAGCTTAAGTAAAAATTATTAGATTAATTTAATAACAAGTGATATATATACAGCACAATATGAATTATCTTAGTTCAGAAAAGATGCAGTAACAGATAATTATACTGTCTTTTTCGGATAGTTTAACATTATGATTATTATTAGACTGATACTTTACGGCTAATTGTATTATTACTTCACTCTTAATAGCAGTGAAAGAACCGTACACGTAAAAGATAGAACAGTAAATGAGATCAAACTCGAATAAGACAAAATTCATCTATAAATTCAGATCGGATCTATCAAAGTTTCTTACGGATATAATATTGATTTTTGAAGACTTATAGAATGTTGATTTGCTAACCTGATTGATCAAAATCTTTTGAGCTATCATGACGTACCAAAACCAATTGATTAATGAATTATTAAAGACTTTTCTTAAATTCTCATTTTTTAATGCTTGAATTAAAAATAAAATCACTTTATACATTGATATTTGCTGACAGCCTTCTTGCATCGATCGATTATATAATAGTGTTCTATTGATGCCATTTTTAAATTCTTGCCATCGATAGATATAATGATTCAATACCAATGTTGATAATATTTTTATTACCGTTGCCATAGGTGTTAGTGAAATGTGCCATGAGTAGACGCGATACATAGACAATAATCATATGGATGCCAAATTCAATCATTACAATCCAATTTTTAATTTGAATATTAACCTTGGACTGGATGTATAATATTGAATAACTATAATAAGAACATCAAAATCTACATTACGAACGAAGCGTAGCGTCTTGAATAGAACTGCATCATAAATACTGGATTACGGTCATGATTTTGTGGCACAGAGACGATAATGGAAATGGATGCTCCTATAATATGTTGTTTGATTAAATGATAATATTGAGATGACTGGCGAGAATACGATTTTTTGTTATAAATTGCAACTGGATTAGTTAGTTAACGTTATGAATGATTAGATATTGAGAATAGCGTTAGCCTGTCTATTATTTTTTTTTTACGCTAGATGGAACGGCGGCGTTTGTTTTTACGTATTGCGGTCTAAAAGTCTTCTCTGGCGTCTTCTTCTTCGATCTTATGAGTTGAAGAAGCAATTGGTTAATAATATTATATTAAAAATTTTCTCTTTAAGATACTTTATAACGATCTAACATCACTATAGTTATCTGATGAATCATAATCGTCATCGGCTAAGTGAACATTTTCTACCGTAATAGCTTGAAGCGTAACAGGTGGTCCACTCTGCAATGTTTCCGACGTTGAGGAGGCATTTTTGGAGATGGTTGATTTCTTTTTAAGCACCTTATGTTTAAACTTTTTACTTCGGAGCAAGAAAATAATTGGATTGGCAATATTACCAATGTAAGTTACCATTAAAAAGTTGTATTGAAAGACGAAGGCAAGTGCCGGCTCGGCGAAGTAGTCGTAGAGAGAGACTACACTATAAGGAATATAAGAGATCTGATAGGTAATAACAATAATACATAATGTCTTAGCCAAGGCAATTTCACGATTACGCCTTTCTTGTGACATTCCAGCTGCTTGAGTTTGCCGCCGCTGGCTATAAGTATTAACTCCATTAGCATTCTTGTTGATGATGTTTTTTTTATTCTTTTTAACACTGTTCATAACACGAAAACGACTTTGGCGTACTTCTAGGTAGATTTGATGATAACTCCATCCGATAAATGTGGTTGGAATCATGACCACAAAGAGAATTAAGCAGATATAGTAAGAGGCAACCAAAGAACCTTGGCTATAATAGTAAAGTGCCGCACATACGCCAATATCCGGGAAATACGTATAACTACCCCATTCATCCAAAGCTTGTGGCAAGGAAAAAATTAACGGTAATAGCCAGTTTAATGATACCAACACAAAAACGCCTCTCTTCTCTTTAATCAATTTCAGATAGCGAGGTTTAACGATAGCTAGGTAACGTGTTATAGCTAATACAGTCATGCAATAGATATTGACAATGCCGAAATACAAGGGAACAGCAATTCCAAAGCGACAAATTGGAGTATTAGACGGATGAGCTAACTGGCCTAGATAGACTTTTAGCATATCGGGAAAGATAAAGCAATAGCTATTATACGTGCCGATAAATTATTTCACCATAGGTGGTTGTTTAGAAGTAAAATAGCAAGGTGTGAAAGTGTTACCCCAATTGAACGATCATAGCGTTGAAACCAAAGAATTTATGGTAGGATAATATTGAAAAGAAAAGAGAGAAATTAAAATTATGGTAAGCCAAAATGATAAATTATTTTTCGAAGGAAATTTTCTAAATATGAATAACATCCTGTCATTAATTAGACATAAATACTTAACAACTTGATCGATTCATCTTTTGATGAATAGATATTAAAGGCTGAATAGTCATTAAATATGATTAACGTAATACGATTGAAAACGTATAATTAAAAAGGTGACAACTAAGAGGTAAAATAAAGTATTTTTAAGTTTATGCTTGATAACAGTAAGAACTTTTATTCGGTAAATGACTTAACAAAACCAGAATCAAGGCTATTTTAAGCCTGATCGTTAGGTTAATTTTAGAAAGCATCAAAAAAAAAATGTCGTACTATTAATGTTATTACTCTTTGCAATGTCCAGAAAGTAACTATACTTTTTCTTTCTTATTAATGAAAGTAACGTTGTAAAGCTACGGAAGAAACCGGCAATAAGATGCGAAAGATGGACTAATTTTACTTTAATAAGGGTTTATGATAACGTATGTAATAGCCGTTAAAAGTAACTCTGCTCCGTTAGTGACGCTTAAAGTTGATGATATCTTATGCTAGGATTAGCACTACTTTATGAAACAATCGTGAAAATTGGAAAGATATCGAATTTCTATTTCTAAATTCATTGGATTTATGTATTATCAACGTCCTTATTGAGTATACAGGTGCATCTAGTTTTAGTTTTTAGAGAAGCGTAACGAGTTAACCTCGACACGATCCAAAATCATCTTACCTAGCGATGCAATAAAGTCCATCGGATAGTGCCAAAATGAGTATCATAATATCACTTAGTTTCATGTTTTTTTTTATGGTGTAATAAGCTACCGCAGCATTACCAGGTGCTCCAATACAGACGAAAAACGTCTGTAAAATCATGAATACTAACGCATTTTCAGGAGTAAAATTAGATTTGAGCATTGAGCTATTGGTCATCACGCTCGGCGACGTGATTAATGATGTCGTTGTGTTCATTGTAATTTAATTTAATTAATCGCCGCTACAACTTCTTCTTTCAAAGATGGTACAGAAATTAAGAAAAGATTTGGTTGATGCTATACAGTAATGGAGTCCAATGTGGAGAGACTTCCAAAAAAAGAAAAATTAAAACTATAATTTAAACAGAATTCCGCAGGAAAAAATTTGTAGTAACGTTATCGACAAAGAAGATTGAAATAAGAAACGAATTGTCTAGAATGGCGGATATTGAAAGATGACAGCCGCTTTTAATATAGCCAGTATTTCCGTTGTAATTTTCAGTTGCCAAGTCGGTTCAAATCAATACGCAATCAAATTAGCCAAATTGATAAAAATTAATGAAATAAAATAACTAAAAATTAAAAATTGACTAGTCTGGTCTGATCAAAGTATTGGCCTAGTGGATAAGAACGGCGCTAGCGAGACAACCACTTTGAGAACAACTAGTTGTATACTGATGGAGGCAAGTTATGAGTCACGCAAGAAAAAGGAGTGGGCAATTTTTTTCTTTTTCACCAAACTTCTGTATATTGTTTTATGTTGATTTGTTAGTATCCGCTGAATTGATTAACGTAAAAATCATTTGCATCTGTTAGGATGATAATGTTGTTTCTATCTATTGTTTATTGATTCTACTATCCAATTAGAAATAACAATATTGTACTAATTTCCAGTTATCATTCTAATTGATAATTGTATGGCTAACTAGGGCTAAAGTTGTTATTATAAGATCTACGATAAGTCTTGAGTAGCAGTATGGATTATCGAGAGAAGTCAAGCATACCCAATGCAAGGTGATATAACCTTGATTCCTTGACAGTCTTAGAAAGAGTAATTCTATTTTCGATCAATGCTATCTATTCTTTTCATTTCAATAAAATTAGAAAAGAAGGCAATATTATCGTCTCTTGATCATGATTGATACAATTACGGATGCCTCATTATAAATTATAGTCGTTTATTATTGTTTACTTGAGCTTTTCAACTAGTAAATCTCACTATGATCCAAAAATCCACCTTAAATTAAATCCAACCAATTTCAATTTATCACCATCAATATGGTTGAACCGTATTTTCTTATAATATAACTTTATTGACACTAGACTGTAGTTATATTCAACCAACGAGTTGTTATAAGAAATTATGCTGATGACAGCGATAGTCGATGATTGAAAATTATAATCATTATAATAATCGCTTATGACAACAGAGTAGATAAAAAGACATCCATTGGATACTGATCACTCTCAGTGAAGGATCATTTTTAGCGATTCTAGTTACCACAGGGTGAATTTTAAAATCGATTGTTCTTTCACTTTTTCAACGTGAAACCCTTATTTTAATTATCGTTGTAGCAGTTATTAATAAATGATTATAAAAGCTAGATTAATCCATCTATGATAGCATTCCAATAATTCTTAACTATGCATCTTAAATATCCTTATCATATGATTAGACTTCCGTTGTGGACTTCCTTTGTTAATAAATTTTTATTTTTGTGCTCGCTTTAGTCGGAAGACAACAGCGTCGATACAACATCCACATTCCAATTATTTCTCCATTGATTGATCAATTCGACTTGTTGATTAGTTGGTTAATCGATTGCATCAACTAACTAGCGTAAATGGCATTTTTAGATATAGACAATACTATAGCTTGTCGATTATCAAGGTAACATCTGCAATTACATGGAGAATAAAAAATGTGCTAACCATTTAAGTATTTTAACTAATGTGAGAAGAATAAAACAATCAATCGATTGGATTTGAAAGTGTGGCCTACAAACAATATGATTGCCTTTAGTCGATTGCCAACAAGGATGATGACTTGATCACTTCATCATTCTCAGTCAATGATGCTATTTCGATCTCTTTAATCATCTTGATCGCCATCGTGTTATGAAATAATTAATATATATTGTCAATATCAATAGTTGACTTCGATTGGCTTGCAATCTATTCAATTGTTATCAACAAAAAAGCCAAGAAGAAAATAGCCGCTGTTTGATGAAACAATAATAAATGCCTACCTGATCCATCATGCAATAGTGGCATTGGAATTAATGAGGTCAAGGTGGTGAGATAGATATTTCAAATAACTCTTATTAATGACAACGAATGGGTTGAGTAAGAGAAACAATCATTTGCTTCAAGTATTGATTTATGAATTGCCTTCTCCTTATCTAAAGTATAATAAGCCCATTTCCTAAATTGATTAAGAATGAATTTTCGTTCTACATTATTAAGCAACAGTTTTATTCTCTTGCATCTATCCTTGAAGGTATCATTGATTGAATCCAATAGAAGAAATGACTGAATTTAAAGTGGCCATTGTTAATCCTATTAACGACTATGGCCTGTTACTGCTTCACCTTGTGTATCTTATGCATGATCAGTAAATTAAACATTTGACTTTCTACTGACTAGAACAATACAACATGATCAAGTAATGGACCATATTTTCTCTTCCATCAGCACGAATTATTCATCGATTATTTGTCCAACCTTTCAAAAAATGATAAATTCATTTAGTATTCGAGTATCTAAATTGAAAGGATGATTTTTATGTCACTAATGAATCAACGGTTATTCAAATTACTAACAATAAACTTTGATCATTTAAATTCAGTGTTGTGTTGGGCAAATTTGAATTGAAATTCATTTTAAAGGAGGCATATTACAGGATGATATTTCAACTTTTTTTCTAATCGATATGTTACAAAAAAGTCTACCATGCAAGACGATTGCTATTATTATCGGCTATCCAATGACGAGGCAACTGTCCAGCCAACGAAGTCGATGTTTTTTTTACCGTATCATTATATTGATATATTGATACCTGTCATCTGTGTACATTGTCAAAATATTTTTAATGTTGTACTTGATTATTTAACAACAAAGTCCGTGGACGTAGTAACAGATGGTTAATCCATTGATGGAAATATTAAAATACTATTATGTCATCGTTGCATTGGTAACCTTGTCAAGTGGATAGCTGTTTCTACTTCATTCATGCCATGTCATGGATACAATCTTAACTTATGTTGATTTGACGTAGTGTATACTTGTATACCATCAATATAGAGTCAACTATTGATAGAAGAGAATGATCGATACAACAGGCACCAAAATTACATCTGTTTTCATTCACTCCTTGTCAGTATACGATTACACTACATGGATTTTCGTATAAGCAAGTACTCCTGGTTATGATCTCGATTGAAAAATGGACCCATCTTCAGGTGGGGTTATAAGTTATAACCATGGCATTGAGTTTGGTTGCGGCTTTATTGATTCAACAAAACTTGGAGCATATTTCTTTGTTATTAAGGTCGCAACGTTAAAGAATAAACAGAGGAGGAACAATATAAGGCTTAAGGTTAATTTTTTTTGTCACAAGACAGCCACGTAATTAAATAATGATGGATAGCAAACAATAAAAAAAAATCAACGAATATCAATCTAATCGAAGCTGCCAATTTGTGTACAGAAGACACGAGGCCCTATTGATACAATGTATCATCCGAGACGATCACCATAATTGAATAACGATCATTGGCTATGATAGCAATATGCAACTAATAATGGACCACATAGAACAATTTAGCAACAGTTCGTATCCCAACGTTAAGTACGATTAAGATGCACTCTGTAATTCAGTAGAATTGTACATTTCATGACTAGGAAAATAGATTGTCGAATGCATAATACGTCCATGATCAGTTCCCAATATCGCCTGCTAGCTTTGCATGAAAGAGCATTAGAGGATGATTTACTTGCATTATAGAATTGATAACGCTATCCTCGACATAGTTTGACGCTGTGTAATGAAATTATGGTCATTAGGTTATCATTCTACTTGCATTATTTTAATCCTGCAGACTTTATACGAATTGTATCAAATTAGGCTATTGATCCATTCTATGCAACAGTGAATTATTCTAATAATGCTTTTATTGTTGTTTATGAAGAATTATTTAGTACAGTATGAGTAGGTCAAGTGAAGACAATTCAAGGCCAATTAGTGATCACGTCTATCAATTTACAAGCTATGCATGCAAATAATTACGTACGGTCAAGATTTCAGTTTGAAAAGAGTCGCTTGTGACTAGTCGACGGCAAGAATCATTGATAAAAAGTGTCGAATTAGTCACCATACCTGTAACTAATTTTGATTCACGACATGATTAGACAAAAAACGATCAAAGTGCCGGTTTGTTCAGATTTCTAGTTTTAATCCGACTGCAGGCGGCAACTAATAATGATCTAGGCACGATTGGAGAATTCGATTATTGCGCTTTTACTGTGTTCTACCTAGCAGTACCGTCATGATTCAATAATTGTTGATTGCTGATTAATCAATCGCCATTGAATATCCAAACGACGTCTCATTTTAGTGTGTTGTATAGTATAGTACTTGTGTATACATCCTATTTCTAAACGAGGGTCAACTTGACCTGGCGAACTTCTTCAATACTCATGAAGGATCTAGCTGCAGCTTTAACTCCTACTGGGGAAAATGATAATCCTGTACAGTATACTGGAAAATCTTGTGTACTGCATTATGAGTAAAAGGGCTGATTGTCTTTCTCCCCTTTTATCCTTTTTGACCGTGACTTGTGACAGCCTTTGTCTCTCCATCTTGAATTAAGCGCTTGCTGCACTGAAAGCTTCTGGCTATCCCTGACTTGGCCCACTGACCTTCCCGTAAGCTATAAGTCATTGTTTCCATTCTAGTATTCTTTCTTTCTTTTCTTCCTTCCTAAACGAGCTAGTAGGCTAGTGCATTGCTGCCGTAGCAACCTGCTACCCGTATTTCTGGCTCACGCGATTTCTCCCGACCGTTATAACGGTCGTCGACAATCTACTCGTATTTTCACAACGTCTACAGCATACGTAGCCTTTCCAATTTCCATCTCCCATGAATGCAGAGATGGCACCTGCAGTCATTGATGAGTGCATTAAGGATGCAGCTGTCTATTCGATGATAGTGCACTGGTAAAATTCTATCCTTGAAATTGGTTGCAATGAAGAAGGAAAGGAAACATCATCTCCTTAGTGCTGATATACCGTAAAGTAATGCTGTCCTTCAGTGTACTTCTCGAGTGCGCAAAACAGGTATGTACACCCATACAGTACTGTACATTTAGCGTACAATGCACATGGGACTTGAACTCTTGAAGGAGTCCATGGTCTGTACGTCTGTAAGCGGTGTACACGACTTGAACTCGGACTCTAGGGTGCGATTTGGGTTCACCATTAGCGTGGTGATGCAAGTGTTTGGATAGTGCTTGCAGTCATTTTGAGTTCACCATTTCTGTGGTGATGCAAGAGTTTGGATAGTGCTTGTAGTCATTTTGGGCTTAGAGAATCACCAACTAATTCGATCGAGTTCGGCTTGCGTTTTCACTCCATTCAGCCTTGAAGCCTTTCATTAGCGCAGCCGCTATTGCAGTTGTTCTTAGACTTATGGCTGCCGTATTAAAATAACACCGTTATACGATAAGCATTGAAGGCTAAATAACTGAAGGGAAAAAATGAGCTCCATGGATGTTACTTCCATCTTAATAAGGACTCTAGTCCGGAAAGTAAGGAGTGGACGGCAACCAGTGCGAAATAATGATGAGGTTGACTATTCTGGGATCATTCTACTATACACGCTATCTGCGCATTTGTAGTGTTACCTCAAATAAGCTGAAGACGAACATTCTATAGTCCAGAGAGAGTCTGATTGCAGCTAGATAATCCTTGGTAGCTGTAAGACGAACCCAATCTCATAAACTAAAGTCAAGTTTTCAAGAAACTGGAGTTCTTGCTGTATTTTCTATGCATGTCTTACCTGCAGTATGCGCGTCTGTGTAAAGTCAATGTCGTAAATTAAGCATCAGTCATAGCCTAGTGCAAAGCTTGTCTGCGACATCAATTTTACACACTGTAGGTCTACACCAGTTTTGCCCGTCCCTGAAAAATAATAATAATATTATTATTATTAAAAAAACTAAAATAATTATTATTAACCAGGGACGGACGGAGAACGGAAGTTATGTGCAAAATGACCATTTAGCTTGACTATTTTGCGGTCATTCTACTATACGCTATCACTGAAACCGTCTACTAGACTGTACAAAACCAACTTAGTAACCGCCAATCCTGGATAGTATAGTGCACCGTTTTAGACATACGATTCCATTGAGATGACCAGCAAAATCGTCAGCTAGATCGTTTTGACTCTACTTGATCTGCTAAATAGCGCTGTTGAAGATAACTTTCTGACTCGATATCGAGAAATCAAACTGAGTAAAATTGATGTACCGTATCACTGGTATCATACTATAACCTGCCCTATTCAACCTACACAAACAACACCAGTCAAACCATAGTACAGTATGGCAACTGGATAGAGGAAGATTAAGCCAAACTGCGCCTGAGCAGTTTCAAACTTTGCGCGGTTTTTTGTTTACTGCCTAAAGATTGCCACTTAATCCTCGCTAATCCTCGCTGTAGAGCGTTGTTTTAGGCCTACAATAATTGTCAATTTTAGATTGCAGTGTTGTAGATTGAAATTAAAACTTGGAAATACTCTTGCAGCACTTCTAAAACTGCAATCATTAATCATTTGTTGTGTGGAGGTTCTATGTACGATGGATTGAGTGGGTCATCATGTTTCGATCTACCTCAACATCGCCAATCAAGCAAGAGTGAAGAGCCAAAGCCAAAGATTAAACTACGATATACAAGTAAAGGAGAATTGAAATCTAGCCTAGTTTGCTAATTAAGTTGCACCATTTCCGATTGAAGCTGTTTATGACAAGTCAAAATGGAAGAAAAGTTACAAGAAGTAAGGCATCCTTCTTATTGATAAATCAAACCCTTGCAGCTTGATGAAACTACGATCAAGCTACCACTATATAGTATAGGCGTACTGCACTTAGTGGACTGAACTGTAGTTTGGTAGTACCGTAGACAAGTAGATTTAGATATTGTTTCATATTTATCTTGTCTAGCTTTTGCAGTAATCTTATCATGAGAAAAACTGTAGGTAGTATCAACGGATAGTTCTACACGATTTAGCCATGATACAATAGTGTCTTTTCTAGCTTTTAGCGCTGATAATGAGGAATACTGTAGACCAATATCAATTTATCATCTTTCAGTTTATTCAATAACAGTAGTTCACGATCCAACGGTTGTATAGCTTCCTTGATGTCTACTATAAATTTAGCCATGATAAATACTGGATTACAGTATCTAGCTTATGGAGTAAGCATATCACATAGAATCAAACCGACCGATCATTTATCAATTGATGACTCCTTGTTGTATAATAAATACAATTCATCATGACAAGCATAGAAGAAGTGTAGGTGGGCTTGAAGCTCGCTTTCATTAGGATACTACTTCGTCGGACGTTGGTAGTTTGGAATGAATGGAATACTGTAGCAAACGATCAAAGCATAAATATTGAACTACTTTCTATTTGTAAATACATGTATGTACTGTAGGATAGTACTAGCAGGATATAAGGCAAAATAAATAACTCAATTCGAGTCCATGTGCTGTATGCAATGATAATGATAAGCAAGTATTCCTACTGTAGTAGCTGTAATACAGTGTCTATCCAAAATTGTAAATGCAACGTTTTGTTATTAAGATCCATAGCTGGCTTGAGAGATTGTTCGATGGACAACCTGTACCGCAATACGAAGTCAATGCTACTACTATGAATATGTTGGAGAATTTATATAAATTAAATCAAGTTTGTGACAACGATGCACACAATCTCATTGAAGATGTTAAGCAAAAGGCTTTAGAATATAGCTACGAAGGTAAATGAAAGTACTGTTGTTATAGCTCTAAACAATCATACGCGTATAGTATGTAGGATTGTAGCCCATTATTTTCGACATCATTTGCAGAGCTCTGCTGGATAAGTAATTGTGTGTGAAAATTATTGACACTCGAATAGTATAAAGTTCTTGTCCCTGAAATACTTTTATTGACCACGATAACTTAGCTGGTTGTAAATCGATCATTTTCATAGTAGTATTTACATTCAATATTACCCAGTAGTAACGTGAAGCACAATATTACATTGCATTCTAGTAATAGGAAATTAGGATAGGCATAATTCGGGCTCTTTACCCTGATGGATTGATATCAGATTTATTTACTTTTTCAACGGGAATAGCGCTATTTAGTTTTTTAAAGCACATGAATTTAATATTTCTTAAGCAAGTGTTTGCAACTTTCAGCTCTTCGACTATCGACAATCCTTTCCACACTTGGACTAGACAAAAGTAGCCTATCACAATCCGGCAATGTCAGCTTAAACAACCTAGCTAAAATAGCATTAATTCTGAAATTAAAAGACACCTCGATAAGTAGGTATGCAAGCAAAGAGTTCAACGATGTAGTATATTCATGGAAGATCATACATACTAAGTGCTATGGTGAATTGCTATGATTGCACATAATTAACGAATGTGATTATAGTTATTAATAATTACAACTTTGATATGGACGCCTTTTAGTTACTACTGTGGCATTCATCACTTGGCACGCGACACTAGATCAGTAGAACGAATGCACAACATGGAGAAAAGATTAATTGATGCCCTAACTATCAAGCATAGGGACAGTATTGTCAAATCCAGTGCATTAAAAAGGTCTGTCATTTGGTATAAAGGGATATCTTCTCTGCTTCGCTTACAATAGTGATTGTGTAACATGATTATGTAGGACATTACGCGAACTAACTGACCATGCAGCTGAAACTGAACCAAAATTAGAGCAACGTTTGCGAGAAACAGCCTTTTTAGGACGTAAAAGTCAAGAATATCAAAAAATTATTACAGAACTAAAGGTATGACTTCGCGAAATTATATTCTTAGCATGATATTATTTGATAAAGCCTTAGCCGATTGTATTCCGTCTTTAGCAAGTTTATAATGTTGTTTCATATCAATGTAGTAAATGGCAGATTATTTTATATCGCGTTCAGGTTATGATTAAAGCATTTGTCATTAGCAAGCAGCGATATCGACGCGTACGGTGGGATTACCCACCAGTAAAATAATTTTCAGCTACTGCATAGGAATCAAAAGTTATGCCGTTCTCCTATTAATTGCATTAAAATCTTATTGCAGAATACTTACGCTGGATAGTTGTACTATTTAATGTTAGCAAAATATCATAATATTACATACGCATATTACCTGCTTAGGGTTCTGATTAGAGTCACGTTTATCTTGATTTTGTTAAAGTCATTAATGCATAAATAACAAATTTCAGAAAGCAAATAAAGAAGTAAATATGGATCCCTCACTTTATCATTCCAACCTTGTTAAAAGAGCAAAGGTTAAAAATTTACTAGCTAATAATTGTTTAATAGTTAACGTTATAACTATCTCAAGAGCTCACGGTATCACACTTAGCTACCATAAATTATGATATACGTAATCAACCATCAGTAATTGATTTTAGACGTTTGTTTAAGTTATATGACTAATAACAAGCCCACTGCCGTTTAGGATCTACAAATGCTAAAAGAAGAACTTGCACCATTACAAGCTAAATGGAAATCATACCATAGCTTGCCAGCTGTAAGTCGTCCTTTAAAGACTGCAGATAACGTTTGAATTGATTCATGTAAATTACATACCCTTATGGTACATATCTTTCATCATAATATTGTCTACTCTCTTAGGATATTTCATTAGCAAAGGTCAAGCTAGAAGAGGCAAAGCAAGAAATGGTTAGTTGGGTGATAAACTAATTTATCCGAAATTGTTCTAAAGGATTGATCTAAATGTTGCTATTATATCTCGCTATCATTAGGTGCGCCTTGAAATGGAATTAGAACGGCGAATTGGTAGCATCTAAAATATTATAATTCGGTTCTATCATCTGTATATTTTTATATACTCGTAATAGATCCTTGAATAATCTTGTTCGTGTGGGAAGAAAGAAATGTATATTCCGTATCTTAACCGTTTTGCTCCATGCGAAAAATAGCTATAAAACAATAACTTCGAATTAAATGTAGCCGCAAGCGATAAAAGCTACATTGATAGCGTTAGAAAGGCTACGATTCGGATTTCTAGTACCATGTTATCGTAATACTCGGCTAACACACAAGTATTACTAATTGTAAAACTTTTGACATTGTTTACGTTTTATCATTTTATTTGATTAAAATTTAATATTAGATGGTCAAGTTAAACTTTAATATTTCATGTTGACCTTGTTTACTTCATATCGCAAGTGCTACCTAATATTACAAGACTTGATGTTTCCAGAAAGTCATCATCATATTCATGAAGCCTCGGACTACTACAAAGCATTCTAGAAGTCCGTAACTATGATAAAACTGCAGATGCATAGCAAATACTGTACAGTTGGCCTGAACTACCTGAAGTTGAAAGGCAGGAAGACACCAAATTTATAGTATCATCTGAAATAAAATGAAAACAATTTCCGCCAAAGCGATCGATCCGATTACAATTGACTACTACAGTACATGCATGATCCATTCAACATCCCACTGCTTAAAAAGACGATCCAAGAATTTTTTAGATAAATATTAAACACAAATACATTAATACGAAAAACATTTAATATACTATTCGTATGTCTGAAAAATAATTAACCATGCCAAATAATTCGCAATAGTCGACATAGTTTGATATAATTGATTTGGATTCTATCTACAATCTTCCATTGCACTGCTCATGCATAGTGCAATGCTGCAAAACAGAATTATGCGATCCACAAGGATAGATAAACAAATAGCAAATTATGATAATAACTAGAGCATCACGAAGCTTTAGCCAAACACTTGTGGTTTGATATAGCCTGGCCCCGTACCTACAGTATGCCGATATAATACAATGTGATGCAAGTGATATAATATCTTAAAATTGATCAAGCATCTCTCTTTAGGCAAGAATCTTCATAAGAGTCGGTAACACTTAAAGATCAAAATAAAATGTAAAATTCCTTTGACAGCATCCATCAATTTACAAATCGGATTTGTACCATAAATTATAACGTACGTACATTACAACCTACTAACCAAGGACACAGTAAGATAATGTGGAACGTAACATCATGGCATGTAAGCTAATAATTATAATTTATCCAAGTGCATTGCATATGTCACAAAGAAATATACTTTAACAACGCAATATAAACCAATTAGTGAGTGTATCAACTATTTTAGTAATAATATACATGAATATCAGTTTTATATTATTAGCAACAAAACGCCATGAATTATTTCTTCTACAAATACTTTCCAGTCTTCAACAGTACCAACAAGTGATACAAACTAATACCAATAATCTTTATTATTAAAGCTTTTTCTTTTTTATGTATACCCTTGGTGTGTTGTCACCATCATTTGTACGATCCCTAGTTCGTGACCATTCTAGCAGTCCAAAGGACTCTAATACAGTATCATCAACATACCAGTGCATTTTAACATCGGAATCACGGCGCTCCTTTTGAGCCATCGATAAAATTTTAACCTCTATTTGTCTTTTAGAAATTGCATAACTTTCAATCTCACTAGTATGACTAGGTGAAACCTGGTTACTATTACTTGTAATATCAGTAGAGCCTGAAATCTCGTCCGATTTACGTTTAGGACTATCAAGGTCAGAGTTAGCTGCAGACGATGCAACCTTTAAGCTATTTTCAGGCTGTAAATCTGCTTTTATCTCATTTTCGCTTTGCTTTTTATACCAGAAGTCTCTAAATTCTTCGATAAGTCTCTGAAGGCTATTTGTACTACCATGGATCAATTTTATTAAATCTGGCAATGCTATACATAACAAATACAACAAGATTAGAAACTTAAATTGCTTCTCCTTATTACAATGTAAATAAATTAATAATGACTATGCTAATATCTAACCTTCTTCTGGAACTCTACCCTCTTTACCACCCCTACCACGACGAGTTGCAGGACTATTTCCATTTTTGGTGTTGCTTTGATCGCTAGTATGTTTTTCACTTGTCTTAATTGACTTTGTATCTTGAAAATCTGGATTAATAGGAAAATCGAGCAGTGGTTTACAAGCACAATTCTCGAGGAGGTAGTGGGATTTTCCTGTACTCGACCATGAGCATCCTATTACTAAGGGCTGTAATTGTTTACACTTTCGCTGTATATCTGCTTCCCAAGTCTTAGCTTTAGTAACAGGCTGGAGAGATTTTCCTTCATTACCACCGTCATTTTCATCTGAGCAAACACCTTCATCAGCAGATAAGTATCCATGCGGAACAAAAAATCCGTCATCATCATCTTCATCTTCGTCAGATTCCGCTTCGTTCTATCATAAACAAGATTTTTTTAATCGAATCATTTGGAGAATGCAATCTGATTAGAATAGCATCACTATATAATTAAAACATTGAAAACTAGAGAAATTGGTTGTATCATGCATTTTTATTTCAACCTCTAGTAACATTGGTCTTGTTCCAACATACCTCACTCTGAGATAGGCTTTCTCCTGGATCATCTTCTTCCCAATCTCCATCACTGTCGTATTCATAGTTTACTAATTTCTAAAGCCAATAAGGAATAAAATTAGAAAAAATTTATTTGTAACATATAAGACATAAAATTCACAAAAAACGATGTCCAGTAACCCTGCATGTCATCCACTTGTCAATCACAATTACCACTAATAAATTAGTATAGTAAGCAAATTCTACCTCATCTTTACGCCAAGGATTTCTTGGAGAAATTGTTTTCGAACTTTTTCTCCATGTACCGAAATACGCCGGTCGATAATTGTCATGAAATTGCAAAAATTTAATGGCTACCATTTCTTGATGTCTAAATTGTACTTCCTCAGCTGCGGTTATTTCCATCACTGCTTCTTGACAAGTATTCGAAGACTTTGAATTTCGAACAAGAAAGACCTGTCCGTTGGTGGCATGTTTTGCAACCATATGATAGTCATCACTATTAGCGTCTTTATTATTGCTTCTTAAACTCTTCGAAACAATTCCTTTGGAATTTCGTAGTTGTTGGATAGACAATTCTCTGTCAAAATCCTATCAAATATTTAAACAAATCATTACCACTTTCTGGGATGACTAAGCAGTCAATTATCGTAGTTCCATAATATTTGAGATAAATACATGAGACTATTTAGAAACCTGTTTCTGTAACTCTTCTTCAAATTTCGTTGGATCCAGTATTGCAGACGAAACAGTTGGCGCAAGCGTCATACCTGGTTTCAACTCAAAAGCTGGAAAATGTTTCAGGCCTTGCGCTGGTGCAATCTATAAACGGTAAATGCAGAATAATAAACTACATACATCTCAGGTTAATTGTAGTGATACTGTGGAATTCCTTTTATTGTCCAGTTAATTAAACTGGAAGCATTACCCATTTATTCTAAAAAATTGAATAATGTAAATGTAAATACTACCAATTATTAAATCACTACTAAGCTACCATAGAGATTTTTTAACTATACCTTTGTTGATTCGGGTTTCGGTGCCTTGATGAAAAACTTGGCGAATGTGTCACGCTCCTTCTGTTTCTTGCGTAACTACATAAAGATGGTAGATTTACTTTTTTAGGTCAAGCAATATCATATAGGTAGCAACAAAGCTGCAGCATTCGAGCTTAACAATCTCGAAGTATATCCCTCCAATAATTAATTAATCAATGTGCTCAATACATCTACCATAATCATACATATTCATATAATTTTAGGAAAATGCATAATACTGTATGGTGACTCAATCATCATCGTTAAAATAAAATAATGTTAATCTTGAATAATTGTTTAAGTATATCGGCTAACCTCTTCATTTTCAACCTTTTGCTTTTCCTCCTCTTTTTTCCTTTTTTCTTGTTGACGAGCACTGCAGTAGGGCATGAAGAGAAAAGAAATTACAGACCATCATTTTATTTGCAATTATTACTGAATGTGGTAACTTGCGATACGAAATACTATACTATTTTACTGCGTATTTATAGCCCAAGATTATACAAATTTTACATTACAATAGTTTTGCAAGTAGGTATAAAATAAACTTAAGGGACATACAGCTTGTCTTGTTCCTTCTGCTTTCTTTTCTCTTCCATTAACTTATCTTTGGCTTCTTGTCTCTCTTTCTTTTTTCTATCACTTTCTAGGCGTTTCTCCTCTTTCTCCTTCGCCAACTGCTCACGCTTTATTTCTAGCATAACTTGTCGTTCCTTCAGTTTTTGCTCCTTCTCTTGTCGCAGTGCTTCTTTCCTGTTCTCTTGCTGCCTTCGTTTCTCTTCACTTTTTCGCTTCTTTTCTTCTTCCTGCTCTAAAAGCCTCTCTTCCGCTAGGCGTCGCTTCTCCTCTCGCCTCTTCTGACGTTCTTCTTCTATCATTCGCTTTTTTTCTTCCTCTCTTTGCAACCGTTTCTCTTTTTTTAATCGTTGCTTTTCTTCTTTTGCTTTCTTACGCTCTAGCTCTTTTAACTGTTTCTGCTTTTCATCAGATTCAGGATCTTTTTTGATCTTCTTTTTCCTGGAATGACTATTGTCGTCGCTCTCCACATGGCGTTTTTTAGGTGAGTCTACGCTGTGACATTGATTCAGTGTTGTATCACTATCTTCGTCTTCACTACTTTCTTTCGATGTAGTACTGGTGCTATATGCACATTCTTCCTTTAATAATTTATTGAGTGAGTTACAATCAGAGATCGATTCCACCTATAAGCCAGGAGACATTTAATAGGAAGTTAATGACATTAAATTAAATTTGTACCATTTCTCTCTCTGTCCATGTGATATTATAATTTCAGTTACTGATAGACGCAGTAAATGTAACATAAAAGTGTAATCCAACTTAAAATTGAGTTTCTATAATGGGTTACAAAGTTTGTGACTAAGTCAGTGATTACCATTACAACGATTTCTACTGTAAATCTTGTACGTGTGATACTACTCAAGTTTTAGGAAACATTTAAGGTAATTTTTTACCCCTACAGCAACTTCAGGGGAACTGAATAAACCAATGCAAATACGCGAAGCACATTTTTTTGAAGGTGTTTCTTGTTTTCTATTAGGTGAAGTAGGTACCATTTTTAGGTCATCCTTGGATTCAGTTTGATCACATTTGTCCATTGAGGAAGCATACGTTATTGAGCCTTCATCATGTGCACTCAGGTCAGTCATGTTACCATTACTAGTTGATTGGTCTTCTTTCGATTGAGACTTTGCGCTGGATAGGAAGGATGTCAATGGTGCTGGAAAAATAATTGGAAGTTTAAAGTTAGCTGTCAAGCAATAAGCCTTCCAATTACCAACAAGTACTACAACAACTAAATAGGTATACGTAATGCCATGTATTAGGGTTTACTTTAAAATAGCCACACGTCGAAACGGCAAGCATAAGCGAGTTAATCGTCGATTTGTTTATACATACGCGTCTATCGCTAATGACAATAATTCTGAACTTCAAATGATATCAATGATATAGGCGATTTTTACTCTAGTATCTAAATGTCTAATCAAATGTGATGGAAATAAATTTAAAATCTATCATACTGTAAATAGTACGCTAAATAATCTTTGTCGATACCACAGTGCACCCTCCTATACAAGTTTATGAGATGAAAAGTGAGATTTTCTTGTTGCATATAATATCATCCACCTATATTAATAGGGTATCCTTACTGAACGACGACCATGCCGATATAGACGATGATATTCTCAGAGTGTCAAGAAAAAATTGAGCAAACGATAGAATAGTACAGGGTATGGCATATACTTGCGCGCACTACAACGTCTTTCTAATGCACACACACTCTTTCCAATGGGCTATGATGCCTGAGAATTATCCATTTTCTTACCTTGTTTCATCTTCTTGTGACTGCCGGGACTGGATTCACCCTTATTTTTATTAGTATTGGCATTGCTGCGATTTGAACCTGTAACAGAAATGCTGAATTCAGTGTACGTATACAGTACTCTAAAAATAGCTAATCATTGGATTTGTTATTGATCGTATCCTATGGGCTTTATCCAATAATATAATCTTATCCAGTAAATTGTCTACTCTACTGCACATGTAACAACATGATCAGGGATTACTGCAGTTGTCTCGTTTCCTTGTCCAGTCGATTTTAACAATACACCTTTTAAGCAATCTTTAATACTTGCTGAATTTTTTTTACTGACATTTGATTAGACATGCCAATGTAAAACATGAGATTAAACTAGCAGCTAGCATCTGGGTTGTTTATTGATTCAATTGTAACATTTCCAGACTTTTACACTACATCTCAAGTAGTGGACGTTGCATAAGAAATAAGCTAAGCTGCTCCTTTATCTGTGCATCCAATAGCAAGCATCTATTGAGCAAGATCGCAAGTAACATACCGATGGATTTCGCATACGTTATAAAGCTGAATCTGTACCATAAATCTATAAGCATGCTATTTTACTCCAATAGAAGTTTGTTTTCCCACCTCAGCCTGGTTAACAACCACTTTCTGATTCGCTACTTTCAATATGTGGTAGAAAAGAATGGATAGATTGGCTATTTATGGATTGCGTTGCCTAGTCTCCTTCATTAATGAACAGATTTTTGTGAACCACCTGCCTTGAGCAAGACTATTTTGTAGGATACACAGTACATTGAGTAGGATCTGCCTATACTATTGTATAGGAGTTGTATGCTTACTCGTCAAAACAGAACTGCAGCAAATCGATATGTGGATATTGCATTCTTGATCTACTCGATCGATTAAATTGATTCGTTGAATGGATCGGATTAGTAAGATTGCTAAAGAGTAGAAAACTGCAATTTGTGTGCTTATCCATCGCTAATACAAGTATGATGAAACTAAACTACGGTGAAATGGACGAGTTGTTTGGTACTTTTGTATGCAGAATTGTGTTTGACATGTTGGATTTTCAAAGTTGCATCCGCCCCGATCGATTGAAGTCGATATAGTGAGAATAGCAATGGATAGCAATGGATTCAATTAGGCAATAGGAGAGGAATAGCCATTTCTATGCCTAACCTCTACAGGCTATTCCTGCCTATTTCATAATCAATACTGTAGGATCGACTGTTCTAGCAAACTATCCCTTGCAACGATAGGAGACAAAACAACCAGCTTTGGGGGAAAGCGAAATATTACCATACTACTCTATTGTACTGTATTGTACTTCGTGGTATCTCTATTTCATCGTTGAACGTATTTTTATCGACATTGATCAACATTGAAGCGATCCATGACTGATGAAGAGAATGAAATCAAAGCAATACTGTCTTGTCCATGGACAACATTATCCAATCCAATTGATGTTCATCGATGCATTTGCTATGGCACACGATGACCTATCAGGCCACGACAACATGCCATCACCAATATCAATACACTCTTTCTTACCTAATATGCTATACCTAGCCATGATAGCAACAATTGCCTACGCTAGGAGATCAATCCAATCAAGGAGTTTCGATTCGATGCCAAAATAATGCTTCAATATTACCAAACTATTCTATCAAGAGCTTGCACGTAGCTGGCTTTCCTCTCCAAAATTTGCTGGACAAGGCACAAATGACTAATGGAAGACTCATTGGCAGTCTGATACTGTACCGAGACCGCTTGAAGTCGAAAATTGGCGGCAATTTCATCTCCAATCGCGCATGCGTGGGGCTTGTGCCATGGCTACAACTCAACTTGCAGCTCTACGGAGTGGTGGACAGTCTGAACGGTCGGCGATGAACGCGACAGTATACAGCACTAGATTGGCGTCCGGACGTACGGTTATCCAAGGCGTATTGGGGCATTTTCCTACTGTATTGTGCCATCATCCAGTACCGCTATACTGTACGCTATTACGTTTGGTCCAATTGAAGCAGTATTTTGGTATTGTACAGTCTGTCGGTCAGGGCCAGGCAACGACTGTCCTCGAAGGCTCGAACTACAGTCTACAGTACAGTACAGCACTGCACAGTGTACAGTGTACAGTACTGTACTGTACTGTAGTACGAGCGGGATTACAGTCCACCGTCCAGGGTAGGTTGCTGACGTCCAGACGTCCAGTACCGTACATGTAAGGGACTGGAAAAGTCATGCGCAGACGTTAATAGTTAGGACAGCCTTTACAGTGGCTGCATCAAGTGTACTGTAAAGTACAGTACTGTACTACAGTATACTGTACTGTACTGTACACTGTACTGTACAGTGTACTGTACAGTACAGTACAGTAGTACCACGACTGTATCCTACACTGCCGGAAGGCGGACGGACCTTTTCACCAAAATGCGAGCCCTCAATATCCCAAAATGACTACTTACTGCAGTATGGATCTTCCGTGTCCGTTTTCTACATCACTGGCACTAATTGAAATAACATTGACAATCTTATGTAGCTGTTTTCAAGCAGAACTTGAATAACAGGTTATAAGATTCAATGGGATATTACTTCATTTAAAAAAATCAGTCCATTTACAATCGACCGCCTGCATACTGCATATGCTAACGACGTCTTTAGCACAATACAGTAGTCGCTGGTTATTAAGCCCACCTCGGGCCCAGACCAAATAGGCTTAATAAGCCCAGCCGCGTATTAAGCCCAAAACGGCTTGGTACGGAATTTTACATTGCAAAATCCGCCGGTTAATAAGCCCAGCCGCCGGTTATAAAGCCCAGTTAGCTAACAGATTAGAGCGAGATTCTCATCTCTCTGCACCCCAGCGCCTGGGAAACCAGTTGTGCGTGTGCATTTTTTGGCCAGTCTCAAAACAGCGTTCTATTCTAAATTTTTAATACATAACCAAGCACTACACATATATGTGCGTATACGTATGTATAGTGCTTATCCTGCGTTTGCGTTTGCACTCCGGTTATTGCGCCCGCCGCTTATTAACCGTGGGCTTAATAACCGGCGACTACTGACTGTATTTGGATGAGATGAGGCCGGGAATATCTGTCCGTCCAAGACGAATCCGGCTAGGTCTTCTTCTACGGTTGTAGGCAACTTGTAGTCCGGTATCAAAATCAGTGATTGACATTGGTCACAAACCTCTAGACAGAGACCGATTGAATGCAACGGTTCTGCATATCGATTTTTTACCTGTGTGGATCTGCATTTCAAGCTAATATGAGTTGGTGTTGTATAGAACGATGACTCATTTCCACGATCAATACTGCCGCTCAGCCGGCTCAGCAGCTATCCCTCCGCTTTGCTAGGCTAGTTTGCTCCCATGGAATAGGAACACTATTCCATACTAGCATACTAGCCTGGAACAGCTAGAATTGAATCTATCCGACTGCACAGTACAGTATAAGCAGGACTACTAAAAGAAGGTAGAAATTCTTTTAGTGTTTCAACGTCCACAATCCCTGCCATAAGCAGTCAAAGTAAACGTTTCAGCGATACGGATGCAACGAAATGCCACATCTGCATAATCGGATGAGCTTAAAAAGAGGCGGATAAATCCAAAAGTAGCAGGACAAAAATACACAATTTGACCACAGTCCTGCTAGGTTGTGGCCAATGAAAGTGCAATAACAAAAATGAAAGATCGAAAATCCCGGTCTAAAAGCTGTTAAAACTTGATAACAGAGCTCATCTCATAGAATATCCATAGATGGCACTCCCAAATTGGTGAGCTTAATTACCCTCTTTATATGATACACGGAGGTATTTAATAGGTTGCAAGTTTCGTACAGAAGTAACAGACAGCTCTAAAGCCAACTATTAAACTTTTTTCAACAGACACCTTTTTTTTTCAGTCTAAATCCTATATTGACGCCAACGTTTTATTTTCAAAATATTCATTTGCAGTCAATTAATACTTAATCAACTTTAAAAAATTTATGTATAGAACCCTTGATTTTTTTTATTTTTCCTGTATTTGAATGGAATTTTTGACTATGTTAAGGTACCTGAAATCCAATTTGCCATTATTCAAATTGAGTTGATTTGCCATTAAAAATGTCCGTCCAAAACGTTTTATTTTCAAAATATTCATTTGCTGTCAATTAATACTTAATCAACTTTAAAAAATTCATATATAGAACCCTTGATTTTTTTTATTTCTCCTGCATTTTAATGGAATTTTTGATTATGTTAAGGTACCCAAAATCCAATTTATCATTATTCAAAATTAAGTTGATTTGCCACTAAAAATGTCCGTCCAAAATATTTTGTTGCAATTTTGTTAGCCACTCCTATTTACGGTACAGTACGGTATAATACTAAGTATCGTAATATACAGTGTACAGTACTGTAGCATACAGTACAATCTAGTCCAGTAATGATAGACAAGCTACAACTGCCTAATCATCATGAAAATCAACTCAATACACTCAGTACATCAGTACCGTTTGCGTTGTTATACTACCTCTAAGTCACCTGATCTTCGGCAGCCTTTCCCCTCCATTTCCTGCGAATCCTATACTAAGACTACTTGCTTGCCACCGCCCTTGAACATTGTAGTCGTTACCAAACCAAACTCCAAGAGGAAGAACGCTGCGCCATTGCATCGATCACCTACAAAGAAAAGGATTATTCCCCAATTTATCCTTAAAATACATCCTTAGACATCGAAAATGGCAGACGAAGACGATTTTATGTGCGAAGATGACGACGACTACGATTTGGTTAGTTAATGAGACGTTTTCCTATGACTGTAATAGCATATTCTAACTTGGATTTGTGCAGTTACCGTTGACAACCGCTGGCGGATTTTGCTTCCATGATACTCTTAACGCGATATCGTTGTCAATAGCAGTGGAATATTACGATATTGAAGCTGTTCAAGAGTGCAATGGAAACCCTATTTGTAGCCTTACTGAGATAGTATTCTGTTTTAGTAGAGAGGGATTATTTTAAATGGCCATTCTCTATTATAATAATAATAATAATAATAACAATGACGATCAGATATCGTTTACTTTCTCATTTCCATTTCGGTAGTCGAGGTTGCACACAAGGTAATAAATGCCTCTCTTGCAAGCTTGATGAAACAACAGTTCCTTTCACTTAGACGAAAATGATGATATACGACCTTATCGACTAGTATGCCATGAGCAATGCATTGTTAAAAGCGGTGAACTTTGAAAATTAGGATGCATGCCAACTCTCGATCACAATCGTCTTTCGCCTACGAACACATCGTGCATGAGACAGTACAATAACTATTGAAGATGTTAACATTTCAATTAGGATACAGGCCAACTACCTGACAACGCAATGTGGAAGGTGTTAACTACTAAATTAAGATGTAGCAGAACTCTCGACCAGAATTTTAGTTACCTTTCAGCGATTTGTCAATATGCGTTACGCATCAGTTGTATCAATGATTCATGATTGAGTAGTCATAGCAATCGGGAAACGCCACCAATGCCTATAAAATTGGACTAAACGATCATGATGAACATCAGTTATTGATATGGCTTGCTTACATTGGATGTGGATGACAGTATTACATTTTGTATATCGTCATTCACTCAATAAATGAAGAATTATGTTTGAGTACTACAGTATAATAGCAAAGTCCTACCTATACTAGTAGATGTACCATTGACCAACTGGTACATTAAACTCAAAATGACACTTGCTCAAATTATAAACAAGAATATTTCTACGCTGTAGGATTACTCGGAAGATAGCAACTCTGAACCAGATGTTGATTTAGAAAATCAATATTACAATTCAAAATCATTAAAGGAGGATGATCCGGAAGCTGCTTTAGAAGGCTTCCAAAAGGTAAAATAAAGTATTAATATTTGAATTATTGCAACTTAATAAGCACTTTCTACATGTAATTCGTATGACCTGGCCTTGTAGGTACTTGAATTAGAAGAGGAAAAAGGTGACTGGGGCTTTAAAGCATTAAAACAAATGATTAAGATTAACTTTAAAATGGTAAGACGAAATTCTTATCCCTTAATCTGGATGTGGGGGTCACTAATACAGATTACTTTTCACCTTGTCTATTATAGAAAAAATTCCATCAAATGATGGAGAAATATCAACAGCTATTAACTTATATCAAGGTTAGCTAGACGATCAACTGTACCTAACTAATTAGAACTCTTTTATTACCATCGTTATCTTCGCACTAGGCTATGCATCCATGTGCCTATCCTAGTATCATTTTTTACCTCCAGTAAAACAAAAGCAAACATTTTCAGCATTTTATAACTAATTTGATTTTATTTAGAGCGCAGTCACCAGGAATTACAGTGAAAAGTCAATCAATTCTATCTTGGATTATATTTCAACTTCGGATGAGGTAAATTAGTGGACTCAACAGTTTGCCGTAGACTAATCATAATTATTAACAATAAAATAATTATTTAATCAGTTTATAATCATGAATTTATGCCCAATACCCTAATATTTTGAAAACATTTTCCACTTTATGTAGGCCGATTTACTACAAAATTTCTATGAAACGACGTTAGATGCATTACGCGAAGCTAAAAACGAAAGGCTGTGGTTTAAAACTAACGTTAAGGTTACTTACAGTTCAATAAATTCTGATATTATAATGCCATTCTTTTGTTTCTTCGCTTTGTTCCTGCTACCAAAAATTACCAAGTCTAAATGTAATGCCCTTACTTTACGTAAATAGCTAGGTAAGCTGTATTTCGATCGAGAAGACTATGCAAGATTATCGAAAATTCTTAAGCTTCTGTACGCTTCGTGTCAGGTACCGTCAAGCTATCACGTAATATCGTAAAAAGAACAAGTACCAGTATTACATTTATATTATATACAGTACAGCTCTTTGTCTATTTAAATTTCACATCAATTTAGTCACCTACGGGTACTCAATTTCAACGTGTTATCAAAATTACAGACTACTGACGGCGATTACGACTTAAAGAAAGGAACACAGCTGTTAGAAATTTACGCCTTAGAAATACAAATGTATACTGCTCAGGTACTCGAAACTCTAATTAAATAATATGGGATTTTCTACTAACTTCAAAAACCATTTCCTTGCTTCCAATGCATGAAATTAAAGAAAAATAACCAGAAGCTAAAGGTAAATAATACGCTTGAGCGTAGCATTTCATCTTTGGTAATTACAACTCAAGGATATATACTTAATTGATTAGTTAAGCTGCAAGATACACTGTAACAATGATCAGTTAACAATATCTACAAATGAAGAGCTGGTACTACCGCTTATGTTGTATGTCTAAACGCTATATCACTATAATTCTCCTTTAGGCTTTGTACGAGCAATCTTTAAGAGTGAAATCGGCAATCCCTCATCCGCTTATCATGGGAGTTATCAGAGGTAGAATTCAACTCAACTCTATCTTACGTATACCATTTCACAATTGCATTTAGGAATATAATAAATTTTGCTTGACTTTTGCAGAATGCGGCGGAAAAATGCATTTACGCGAATGCCAGTATGAAAAAGCACATACCGACTTTTTTGAGGTAAGAAAGCGTGACCTGCGTAGTCATTCGTAATTACTTAACAAGAAGCAAAGAAGATGTAAAAGGTTGCAGAGATGCAGGTTGAGAACTCTAATTTTATCTTCCAGTCGTTTAAAAATTACGATGAATCCGGCAGTTCCAGACGAACAAACTGCCTCAAATACCTAGTCCTTGCAAATATGCTTTTAAAATCCGGAATAAATCCTTTCGATTCTCAAGAGGTAAAATACTAATTACTCTCTGTTGTGATCCTAGCGGTACAAGACGTTCCTAGTAATTCAAGTCTTCTATGTTGTTTATAGGCGAAGCCGTATAAAAATGATCCGGAAATACTTGCAATGACGAATTTGGTCAGGTATGGTTTTAAAAAATGGGACTACAGAATCTACCCATATGTTTTACAACTTACTGTACATTTCAAACTTCTATGATCTTTTCGTAAGATGACGATACGTTAGTACTTGTAGCTTTGCAAGACAACGTTGTATCTTCCTATATCTGTCTACGCTTAAAATTACTGATATAATGCTAAGTAATAATATCTTCTCGTCGCAGTGCCTATCAGAATAATGATATTACTGAATTTGAAAAGATTTTACGAACAAATCGTCAAAATATAATGGATGATCCCTTCATTCGTGAGCACATAGAAGGTATAGTGAGGCAATAGGCTGCTTGTTTGTGCTTAGCTGTCCTATCATTTTATGTGGATAGCTTTTATGTAACATTTCTTTTTAAAAACAGTCTTACTCAAGAATATAAGGACCCAAGTCCTCATTAAATTAATAAAGTAAGCGATTTTTTTTTAAGTTATGGAATGTTTGTGTTCTGAGAGTTCTCAAGACAGTAAATTTATCAATTTTGGTTCACTTATGAGCATTGTAATACATTTTTGTAGGCCTTACAAACGAATTCGAATTCCCTGTATTTCCAAGGTTCAATCTTTAGTAGGCGTAGTAATCTTGCTTTTAAAGAGATTGATTAATACGGATTGCAATTATGTTTTTGTAATAATGCGACAGGAACTAAATATTGATGACACGGAAGTCGAAAGTCTATTAGTTTCATGCGTACTCGATAAGTAATTAATATTGCATTAACTATGTTATACTACGTGGTGAACCCTGTTCGACATGATATGTTGTAAAGTTACCATTTTTTTAAATTGCTATTTAGGGTAATCCACGGAAGGATTGACCAAGTCAATCAAATATTAGAATTAGATCAGGCCTCCAGGGGTGCAGAAAGGTAATTGTTTTATTAATTTTAACATTTCTATTACAATATGTAAATATCTGAATTGCAGTAGAGTATATATTTCCTTCTTTTATTAATGTATTCATAGATATTACGCGATAAAACAGTGGACATCGCAACTGGATAGCCTTTCTCAAAGAAATCTAAATAAGATACAGTAGTTTTCTTGTTGTATTTTGGTATCATATATTAATTGATAATTGTTGAGAGCAATGAAGAAAAGTATCATAAGTTAGGAAACGTTCAATAAAAAAGTTATCGCGCAAGCGAAGTTGTTACTTAGCTATCATTAGCTAAATATTTTCGAGTCGATAAATTACAAAACAACATGAGTCATAGTTATTCAGCCATTGAGTGGCCGATGCAAAAATAGTAAAAGATTACCGAATTTTAATGATAGGAAAATATTTATCAACTTCGAAAGAGAACGATGGACAAGTCTGCAAATGAAGATTTATTGCTTTCAGTCAATGGTATTAACATAACTGGCAAATAATTACATTATTCTAGATATCAGAAAAACATCAAACCTTAGACTCCTTCTTATGGCCACTTGCCAATAAATTCATAACTACCATATTAGTTTTCGTAATTTTTATCAAATTAGTTACCTGAAGAAGATACGGACAAAATAGTTAGCTTCATAAATCAGAGTATTATACTCGTACTGTTTAATCTCGCCATTACGACATTCAATACACAGCATGCCAGAAGTATGCTACGCGTACAATATCTAATATCGCTACAGATTGCAATAAAAAAGTATGTCCTATTTTCTTACATCATCGTTAGGCTTTGATATCTCCTCTAGCTTTGTTTTAGCCATATTAAAAAATTTTGCTGATGATGAATAAAATTCCGTAGCCTATAAAGTAAAGAATAAATTATATAATCTATAGTGGCCTACAAAACCTTCAGTTGGTCAATGAACAACATCATCCTAGACTTTTACAGCATTTGCAAACCTTACCGTTGCTAAAGCAGCCCGCGTATACTCTCTAACTTCAGTAAATTTTTCGTAAGTTATAAGCTGAGGTGAGTAAACGTTCATAAATGGCAAAATACGGTGTTCGTAACGTAACTGAAAGCAACACAAAGTATTTTAATGTACTGGAATAATAATAGAAAATGTGAAGAAACCGATCCGAATTACAAATGCTTCCGGTAATGTAACCGATTTTTGGTCAAGTCTTTACAAACCTTTTCGTTATCATACTTAGAATTTTGATGAGCCATTTTTTCCTGCTTTACAAAACCATCAATTGCCTGCAAAATACGATGCATATTTTCTCTAATGTACAATTCATATTCAAATTTATCTACCCTTTCAAAGTGTGCAACGGTAGCAATCCGCTTTACTTACCCTTAAATATCCTTTACACATTGACTGCTTTGCATCAACTAGTTGTATCTCCAAGGTATGTTCGGAAACTATAGCAAATAAAATTTCCCGAATTGAATACACTGAAAAACGACGTTTATAATAAATAGTAATTACCTTTTTTTTTCTTTTTTGATTTCTTATTTTTATTTTTACGAAAATCCAACGAAGCGGCTTCATGAGCTTGTAGATGTTTATCCGCAGCGTACAAGCAAGACAAGCGGTGATTGTAAAGATAATCAACATACCTAATTTTAAAATGTAAATACATCTTCTTCGTAAGTTACTGGTCAGGTACCAATCAAATTTATTTAGCATACAAGAATTTACCAGTATACAATGTAGTATTCATAGGTTCCATACAAGTCAAGTTCAAAACCAAGTAACAGATAATATTCCATAATTTTACAAGTATGATATAACCCCCAAAGACCTAAGTATGGACGATGATGCAGCTAAAACAAGATGAATCATATAAATGATTAGCTCAATTTTTACACATTAATTTAGCGTAATATTGCTAAATTCGACAACTAACCGTTATATTGTATTGTATAAGAAGTTTAACTTACTTGAGAGTCAATCCTTTCCATAATCACATTTAATTGCTCATCACATTGGGAGGCCTATTTCATTTGAATACATTTGCAAAAATTGTTAGATAAACGGCAGCCAAATTATTGTAGCATAATCACACTATCTATTATTATACCTCTTCCTGCATCGCTGACAACTCTTCCAATAAACCACCTATCTTTTCTCTCTGGCGAGATCGGTTGCAACAATAAGTAAATAATAATCTAGAAATTGGCTGAAGTAAAACGTACATTTATTATGATAACTTTTAAAATCTCAATTACCACTATGTCAGATTTAGAACATTTAGCATACACCGTCTGATCTTTCAAAGAAGGCCTCAGATATTTCTAACGCGCGCTGTGAACCTTTCAAAGACCTAAATAAAATAGGTTCACGTTACGACTGTGCGCTAGTAATTGCAGCTCTACAGTACAGCAAAGTAAAGAAATGGCTACGATAATTTGTGCATAGTCACTTACGGATTATTCAATATAGGGGGCTGAGTAAATATCTTAATAGCTTTCTTAATTATTTCATTCATAGCTTTTTTATCATTGCAGGATTTGAAAGTTTCGCAGAATAAATGCTAGATTTGAGTACCAAGAAAATGACCCAAGTTTAATGATTGATAGCCACAAAACAAAACACTTATAGTGTATAGTTACATTACAAACCTGCAACGCTGACCGAGATAAAACATCAGGATTATCGCAGCTAAAATTTGCAAAAAATTGCTGCAAAATTGTTGTCGAAGTTAATAATTAATCTGTTGATAAATTATAAAAATTTCTTCCTAAAATTTTCTTACTATTATATTATCAATGTTCGAAATTTCTACGACTTCCGTAGCGCGGAGGAGACGACCAATTAAAGTATATATATAGTCACATGCCTTTATATTGATTAAAGAATTTATCTCAATAAGCATTAAAGTCATTTATTGGTAGGTGCAATAGCTATAAACCTTTGTTCTTTCCATAATTTCAATCGCTTTAGGAAATTGGGACGGTAAATGTTTCATACAAATTAGCGGATTGAAACCCATCATACAATTATTACCTACAAAAAAGATCAATACCTTAATGTTAATCTCTGATAGAGATATTTATGACTACATAGACATTACAAAACTTGCGCAAATGAACTAATCAATTACCGCAATCGTTCATTTCCGCTTGATCGCCTAAAATGCAGGTGTCCTTAATTAGCGGTATCATAGCATACATGGACTGTAATCTATTATTCGATGCCTTAACCACATCCAGGAAGGGTTCATTCATCTGTAAATTATGTTATAACACACATTAAAAAAATGTAATAACATTACCAAATGAATCTAACAAACTAACTCCCTCGGATGTTTGATAGAACTACCTTGGTTCCAAGCAAATGATGGAAAAAGGAATAAAATAATCTACAAAATTTAATTCTTGTGTGCAGGGCTTGATAGAGTAGATTCTAATGCAATTAAAATAATATCATAATATTAGGTAATTACTCTTTGATGCAATGTGAAATAAGTAGTATTATCTCAAAGTATGTTAACCTTTGATTTCGCTTGTTCATCAGTTTCTTCCTCAGGTTTTCTACCAGATTTCTAAAAGTATATTTATGTATATATCACTTAAATTGTCAAGGTTAGCAATTATTTTGTGGCATGCAGTGGTTAAAATATTTTACGGCACAAGTACTATACTTTAACATTGCGAGCGCAGTTTTCATCAACTTCTTTCAAGGATGCTGAATTAATTCACAAAAATTATTTCAGTATTAACCATAAAGTATAGCAATATGAATTCAAAGTATGGGTTACAACAAGAAACATACCAAAGGCTTTAGCATTAGTAACATTAGTCTGCAATGAACAACCATGAGATGGACAACAGAAATCCTCCTATATATGAATACAACATGCATACGAATAGAGTTAGAAAAATTAAAAGCACCAATTATGTGTACTAAAGCTATATCACAAACCTCTTCAAATACTTGACCACTTTGTATCAAAGACCAAATCAAATCACAAGACTTTAATATACCAACACAATATGCCTAATAATTTATAAAAATTGTCTTATTAAGAACTGATGTTGTTACGAGTAAAACATAGCATAAAAAGTATTCTTACCTTTAAGTACGTATCTTCAATAAGTTCAACTTTATGCAAGTAAGAACATGTAAAAATAGTCTGAACTAACGGTTGCCCATCAAGCCAAGAAGCCTAGAAGTTCGATAATTAAGAAGGTGTAATAAATGTATTGATATGCTAGGATTTGAAGCAAAATAATAAATTGTATTGGATTCATTCAATACTTACAACACAAGCAAGCAATTCATCAACTATCCCAATGAGTTGGGATGGACTAAAATTATCCACTTGCACCTTATTTTTCTACAAGGTATGTATTAACATAACTTTCATATATCTGAATAATAATTATAAATAAAACATATATCAACAGTATATTAATGTACAAACCTCAACAGCTTCTTCGAAACTAAGAATAGGCGAAGCGCAGTCTCTATAAATCATTCCGGAATCCATTTTGGGATCCATCAACTCAACAGCACTCATTGCTTCATACAAGCTAAAGCTATGATTAAATAAATCAGAAATATACCGTCAAGATTACTTTAACATCCAGTTTGCGCAAATCATTCATGTATCCATTTTTGGACACATCAACTCGATAACACTTATTGCTTCATACAAGCTAAAGCCTATGATTCAATTGCAATATAATATATAAACTAAAATTATAGTATCAAAATGACTTGAAGGTACAGTGTAGGTAATAAATTCGTTCGGATTCATTAACCCGACTGCACTCACTATTTCTATTACTTGTATTATGATTACATTACCACATAGACCTATTATATAAAATTAAAAACTATATGATGGCTATTCTTTTAATGTTGGGCTATGTTCATTAAGCCAGTGTAAAGATTCCACTTTTCAATCAAGTACTTACTACTGATCATGAACCAGTTCCCCAGGTTTTAGTTCTAAACAAATCAGGAGATTACGTGTAAGCGATTAATAATCTACACAAACAATAACACAAAGGTATACATGATATCGTTGCAATGACGTACACTATTATCATGAAGTTATGTCTAACTGCAAGAATACATAGCAATCTAATTTGTACCCTGCAGCAAAATGACGAGTACCGATCACTATCAAACGGTAACTAGGATTCTTGGTAGGCCAATGAGCTCATAGTTTAGTCTTATCATAAAATAGCCAACTTCATATCTCATATTGAAAAAGAAATACAGTAAGATTGATGGTGCATACTGTAATAACAAGAACTGAAAGGGATTTTGTCAGTATCAAAATATACTGGCCTTTGTCTGCATTACGTAACTAGTCAAGTCAAACACTGCTACAATGTACCTAGTGGTAAACTAAAGAGCATCGATACCGTACTTGTATTAGGATGATGGAAGATTTATTGAACGCTTTAATGACCGTATTATTTAATAAGATCGCTATCCTATGCGATAATAAAAGGGCAGAGTATATTACTGTACATGAATTATTGTGGTGTATTGTACATAGTCGCTGAATGGGCATTTGTAAATGGATTATTGCAATAATAATAATAATAACGGTATTAATACGACGATGACATTATGCCCGTTACCTTGACAAGAATTCTGAAAAGCTTGGGTGATATCCTTCCAATGGATGGGAACTTGTTCAGAACCTATCAATTCAAGAATCTATTGAATACAACAAACTCCTTTTCTTGCAAAATGGTTGCATTGTATTACTAATAGTTCATTTAAATCGATCAATAATGACGTCGCATTCTCTTGAAGTGCAGTATAAAATTACAGCGATCATTGAAAAAGTGAACATGGCTAGGGCATACCAACTTACAATAACTATTGCAGTAGTTATAAAGGGATAGAGTTTAAATGTCATTCATGCACGAGTAAAATCATGGATATCATGGCTCGATACATTGGAAAATTGATGTACGGTACTGTAAAAATTGAACCAAACTCGTATGCCTTGCAATACTCATAATCTAATAATAGGAAGGAGTTACAGGAATGAACTAGAAGTTTTTTACATGCTGTTTTGATTTTCTGATGATAGCAGATGGAAAAAATCTATCCTATAATGTCATTTTATAACGTAAGCGATGAAATTATTGATGGTGAGGCATGGAAAATAAAATTGCATCGTTGATCAAGTGCTTTGCATCGGAGCCATTGTACTCGATTGCACAATCGAGTAATCGTGATGAGAATAATTATAATATAAAGAGAAAAAAATTGTCAATCAATATCGTGGTTTCATAGCTTACCCGAGATTATTTTGCCATCAATCATTTCACCATCTTCAGGCAGCCACTTTTGCCTATTATTATATATATATATATCCAATGGTCAGTATTTAGTACTATTCAATTGCAAATCCATTCTTTCATCGGTTATCTAATAAAATTCTATCCTGCACTCGATTGCATTCTACTACTCTGTCTAATAGTCCAGAATTAAGGCATTTTTTGCCAATGTTTCCTGCATTGATTGGCAACACAGTGAAACTAATTTAAAAGCATGATAGCACTGATTGAAATAATACATGTCTATCATTTAATCAAGTAAGTTGAGGATCATCAGCCATGATGGAAAGGCGGTTGTCAAGTGATCGATTGAATCCAAGATTGTCTATGTACTGTATTGAAATTTTGTCACTATCCGATAGCCTGGAAAGCATCATCATCGATCATTGCTATGGATGCACATCAAGGTAGAAGTAGAAGGTACAATATAAATGAGATTGTTTGCGAACACAACCACCATCATGGCGATGATGATCGAGTTCTATCAAGCTTTAATCGATTGCTATCCACTTGCAAATTATGCATGCCATTGGCTAGCATGATGTTTGCATCAAGCTTTCCCTGCAGAACACGTTAACGCTGATCGGATAAAAGACATTAACCATTCTTGCTTACTCCATACAGTTTTTCCATCATTTCATCATACTCACCAATCGTTGTAGCTGAACCTAACTTCAGATTGAACACCATTGGCGATATTTTTCATGCCTTCTTGCGACATCTTGACCGCTAGCCACCATAAGAAGTTGTTGCAAGCTTGCAATTAGCCAAGAATTGGAAGCAATTTTGCCTTGACTATGAAACTTGACTAACGCAATCATCGCTGAAAGCTACAGTGAATTGTATGCGACGCGTAGGAGACTGCGTGGACACGATCCGCTTCCATGGTGGCACAGTTCTGTCTTCCTTTTGGCTAGAATACACTACTAGTATACTGTATCATACAGTAGCTAAACATGTATGATTTTGTAAGAGAGAGCAGGAGCAGCGAGTTGCGACAGCCAAGCCAATGCTGGAATCGGCGAGTCTCAATCGTCTATGCTTCCCTTTATGACTGATGTTACTATGCATTATGGACTACTATTTGCGTTGTTAGACTATTCAGCTAGTATCAATCATCTATGCTTCCTGTTATCACTGCTATTACTATGCATTATGGACTACCGTTTGCGTTATTAGACTACTCAACTAGTATCAATCATCTATGCTTCCCTTTATTAGTGATGTTACTATGCATCATGAGCTACTATCTGCGTTGTTAGACTACTCAGTCAGTATCAACCGTCTATGCTTCCCTTTATTAGCGATGTTACTATGCATTATGGACTGCTGTTTGCGTTGTTAGACTATTCAGCTGGTATCAATCATCTATGCTTCCCTTTGTAAGTGTTATTACTATACATTATGGACTACTGTTTGCGTTGTTAGACTACTCAGTCAGTATCAACCGTCTATGCTTCCCTTTATTAGTGATGTTACTATGCATTATGGACTACTGTTTGCGTTGTTAGGCTATTCAGTCAGTATCAACCGTCTATGCTTCCCTTTATTAGTGATGTTACTATGAATTATGGACTACTATTTGCGTTATTAGACTACTCAACTGGTATCAATCATCTATGCTTCCCTTTATAAGTGCTATTACTATGCATTATGGACTACTATTTGCGTTGTTAGACTACTCAGCTAGTATCAACCGTCTATGCTTCCCTTTATTATTGATGTTACTATGCATTATGGACTACTATTTGCGTTGTTAGACTACTCAGCTAGTATCAACCGTCTATGCTTCCCTTTATTATTGATGTTACTATGCATTATGGACTACTATTTGCGTTGTTAGACTACTCAACTGGTATCAATCATCCATGCATCCCGTTACAAGTGCTATTACTATAGATTATGAACTACTGTTTGCGTTGTTAGACTACTCAGGTGTTGAAGTCGATGGTGGACATGAGTGTTCCATTCAAGACTTTTTTATAGCAAGTTCTGTATGAGTTGAGCAACGATGATATGATACAAAAGTGGGTTGGCATAGTATGGCAATCCCTTGACTGGATCAGTCCTACTCGTCTATACTGAGTGGTTCGTCCGTCACCTCCAGGATCATCACCTAGCAACGTTGGTCGTGGTGGCTGTGGAGAGCTCGAGATTGGCATCGTCTTGCTGATTGCTGCTGCTATTGCCTGCAATAGTCTTGATTTCTGCTGGTCTACTTGCATTTGCCTACCGTGAATGAAATCAGACAACGTAGCTGTCTTACATGTGCAAGATTAACACGATGGCTGAATCGATCGATCAATTATTTTCAGCTGTTTCTGTTTCACAATCCGATCCTTACGACACTTTTAAACAGCATCCTAGGTAAGTTAGGTCATAGCTAGGATATTGATGTTGTACAGGAACTTGGTCCTACGAGGTTATCCTTCAAACTCGATGCGAACAATTCTGTCTAGATCATACCACACTTGCATTACAGTAGCGATGCAATGCATTGGATCCAAGGGGAACATTGATCCAATTAGACCGTATTCTACATGATGCAAAAGACGACAACAAATTGGCATCGAGAGAGCAGAAGTACATTATAAGATAGAGCTGAGCGTATTATCCTAGCTTGTGCAACCATGACGCCATTTCAACTCATCCATAAATGGAATTTGCTATGGCTAACTTGCAAGCAAATGTGGACATGCAAATGACTGTACTGGTAAAGTAAGGGAGACGGTAGGATTCTGATCGACGTACGTGTGTATAGGGTGCACTATAGTTCAAGAATGATAGAATGGATGCACAGCAATGCTAAAGTGACAATAGATACTCGCTTGATCATGGCTAAGTCAATGGATAAACTACAGTCTATGGGAGACGGTAGGATTCTGATCGACGTACATGTGTATAGGGTGCACTATAGTTCAAGAATGATAGAATGGATGCACAGCAATGCTAAAGTGACAATAGATACTCGCTTGATCATGGCTAAGTCAATGGATAAACTACAGTCTATGGGAGACGGTAGGATTCTGATCGACGTACATGGGTATAGGGTGCACTATAGTTCAAGAATGATAGAATGGATGCACAGCAATGCTAAAGTGACAATAGATACTCGCTTGATCATGGCTAAGTCAATGGATAAACTACAGTCTAAGGGAGACTGTAAGATTCTGATCGACGTAATTGTGTATAGGGTGCACTATAGTTAACGAATGATTGAATGAATGCACAGCAATACTAAAGTGACAATAGATACTCGCTTGATCATGGCTAAGTCAATGGATAAATTCCAGTTAGATACTTACATTTATTCGCAGTATTTCAGTCACTTACAATTTGATTAATGTTAAAGAATAAACTTCATATTCAATACTGATGTTCATCGATAGAATATCACTAATACACTGCTTTAATTATTCTCTACCATTCCAATCATTAAGGTTGTAGTACAAAACGCTACTGCTGAATGAACTGAAAATAAGAACAAATAGTAGTCAGAAAGGGATTAAAGAATGATTATAAAATAGGCGACAATTTAGACTCATGGCATGATTGCTAACGGATAAATTCATGTTAAAGACTTATATACCACTAAATAATACATTGTTGTAGTTAACTGTAACTCGAGCTATTAAGGTAATGAGATCAATATCACTACTGAATAAGTGAACAATATAAATGAATTTAGCTAATGTTAGGGTACGGTCTAATGGCTTCAGTAGCGATAATTAAGGAACGGCATTATCATGAGAGACAAACTGTTTTCATTTGATCAACACAACTGGACCAATTCCTATTGTACTCGTATACTTCTACTTATACCCAATGCCAGCCCCACATTACTTTAGTTACCTACAACTCGAGCTATTGCAGTAGAGATTTAAAATACTGCTCCGGAAGATAAATTAACCTCCAATACATTTGAGCGAGCTAAAAAAACTATAATAAAGAGCGAACTGTGATACTCTATTTCTTAACTTACTCTTATAACAGATTTGCTCAATACAAAAGTACCACGTTGCCCGATCAACATGCTAGACGACAGAAGGAATTGGAAAGGCAAAAAAGGTAAAATTGTAATAATGTGCATTGATCTAGTCATGTACTATACAATGTACGATTGAGGACTAAAATGAAGAGAAATTTTTTAAAAACTACGTACCACACCTGCTCACCAGACTAAGTTTATTAAGAGAATTAACTACTAAAACCTACAGGAAACGATCGGAGGCTTACAATTTACTTCGGCACTTAGAAGATGAAGTAACTATGGAAATTGCCACAGCAGAACCAACAGTAATGATTCCGTTGTTGTTGCTTTCGTACAAAGAACTGTCAATTTAGCGCCTGTAAAATAAATTTAAAAGTAAACCACATGCACTTAAAAATAATCTACGATTACTAATTATTCTCTAGGAGAGTAAGTGTGAAGACATGAAACCTGCCTCCAAGCGAAGCCAGCATAAAACTAAAAGCTATAAGCCTTACGCTAATCAGGTAAACCAATTTGTTCTGTATGATATGCTTTGGAAAGGCAGCTTTTACATAAAAGGCTGATTGATGCTGGCATTCATACGCTTAAATAATACTGAGATTTTAATCCTAGATAATGCTATCGGAATGGCTTAATGACAAGCCCCCAAACTTTGAATCGAGCTGGATCACTGTTATTTGTCCAATTGGGAAAAGGAACTTAGTGATTGCTGCAAGGGTACTTTCACCAGAAAACTAATTTTATCTTACTGTCTAGCAGAATCTATCGATTCAATCTATGCTTTTATTTCTTGCGTTGTAAATGTAGGGTAGGACTACTGCATACTCTAGGAAAGGCAATAAAATTAGTAGATTTAATTCTGCCCTTCCTGGAGGTAGCGCTGGTAGAAGGGGTAAATTCTGTATCCTAGACTGTATTTATTGCGAACAACTGCAAACTTTCTTTATTATTGATCTAATGTGTTGGAATGGCCATCCTATTTATGATTCTGACGTAAGCATGATCGTACCATTAATGAGAGTATAATCCTATAGTGCTATAACTTTTGATACTAAGTAACTCTCTCAACCTACTGAAATTACGGCAGTATTCTTTCCGGTCGTTCTGGTTACGTAGTAAGATCCAAGAAGAATTCGACTTGTTGTCGACCATTTCTAAATCTAATCGAGTAATTCTCAATTAAAAATATATTATTATGACTGCATATTGACTAAAAATTGGCTAATTTCCTCCTATTTTCTCAGTTTAAATTTATTATAGCGCCAATGTTTGAAACTAGTAGTGATAAAATCTATGCCTCATTGAATGACATTAAAGAGTATCCGGTACTATACTGTTTAGAGGTTTTAGCTATCAAATTTAAATGCCTTTTACTAAGATAATACTGCTTGAATTGGATAGATTGATGGTCTACTATTCTATCATAAGGATGGTCATTATAAGCCAGGTGAGAAATCTTCATTAGTAAATTGGTTGAAGCCACATATGGTACCTGAAATTTTGGGGTATCCTGTTCCGGAAAAGTACAAGCAAGCTGAAATACAAATGGCTGAAAATTAGCTACCTTAGCAATTTATCTCGTAAATACCCTCAGCTAGCGTTTCAGACATGTTGTACAGAATGACGAGACCGAAGAATTTGCATCAATGTTGTTAATACTTATGAGCCATCTTGCACATACCACAAAACGAACGTTCCAATATGTATATACATATTAGAAAAGACCTGTAACTTAAATACTATATAATGTAAGATTTTGACTTTCGTTACGTAATTGTTGGTAAGCTGAAATTTAAAGCAGGCTTTTATTTAAGATATCAGTATTCTGTTAAGTAAATACTTGCTCATAATGGGGTTTTGCTTGTAATAATGCATGTATAAATAAACATTAAGACTGGTTATAAGCTAGTCAGTCCTTTCCTCTTTATTCCAGGCAAATCAAGTTATTAAATTTATTTGAATTGTAAGTGAAAGTATTATTTATATGATATGGTTTGCAACATATAGACCTGGTCATCTCTTGGTTTTCCTGTGGCTTTGTCATAGAATAATAGATTAAGTTGTATACTAATTAATTTATCATCGCGTTGTAAGATTAATCTATCCAAACTTAAAAGTAATTGTATGGATCGATTTCTATGAGAAATTGAATCCAGGTAAAAGATAGGCCATCTTAGAAAAAATATTTACTGTTTGCATATCAAGCTAACAAATATTACGCAGCGATATTCCATAAAATAATGTATGATTTCGCATGTCAATGGCAGCCTACAAATGAAAACTTAGTCCGAAATAAATAAAAATGCCCCTTATTAATCGCTAACAATTAGTATTAAAACACGCTCCTCAGAATGAATACAAGGCTTCAATCTGAGATGATTAAAGATATACATGTATTATAACGTAAACTAAAATATCTTCCATTTGATTCAGTATTTCATTCTATTCATCTCTAAAATCAATCTGCCTACTGTACAGTACTATACAATTATAACGTCCAGTTTATAAATGTAATTGGCCTATTAGATTTTGTAAATGAGATTGATAATATAGTAAATTAGCCTTAGATAATCAGTAGTAATATGGAGCATACGCAACCTTTGATGTCATATTCCAATCATTTACCCATAGAACGATCATTTAGTTAGTATTTTCGATAAAAAATATCACTGCTCACATAAAATAGATTTACAGAAGCCAAAACGAAACTTAGACAACAATAAAGCGTGAATATCCTAGCTAAAATATTTTATTAAGCAGTTATACATATAATCGATATAAAACAATGTTCATAATTTCATTTTACCTTAAAAAATAATAAGCACATGTAACATAATATACATGTTTTCTATAGCGCATACCAAAAATAAAATTTAGCTCAAAATAATGCAGTCCATGCAACATATAAGGCAATAGCTTGCATATCTTCAGCAGTAGAAGTAGTAGTAATAATAAAACTTGAATAGATTACTGTACAGTAGATGAGAACTTTCACTTTGAAACCATAATGCCATTGGCTCTCATCAAGGCGTATTATTCTTATCCACGTTTATGAATATAGTTATAGTATATAGCATTTTACGTCATTTTATAATTTGCAAAGAGGTATAAAGAGTAGAATATTAATCTCCATTAGCTTCTGAGTTGTGATTTTCAACCTCCTTTTTAGGTATTAAATCGCTCTCAAGGCTAGCAAATATTTTATAGGAGACGGTATTCGCAATTAAAGTAGCTGCTACCTCCTCTTTAGTTGCTCCGACTTCTTGCGGCTCTTCGTTGGTTACATTAGTTCCATCCTCTGTCGGCTGTGCACCTTGGGCATGATCAGAATTGATTTCATCATTTTTCTCAGCTTTCTTTCCGTAGAATACATTCGATGGGACGTAGTTATATTTCATGGAAATAGCCATTGGATCTTCCGGCTTCAACGATTCCATATTTTCCATTGCTATAGTTTATATTGAACGTGATTATTTAAAGGTAAATATTGAAAAATTACGCCATAGATAAATAATAAAAGTTTCAGTAACGCTTAAGTTTCCATCAAGGGTCAAAATTTCTGAAAATTATGTCAATGTAGAATTATCAGCTTACCCTGAGTTAGAATAACCGGCCCACCGGCTTGAACGTCATTGATACTCTCTGCCATTAATTTTCTAGCTTCCTCTTCTGCTTTTAATATGCTATCAACATCTGCCGACATCGTCTCCTGCAATTGACGAGCCTCTCCCGACAATGCTACTAATTTTCGATTCAATTTTCTCTTTTCAATAAATGCAGAAATAGCAGCATGACATCGAACTAGAGTACGATTAGATGCTGCTATACCCTAATAAGTGTTAAGAGCAAGATAGGAGAACAAAGAATTTCAGTTTGATGATGACTAGCACAAGTATTCTATTCAATTTACTTATTCCTATATTAGGATTTCTGTTTCGAGAAGCTTTAATGTACCTTAACCCATGGCATTTTCAAAACTTGGTCTGCAGTTGGTCTTGATTTCGGATTAACTTGGAGTAATTTCATCACTACTTCCTAATGTCATAAACAAATTTTGATAAGAGATAATTTGCCTACTGTAATTTTGTTTCGTGGTAGGGGTACAGTAAATTGAACAGCAGAAATGAAGGGCTAACCTTTGCGCTTTGAGAAACACCTTTCCAATAAGGTTCGTCAAATTCATAACTGCCTTGCAAAATTTTGCGAAATGTTTCTTTAGAGCCACGTTCATCATAAAATGGATCATATCCACAGAGCCTATGGAGAATTGTTTATTATTAATATACAGTATATTGATGATGCCTACAGGCAGTCATTAGCAAATTCAACAAATTATATAGTATGTACTTACAATGTATAGAGTAAAATCCCTACAGCCCACATATCGACACTATGATCATATTTTTTTCCTGTCAATACTTCTGGAGCTATAACAATTGATTAATTCAGACTTTAATGCTATTTAGCATGACGACTAATTCCAATAAATTGCTGAATAATATGAATTCTACAGTCCACATATAACACGTACTACCTCAATCATATGAAGATCACACATTCCTTCTATAATGGGTAGAATACTTACCACAGTAAGTTTGGGAATTACACAAGTAATTCATTTTAACTCTAGTAGTTAGCACACTTAGTAAGTAGTGGTCCGCTATAATGGGGGGTAAAAACAGTAGGATTAGAGAAATAAGTCTACCTTATTAGTTCGCCAATTACTCAACTAAGATTTATATATTAAAAATAATCACTTTACCTATCTTAACGGATGGTTCAGATTTCTCACTTTTGACAATTAAATTCTCGGGCTAAAGTTAGAAAGGTTCGAAATAATGTTACTTAATATGCTAAGGATAGGCAAGATAGCCCATCTAAAACATCTCGTCTTGCTTAGTTTTAATAGACGATTTTGGCAATTACCTTAATATTTCCATGAACAATATTATATTCATGTAAGTACTAGAATGTTGGATTAGAGAAGCAATAATAATTATTAGTAATAGCCGACGCAATAAAAAATAAATGAAGTCTTATTTGTCAATATTGATCAACATACACGTAATCCTTGACAGACTTGACGTATGATGGATGAGGCATAATATTCGCTATATTTGGGATTTTGCGAGATACTATCGCAATAATAAAAGTTATATTAGTTCTATTGTGGGAAACATCTACTTCTCGCTTATTCATTCTAAAATGCCAATCCTAGTATAGTCCTACCTAGTAAAGATATCGCAGCCATCGATACAGTCCAAAATAAAGTGAATATCATTTTCCGTTTCATAGACTTCTTCTAATCGAATCTATCAGTAAGAATGCGATAGTTACATTTAAATTATGATGCAATATCAAATTGGTCCTAAAATGATTGCTACATAGACTAACTTAACCACATCTCAATTGCAAATGTGTACTATACGTACAATATTAGGATGGCTCAAGAACAACATAAGGCTCATGTCTTCCTTCGATGTTGCTCTATCAATTACCTAGTAATATTCATTTGGTACATATGTTAACATTTGCATGAAGCATTGGCAGAGAAGTAGCTATACTAATTATTGTTCTATGAAAAACTATAATTATAGCGGCACATATTATAGAAAGTAAATCTTATTACATGTTTGCGCAGTGTTTTCATGGAGTATGACTTTTTCGTCCCAATTTGGATACATTCTCGCATAACAGAATTTGGTCCCCTAACATTTTTAGCATTGCAAATAAAATGAGATTTGCTTAATTATCATATACCGAGTCGTTAGCTTAAAGTAAATATATTAACCTCCCAATTTCTTTTCCAATTTCGTATTTCTCTCTTACAACATCTCGATTGGATGTTTGGCATAAGTATACCATATCGGATAAATCTATAATAAATTAAGTAATATATCATTAATATAATTATTTTTTTTAATGTATTTTATCAAGTATCAAGGAAATATACTTGCAAAGCGATATGAATGAGTGCTAAGAGTAAATTAATTAGTAATTTTACAACTCTTCTTAGTAAACATAACTGCATGAACTAATTATTCGTGTTTGTCACTACCCTGAGAATGGAGTAAATTAATTAGCAACTTTACAACTCGTCCAAGTAAGTATGACTTCACGAGCAAATTATTCGCTTTTGCCATTATCTTGGAATAGGATATGAAATAACGATTACTCCTCAAATTCAGCATATTTAGATTTATATGGCAGAAAAGCTCTGAATAGATCATGTATTACAAGAATAATCTAATAACGATAAAGTAAACAAGCTAAACTAATACCGACTGTTAAAATTTATTTCTATTAAAGGACAAAATGCATTATAATGTCGGAGCAAGCTACATGTGCCATCATAGAAAGTTCTAGAGTGCTTTAGCCGATTACAAATTTTTCAGGAACATAGTATTTAAAGTAGCTCATCTCTTGTAATATCATACTTTTCTCGTGACAACATCAATACTACTAATTAAGCCCATGCTCCATAAGTTACCTGTCATCATTAAGAATTTAATTATGTCATAAGATAATGAGCTGGGAATACGTTGAAAGTGTACAGTAATTTTATCTCAAAAATATATATGTGATAGCAGATCATACTTTTGCATCTCATTAGATAAATTCTGTACCTTACTGTAGAAATCTGAACTATTAATCTGCTATTTTCATACGTTGGCATACGTAGCTTTAAGATCTCATGCCTTTAATAATTTTGAAAGAATCTTTTTATATAAAAGTATGTAAGATAATTCATTAGCCAGCATTATGCATATTTTATATTCTTTATGCCAGATCAGACGAGAAGACTACCCTTGGATGGAACACGAATAAGCTGAATGTTTAGCCATACGGAGCAGTTACGAGTTCAGTAAGCTCTACAGGATCATAACACTATCTACAACTTCCATTTCTGAAGTAGTTAAGGTTGCCGTCTACGTTGTTAGGGATACAAAGCAAATGAACCATAGACATGTAATCTTGAGTATAATTATAAATACTTTACTTTCTTATTGATATTACAGTTACTTTTTCTATGAAAGAATTAATATTGGTATGGAATTTTGTACAGTCATCGTTCCTGGTGTTGCAAATTTAATATTAGTCAGTAAATAACATGGTTTCTACATTAAAGATTAAACTAATTTCCTACAATTAATAAGGATGTAATTTGGACAGCTTTATAAGGAAATAAAGTTAATTAGACAGCTACTCTATCCTTCTCTATCGTCTATCCCATAGATAAAGCTGATCAGATAGCGATCATGATAGCTATTTTGAAATGGGTGCTGTTGTTTTACCCTAGCAGTTACATGTAAGCTATCAGAACTAAAATAATGAATCAGCTAGCTTTGTATTCTTGAAAGTAAGCTGATGTTTTCTGGACATTTTAAATAATGTAAGCAAAATATAAGTTCTTTCGGATAATTTATAGCTTGTTTATACTGTACTGTCAGTTTAAGGATAAAAAAGGTAGCGCTTTTATTTTTTGTTCTATTGACGAATTTTAGGCAAAAGCTTAGGTCCTATCGATGCATTACCTGGAATGACCAAATTCTCAGTGGGGTGGTTGATCGGCTACTATATTTTTATTGTACTATCCGATCGTTTAGATCATTATCTAGCGATCTATTTGACGAATCAAGGGTTAATTGAACCCCCTTGCAAAGGGCAAGATTTTCAAGCAAATTGAACATCTTGGCAACCATTAATTGTTATCATGACAGAAGTTATATCAGCAGATCAATTGAATAGATAAAGCTAGCACACTAAGATTAAAATCAAGCTGAAATAAATACTATCGTTAAATATAATGTATCCTCATTCTCTATTCTGTTGATCTTTAATTACATCTCAAGGTATTGAATTCTTAGTATTTATTTAAAACACTTACCAAATTATTGAGTGGAGTAAAGCAAATATAAAATAAAATTGTCTTAAAGTCTTGTATTGCTGTGATTAAGAAAGATTGTTACAGTAGCAATCAAATCTTAGCCTTGTCAATGCTATTCCTATGATGAGTAACAATGCATAGCTCAGCCTACTATATCGCTAAACAGTACATTAACCTTACCCTACCTAATTACAACTGTTGATGTGTTTATGTTGCTATGGTAATTTCAAGGCCGCTGTCTACGGAATCTATACGGTAGTTGTCTATGTTAAGTTTTATATAGGCACTATTCAACTAAATCGTTTGATACAATAGTTTGATATCAATGATTCCATATAGCATAAAATAATTGCAAATTACATTATACTTAATAAACCGCATCCACAACAATACGTCTATTTCGCGTTGGAATATACATATTATATAATGATATGAATTATTGTCCGATGATTAATGTAAACTAGAACTTGTTTTTTTATTAATTTAAGTATTGTTCTTATTTCGCCTTCTACAATATATACAAAATTTAGTAGTATCTATCAAGTTCTATTATACGTTAATATTGCATAATTATACATGTTATCAATATTTGTATGCCACAGCAATAAAAAGCAGAAATTTTACTCAACTCGTCAGCCGATTTGAAGTCTTCTGTTTTATAATAGACAGTATAAGAAGAGATAGATAGATAGGTAAGTACTATCAATTATAAACAAAGATACTATTCATCAAGGCAAAGCCTAGTTTTAATTCAGAATTATCATTAATTGTTGGGAAAATAGGAGCTTTCGCGTTTATTTCTTACTTGAATCTACAATATCTCTATCGAATAATTGGCACAGTACTCTCCTTGCTTAATCATTACATAGTTTAATGGAGGAACGATTGACATCATTCAAGATATTAATTATCGCCGTCTAGGGTATACTAATATGGAATAAATGTTTCAAGTTGATCTTCTCTCAGTCATTCTTGAAGCGATACTTGTAATTTAATGATAGAATTACAAGCAATTTTATTCAGTGGCAGCTATACTCACGACGATTAGTTACAACGACCAAGTCTACTGTAGTAGAAATGAGAATATTTTCGTCCAATTAATTATTTATAATATACTAAAGAATTACCAAAGTCAATGAGATTTTAGTTCTAGAATAGATACGGTGCTTTTTTTTTGACGTGAAGCCAGCGTTTCCCTGACAACCAATGCAATCTCCTAGACCTCCTCCAAAAGATGGCGCTGTAGGCCGTGGTCCTATTAGTGTTATATGTTATATTTGTGGCCGCCAATATGGTAGTAAATCGATTCAAATTCACCAACCTCAATGTATTAAGAAATGGGAAGAAGAAAATGCTAAATTACCAGCTGATCAGAGAAGAACATTGCCAGAAAAGCCCAAGGTATTACAACAAGTATCCCGAGGTAAACAGTTACAAGAGCAAAATCAAGTCGCCTTCGATTTGTATCAGAAACAGTTAGTGGCGTGTAGTCAATGTGGGCGAACTTTTCAACCAGATCGATTGGAAGTACATTTAAGAAGCTGTAAAAAACTAAATCCAATTAAAAATGCTCATGTTCAACCATCAGTCCCTGCTAATAAGAAATCGAACAATTCCTCCAGCCTAGGTAAACGTATAGCTAGTGGTAAAAGATTATCATCTTCTCTTGAAGCAAAATCAACTGTCCCAAGGGCTCCTAATGACCAACCTTCTAGATCTGAAACAGCAACATTTTCCAGAAGCTATAAACCTAAACATTCCTTGCCTGTCGTTAAATCTTCTACAAATCATAGTAAATCTAGTATGCAAAATAATCATCCAGCGGTAACCGCTCAACGAGTAACGCAATCATCATCTAATAATCAACGGCAAAAGATACCTCCCAAACCAAAAACACTTATTTGTTACATATGCGGTCGAGAATTTGGAACATCTTCATTAGCTATTCACGAACCTCAATGTTTAAAGAAATGGGAAATTGAAAATAGTAAATTGCCTAAAAAGTTACGTAGACCCTCACCTGTTAAACCAACACTAGAGTCTAACAATGATGGAATCACCCATCAACATTCGGAAATGAATCGTTTAGCTTATAAATCTGCGATGGATCAATTACTCCCTTGTCAGAATTGTGGAAGGACGTTTTTACCGGATAGACTACCAGTTCATTTACGCAGTTGTAAACCTTCGCCGACTAAAGCGAACAATAAAACAACTGAACGACCAAGAACAACAAGAAGTGCTAAAAACACCTCAAAGATATCACTAGAATTTCATGCCGAGAGTGAAAACCGTCCTACCGGGAATAAGTCAGTTAACTCCGAAAAGGAGCAAGATCATAAAATGATGAACAGCATCCCTTACGTAATATGTTATATTTGTGGTAGAAAATACGGTAGTGCATCAATTAAGATTCATGAACCACAATGTTTGAAAAAATGGCAATCAGATAATGCTGCTTTACCTCCAGAGCAACGTCGAAAAACCCCAGTCAAACCAGTTGAAAGAGCCTTGCCAACATCAGGGCAAAAAATATCTCGATCTGAATGGGAAGCTTCTAATGAGGGTGCTTGGAAATCGGCACAAGCTCAACTAGTACCCTGTCCTCATTGTGGGCGTACATTTTTACCCGATAGACTGCAAGTCCATTTAAGATCTTGTAAGCCTAAACATTAACTATCAATCTGCAAAGGTTGATCATTAAATCGCCAATAGAACGGCTTGTTTTCACTTTATTATAATTAAATCAGTAAAATAATTCCAACAGGTTTATCACAACCGTTTATAAATCATAAAATTTAATTTAACTATATCCTAGTTTGCTACAGCATTTTGAAAGCAAGCGTTAATATCGGAATTAACGCTAGCAATAGCAACTTATGCCATGACAGCATAAATAATGTTATTGTGTGTTAAAGTTAATCAACCATTGTCTTTCCTGTATATTTACAATTGCACCGATTAGCAAACAGCGCACAGATTCATGTAATAAAATTGTGTCCAATGACTGATATAAGCAAAATATATCTTGATACATATTCAGCGGACGCTGTAAATTGCTTGTATTAATGTACAGCCTTCAAGAGCTAATTTCCGATATTAGTACAAAAATAGATAAAAATTCAGTTTTCACAATTGTATACTAGGTCGTATTATTTAAAAAAATTATTTAAGCAAGTACAACTAGATGAATAAGCCTTATTAGGCAATTAACAGTGTGGAAAAAGAATACGGTGCGATACAAATGCCATAATTTAAGTTCAACTTTACGTAAATAACAGTTTCTTTCTAAAAATCAAATAGTACAATACTATGGCAGCGGATCAAAGTTATCGATTCTTGCAAATATACAGTAGCACAACTTCGAAAAGATGCAGTCTAATATACAACTAATAGATACTAATAACCAAAACTACTCTTTCCGTAAAGAAATTAATGTCTACAACATTTCATCAGCAAGATCTCCGGGCGCCTCAGTAATATCATTATTAGCCAACATATAATTATCGGTATCTATTGATCGGCAGTTACTGATAGCATAACGTAGCTTCTCTGCCATAACCTCTTGTGATGAATAAGATGGTAGTCGTAATTGGAAGAAACATGTTTGCGACATAGGCAAAGAATCTAACGGCTGAAGAGCATAAGACACCAATTAACGCTAGTGAAGCAGCTAAATATTCACCTATTCGTAAAGCTGATAATACGATCGCGAAAATACTTACCCGATCAACCTTGATAACTTGAAATTTTTGCCCTAAATCCATTTTATTTGATGGTAGTCTAGATCTACCAGAAATGAAACGCATGAAAAGGACTTTCTCCTTACTACTAAATGATTCCAAAATAGACCATAACCAGGACAATAATTGATTTATTTCTTCTCCTGCTTTAAAACTAAAGACATGGCAAAAGAAATTAACTACCTCGATAGATAGTTAAGTATACGAACAGATTGTATTGCTTGTAGAAGAAAGATTTTAAATCGTACCTAATCATACTTTTAAGTACCGAGATATCAATCTCAGCTGCCCCACAAGTGATCTTTTCCAACTGTAATTCGGTCATAAAAGATAATAATGGAACGGGAATGACCCATGACATTCCCTTTCTAATAGCAGCGATCTAAATTTACAATATATTGACATTGATAATCATAAACTTCAAACCCGCAACAATGGTATAAATTAAAAAGCTTACAGTATAACTGATTGTATAATCAAATTACCTGGGAATCTACTTCATGCAATCTAAATTCGATTGCAGATTTAACATAATTCATTCTCGTATTGTATGATAATTCAATATTTCTACCACCAGGAACGATAGGAACAAACTTGCCATTCGAATCTTTAGCAACAAAGGTACTTATGGGAAAATACTACCAAGAATACAAACATAGTATAATAAGTCGAACAAATATACATCCATATGACGTATCAATTAAGAATTTATTCATCTTAATAATACCTCCTGGAATGTGTTCTCGTCAATATCATTATATTCTACGTCTCGAAGACTTCGCATAGTTTGGATAAATAAAGTATCAACCTATATTTATACGACAAAGTTAATTAATCTTACGCGGAAACAGTAAATGCCCAAATTCATTTATACGCTAACACGAAATCTTTTGATGTATTGTAGTTTAGATTGAAACGAGTGAGTAGTAACCATAATATAATTGATACCTCTTCAATATCGCCTTCAGTTAATGGAATGCCACATATCTGCTTCCAAACTGTCGGAGACAAGTGAAGATCTAATGGCTTTTTTGATCGTACACTTATACCGAGTAACACTCCCAAGAATTCAAATTTTTTCAATTCTTCTATCGATGATGCTGACGGGTTAATAATAAATCTTACGGATTGTAAACAAACAATACAACAGAGTAAGCATTCCACCTTTTCAAGATATTATATCAATATCATATACACGATAACTACCTATCCTGATTGTAGCCAAGTTGATCAACTGAATTTGGCGTTGGAATAAGTAGTGAGACATCATTGCTTTCTAATTCCTAGTAATTTTATAATTTAAGTGTAATTTTTGAGCACGGGTATTAAAACTTTAAAATATCTTCAAGTAACTTTCAGTACTACAGCATACCTTACACATTTCACTAACTGTATCATCAAAGACTCCACCAGCATCATCAGCACCTTCACCCACTAGCTTAACTTTCCAGGCTCTCATAGGCAGACATAGCTCAGCTAAGTTGGATTGCATCACTTGCTGCGCAATTTGGACGAAAATAGGCTTACAATGTTCATCACTAATTTAAAAGTGTGAATAAAACTATTTGTTAGAGTTTCATGGGTATATTGTTAATACTGTGTTATTGTCAGTCTTTACCGAGTGCTTAATCGCTCCACCTTGACCGTTGGTCCAAAATTACGATTGTGTAGCATGGTTTTACTGATGTGACGAAGGAATGGTTGCATCGTTACTCGTGTTGGTAATAAAGGGCGCAAAAATCCTTGCATGATGCCCATAAATCCGTTGCTGATATGGCTCAACTATTAGAAAAATTTAATAAGTACAGTTATTGATCTCAAGATAGCTGATGTAAACAGCTGAAAGCAAACAGAATACAATATACCTTTTTAGGACATAAATCAAGTAATCTCCAGGAATAATAAATAGCTTCGGACATGTCTAACAGATATTGTAATCTAGATCTGATCAGTTGTATATCTATCCCAGCAAGGGAACCATAGATTTCTGGTATTCTTTCCGGTAAACCTAATTCCAATGAACTTGACGTTGCCATAGCTTTTCGAATACTTGCTGGCGCTACTGTCCACGCTGCACTGTGATTATGTCCAGCTGAAATCTAATAAAAGTAATAGGTCAATATACTAAGGTAATTAAGCAGAAATGCTAACAAAAATGTTGAATAAAGAAGCGTTTACCTGGCGAATGCCTTTCCCTTGAAGACTTGATATAAGGCAAGGTTCCCGTTGTGGTAGCGTTTGACCTAATCCAAGCTGAGTGATAAATTGGATAAATGAGTGAGCATAAATTATATTGGCATTTTACTACCATTAGCATTAAATGGATAAGAAAAACTTTTGACTACTATTGAGTCTTACTTGTCCATCTGTATCATTGCCCCAACTCCAAACATCTCCCTCTTTCGTTAGTGCTAAGGCATGTTCATAACCAGCTGCAATATCCTCTATAAATTGCTCGGATAAAGCCATAACTTGTTGCGGATAATAGTCGGCGTGCTGCGTATCGACTTCGAAAATCCCGTTACATCGATTGTGACCACAAGAATAAACTTTCCCTTCTTTTGTTAACGCTAAAGTAAAACGAGCACCACAGCATATCTTCTTAATGTTCAATTTACTAAATGCATCAACATATTGGGGGGTCATTTTAGCTGTGGTTCTACCTAAGCCTAGTTGTCCATACTCCCCTTCGCCAAAAGTCCACACTGACTCTCGATCCGTTGTAACAACAACGGTATGATTAGCACCACATGCAATCAATTCTACCATGATTGGTTGTAGAGCGGTAACTTGTGCTGGCAATTTTTTATTGCTAGTATTACCTAAACCTAATCGCCCTAAGTCGCTAGCGCCAAACGTAAATAGCTTGCCATCAACAGTAACAATAGCTGAATGTTTATGGCCACATGCAACATGAAGAACATCTTCTCCTCTTAATGCTTCAATCTGTCTTGGGCGGCGCTGACGTTCGCTATTTCCATGACCCAGTTTTCCATAATCACCATCTCCCCAACTAAATACTTCGCCCGTTTCAGTCAATGCGAGTGAATGCCCCTCCAAACCTGTCGATGTTGCTAATTCTGTTACAACAAATCCTTGTAAGGCTGTAATAGGCCTAAGGCGCGGCAAGTCGTCCGAATTACCTTGCCCTAGTCGACCATAACTTCCTTCACCGCAAGCAAGAACCGTGCCATCATGTTCAATAACGAAAGTACTATTATGGCCACAATGAATTTGCTTAGCTTTAGAAAATGAACTCGTTAATGTCGGCTGTAAGACTAGTCGGCCTGATTCAGCTAATTGGCCATGGCGGCCACCACCCCATGTATAAGCTTCACATTTTGCACTCATTTTCCAATCTTGCGGTCTATCTGTAACCCATTCTATAATTTCACGATCCATGGCCAATTTCCAAGGTGGAAGAATTTCGTTCTCCTTGGTAGAAGTGATTAGTTGGAACAAATTCTGCTGTCGACTACATTGAAGTGATACACAGAGTTGTTCTGCCCTACAATAATCTACAAGCCATTTCCATTCCGGTAATGGATATATCGTTTCTAAATTTATGGAGCGCTTTATCGGATCATAACAAATAATTCTATCTAAATTCAGTGTACAAACGATTGATGTGAGACTTTGAAGGTAACGGCTGTGCATTAATTGATCGCCATCTTTAATAATACATTTTTCATAAGTATACTGTTCTAACATGATGGCTGGTAGATTTTTAATCAATCCACATAAACAAGGTGCAATATCTAATTGAGTAAAACCACATAAATGCAAGGAATGTTTTGATACTGCAGAATAACGGATTTTCTCCAACCAATCATCATTAAACAGAAATACAGTAACGTCCTTCAATCCTACGCTGCCTAAGGCAAGGCCAAAGTTACCCAAAGATTCAAAACAAACAACGGGTTTATTGCTTTGGTATGTTTGTAACGGGATTCCATCATAAGCGGACCAAAAATTAACCTGATGATCTGCACACAAAGACACTAGGACGGAGTCATTTGAAATGAATGCTAACGAAACAATACTATCCTCATGGCCAGCAATATTGTAAAGGTGATAAATATTAGAATATTGATGACGCGATAAATTTTTACTATTGAATTGCTTACGTTCGAATGCACTTACGGGCGAAATCGATTGATGTTCAAAATTAGATGAAACTCCCTGATATGATACAACATACATTCGAATTAAGCCAATATCGTCTCCAGTAGCAAATAAACATGTCTCACCCGTTTTATCTACAAATCCATTTGACCATTTAATGATTGTAGTATTGAGTGGAATTGTAAAGTCTAGCTTAAGTTCTTGATTATCTTCCACCCAAATCATAGCAGTTGAGTCATCATGACTGGCTACAATGATCGATAAATACCTTCCTGACACATCCCAACTAGTAGTAATATCACATTCATCCGGATGTCGATATATTTCTACTGGATCGAATAGGTGAGATAGCAATCCAATTTGGATGATGCCATCAGCGCTAGCAACTATAAAATAGCTTGATGTACTGTGCCAAGCTAATGATGTAATGGCTGAAGATCGCTGAAATGCTGGCATAGGTCTTTTCTGTAACGCGTCATTATTGTTGACTTCCAATATAAATACGTCGCCATTCTCTGTTCCCACTAGTAAATAGTCTCTTATATTTTCTTCACCTGAGTTGATACGTCGATATCGTGGCCACGTCAAACACGTTACATGGCATGCTTGTGTATAAACTGAACGTTTACCATTGGAGGTAACACCAAAATAAATCTTCCTACGCTTACTACCAGCGAAATATTTTCCATTGGAATTGAATTGTAAATTACCAATATATTTTCGGATTTTATTTTCTTCATGAAATAAGTTGGCGTCATCGCAATCTATATTAGTATCAGTTTCTTCAACATCCAGCACTGTAGCATGGTAGCCACCAGTTTTAAGTTCCCTTAAATAGACCGTATTACTAACAGTACTAATAACAACAAGTCCAGAATCAAAATGACAAGACAATGATATAACTGGCGTCTTATGTGCTGATAATAATTGAGTTGAACAAGATGGCAAGTAACATTGCAAACTCTTGAGGGACTTGAAAGTTATCTTGGTATCTGATTTGGAACCGAAATGAGCTAATTTACCCATCAGTATTGCAAGTTGATAAGCAGCCCACGAACGTTCCCATGAAGGTAAAAGTTTACTTATGCTACAAGCAGCTAAAACATTCAATAGTGGTAGTAAAAGGTCCTTGTTTCCGAGTATGTGATGAGATCTCGTCGGAATCCAAGCCTGATTTTGCTGCGAATGTGCCGCTAATGAATCAATCACTGTTTCAATTAACGACTTGACAATTGATAGATTTCTTGATGAGCAAAATATTTGGTGATCTGATATTGCTGCTTTAGGATCGGTTAAAATGTTAGTTCCATCATTATTAATTCCTTCTCCAAATGCAACCTTAGACAAGTCATAGGTGCATAATAAAACCACTTGTCGAAAAGCGGATTGGTCATAGGATATTAATACATTGATTGCAGAAATTATAACGTCAATTTGTTCTGCTGAAGATATACCTAATAACAAAGTTGAGACTGATTAAATAAGGAGTAAAATGGTGATAACATTCAAAGCTAACATTTCAACTTACCATACATACTAACATAATCTTGATCTATTCTACCAGCAATTGCAATTTGCAACAATTTAATCAACTTGTCAGCATCATCAAGTTCAAGAACATGTAAATACTTTAATTTTTCCGCATGTGAAGGTAAATAATAAAACAAGGCCAATAAATAGGTTGTTGTTATTCTAGCTGCGCAAATCTGGGATGCTACGGTACATCGACGCATAGCAAAAATTCGATCAGATTTGCTTTTCAAGCGTTGGCCTTGCTGCGCCAGAGACCCACGAAGTTTTTTCTTTTCTATAGTTACACTTCGAGTAGATTGTTGGCTGCCTTCTGAATTTATTTGGCAGTGTGCATAACAGGCAAAGTGATTGCCTAATGAATCAGTTTGATCATACTGCATGATATTATCTTTAAAATCGATAAAAGAAAATTTAAGAACAGGCGCTATATCATCGAAACTATCACTTGCTAAACGTAAATCGGCAGTATCATTGGCATCAATAACTAGTCCTTGACTTGTTTTCGATCTATCAGATGGGCTAAGGAGATCAAATGCTTCCTCTAGTAATTTAAATCTTCCAAAGCTGTAACGATTTTCAACTGTAGATAATTTTGTTGTTATTTCACCTCCACTACCATACTGCCGCAAATAGTTGCTACGGCAAGAAGGACATAGATAATAGGGAGTTCCAGATCCGCAAACTTGATTAACAGAAGAATTTGAATTACAGCCTGGATGATAACTACGCATATGCCTGTCCATATTACTTGAGTTAAGTAAACATAACTCACAGACTTCATTAGAAGCATGTAAAGTGGGCACTTGGGTAGTTGCACTGCCAATTACACTATGGCCAGATAACTGTGACATACGCGTAGATTGATCAAAAAGATGGCTATTTAGTTGATTGACATGAGTAGGCGTACTCTGATCATGAACATGAAAATGACGAGCAGAAGTAGCGGCATGATCATCGGTAGAGTGTAATTGTGATCTAATTTCAGATCTAAGTAACCATGATAACATATCACGAATATTTGGAATAGTATTTTCATCAGCTGTTGCTTCAATAGCCATTTGAATTTGTGTTCGTGAAAAACCCATCTCTAATAATGGCCCAGAAATCGATGTAGAAATATTTGCAACAGTCAAACCGCTTTTATCACTAATTGCTCTTGCTGAGTGATCGCCAACAATTCTACCAGCCATTTCTGCTGCATCAACAGACTTTATTTTGGTTGGTGAAGAGGATAAGGATTCTCTATCCCATTCATTTTTATTAATAAAACCTTGAATTTTAGTGACAAAAACAGAGAAAACTCGATCAAATTCTGTAAAAGGGATAAATCGGCGAATTGGCGATGATGAAATAGCACTTCGCACAAAATACTTCATAAAGGGGATGCAGACTTGCTTTAGTGAGTCATTCGTACAACTATCATATAGTTCTACTGCTTCTTGTCCAGACAGTAACTGTGTAAATTTTCTACAACTGATTAAAATCATCAAAGCCTTCGTGGCTGTAAACTGCAAGTGTGATAATTTAACAGTATTGAGCTCGCTATCTTGCCTTATTTGAATTAACTTATAGTAAGATGATATCCATCTAGGCAACTGAACATCATTACCCTCGCGCAAATGTGCTGAGTCGACAGAGTTTGCAAAAGCTGTAGAGGCAATGTCATGATCTTGTACATTATCACCATCAAAAAGCGAATTTGCACGATACTCTTTCAAAGGATTCTCAGGGAGGCCAGAAAGATAAATAATGCTTTGTATAACATCGGCATTAATACAGTCTAATCCATCTATATCAAAAGACTTCGGCTTGTACAACTTTAGCTGAGCTAAAGGAATCTCACTAAAAAGATAATACAAGCAAGATAGAACATAAAGTTAGCAAAAAATCTTACAAGATTTGGATAATCTCATTTATTACTAATTACTATCTATAAATAGTAGTAAGTTATAACAAAATGATTTGTCAACCTCACAGCTGCATCGGTATCATTCCATAGTACTGTTACAAGTTTACTGTAACTTCGTTTCATGCCAAGAAGTGTTACTATTCGCGAACTTGGTTGATGCTGACAAGTACTACCAACCCTATAACCACAATCGATGCCACCCAATACTGCTAGAGCCGGCCAAGCTAATCTGCATAAAGTATGCAGACATAATTTAGGATAATCTGGATCCTGATGCTCTTCCAGTGAATCAACATTAAAAGCAACACTGTACACGATGCTATCACTGATTTGATGATGGGGGAAAATGTGGCTGTAGGTAACACCATCAGCTTCATCGTTATTTGCGATTAAGACGTTATCATTAATTGTCAAACGATTTATAATGGTTTCGTTTATAATTGTTTTCCAATTCTTATTTTCATGCAATTCTCTTATGAGCTCAACCAAGGCTTGTGCACTAATGACATGACTAGGAGCACATAATGGATCACCAGCTATAAGATCAATTGGTGGGCCGTCAATTCTCATATCCAGTAATGAAATTCTTTCTCCAGGGCTATTATTGCCAAATACAATTACAGGAAGTAATTCTTGACGATCGATATTTTCAAAAGCTATCATCGGCTCTTCATCATTTTTACCAAATGCAATATTACATGATTGCATATCAACAATAACAGTAATATAATCACCACCAGCATAAGATGGAAAAGTTGATGAAGGAAGTTCACCACCATGATACAAACTACCGTTACAAGCACGATATAACCACATATCCGAAGTTGTGCGATAATTATAATCGGTTATTGGATAACGTGTCATACCAATACAAACACCATCGCTATTTCGTGTATCCTGTGTTACATAGAAATTCCATCGTCGAGTACCAGATTTTATGCTAGAAGCGGCAATGCCGTATCCTCGCCCATTTACACTATGAACTAGAGTAGTAAGATTTTCAACCGTACAGCATATCGTAAGATCAGGATCAAAATTGGCTTTAATAGGTATAGCAGGATCTAAGTTCATGGGAGAATCAGTAGTATAATCCACAATTAATTTCGAGTAATCACTATACTCTGTTGACGGTTGAATAAATGACATCATATCGGATATATTATCGAAAAGCGATTCAATAATTTGCCGTATAACATGCTCATCAGCGGTCAAAGCTGATAGAGTACATTTTAGTAAGTTAATAGACAGTAACCGTTGTTGTATACTGATAACACCATCACCGCTGGTCTCCAAATATGAGTTATTAATTTCAAGAAGGCTTTTGACCCACTTCGTGGAACTTATAGTAGAAATAAAACTATTTGAAAATGACAGTCTTCTTATAAATACCAAAAATGCTGATAGATTCCAATCAGTGCCTAACAATGTATGACGACATTTCTTTAGTTTTAATAGAAGCTGCCACAATATTTCCCCGATTGAATCCATGGTTACTTTAGAGAACGATTTTGAAGTTAAACAAACACTTATACAAAATATCTGCAGTAATCTTAAACTTGCTACAGACATCAATAACTGCAACCAATTCTTGCTGGCAATATGAAATGGTGTCTGAGGTGAAAAGGCCACACTTCTTGAATGTAGCGACATCTTCAATGGATTGACTTTATTAATAAGACGACTAAGGATATTAACTACTTCACTGCTAATAAGAACTTTTAAATCTTCATAATTGTGATATAGACTTAATGACTGGAGAAGTACCAATATCGTGCACGACCAAGTATTTTGATCGCTATCCTTATCACATAGATACCGATGTAACAATCCTAGCAGCATACGATATAAACGATGGGTTGCACCTTGCATTTCCAACTGAGCTTCAGTTGTATTAAAAAACGTCATATCCTTCACAAGATAGAAATATAAACAGCAATATGGATTACAGTCAATATAACTCACTAACATCAGATCGGAACAATTATTATTTCAAGTCATTTTTGCCTTACCTGGTAATGGGTAAAATTTGTGTCCAACTTTATTGATGGAATGTTACCAAAACAACCAATAAGAAATTGCACTTGGCATGACGGAAGCGACGGCAATGAAAATCGTGGTGTTACTTCAGCAGAATGAATCAAATCAGGTGGTGTAACATCAGGAGATAATAGCGTCAATAAAACTTTGAGCCCATAAATTCTCATCTGTATAAAGCAGATGTTGTATTTTAACAGATAGAATTGAGGTTTTATGTTTCATCAGTGTTAATAATAATGAACATTAAAATTATCAGTTAACTAATAATTAATTAATAGTTTAAATAATAAATTCAGGTATTACCTCTGATTTCTGCCTACTATTACGGGCAATATCAATGATCATAGATGGCAGATCGATATTCTTACAACTTGACGATGTTGCTGCTATGGCTAGTGACATAAATTTCGCTACTTGATCACATATCTGCTTCATTTGTCGAAGGATAGCATTCTGACGGTTAGGTTCTAATTTATTTGCTAGCCCTTTTACTCCAATGTCAATGTTACCACTGTTATTTGCAGCATTCGTGCTTCCACTTGATAGACCTTCGTTTTGTTCATTTGAAGATCCTTAAGATCAAATTGTCCTCATTTTAACTATTATGACAATAATTAATACGCAAATTCTATGACACTATTCGCTAATCTAACCTGATGCCACTTTTTTCATAAAAAATTGTTCAACCACAAATTGAACTTCATCATTGTTAGCGAGCAATGCCGATTTTATATAACAGCATAAAAATAGAGCAAAAGACTTTAAACGATCCTGTATCTTCTTGAATGAATTATCTAAGAGTTAGGAATAGAAATTGAAATTAAAATCTTTTAGACATAACCGTAAATTGTAACAGGATATTATACACCGTCAGAATATAAATTTTTAAAACCTACCACCAAAGCCTTTGAATTTTTTAATCCAAGAAGTTAAGTTCGTCCTTAGTTTATTGAGATTTGTTAATACTAATCTTAGCGGTGAATCGTTCGATTGTCTAAAATATGCATTAATTATTCAGTAGGAATGGCTGGAAAAATGATGATGTAAATATTGACTCAATGCAATTACCTTGAGTTAATTATATCAACGCCAGCAAATCGACAGTGTTTCAACATGCTTGCTAAAGCATACTTACAAGCATCATCCAATAAGACATTATATTTAGTACTTAGCTCATCCTGGCCTAATGTGAAAGAGTTAATAATAAAGTAGGTTTAAGACGCAATCATATAATGTAACTTTGTAATAAGACAATTAATACCATCATCATCCAACCATTCTCTCACGTGTTGCCAAAGTAGCTCAGTTGCTGTATCACTTTTATTAGGATTTATTAATCCAACTATGCTAGGATTGATTTTAATGATCAAATTTTCCATTTCCTCTTCTGAAATTACACGTCGATGGTATTCATCTAAAGAAATGACATTTAAAATTTAATTATACTAACAATTTAATATGGATTATTCAACATCAGAATACCTTCATTAATACACTCTTCAAAGCCGTTCTGCAATAAAGTGCTTTTAATCCAATAGTTGACGATATCTTCATTACATGACGGCATGTCATACAACATGCCACCTATGCAGCGGCCGATTAAAAAACAGCAAGTACGTTGAATATCTAGTAGCCATACATATGGCTCTTTATATTCTAATCCAAATTCCTTATCGCTTGTTTCCGTTTTCTCTGAAGAATAGTAATTTGATGCATAGCGTTAAGTTACGAATTTGTATATTTAATAATTAGTAAATAATTAAAGAAAAATACTTTACCATTAGATAAGTTCTCCAATTCTTTATCAACTGATTCTATGCCTGGTAGTAAGCATAGAAAGTCATCAAGGCATGAGACCAACAAAATTAAATCCGGCAAATACGTTTTAGTAATCATTGGAGGTAAGAGGAGAAGAGAGTGAGTTACTTGCGAAAGATGGGTCCCAACTACTGAATTCAATACGGCTTCTGTCATAATTAATTAATTCAAAGAAAAATTAGGCAACATTAAAACAACATTAGACAACGTTGAAGAGCCTTTTTGATTTTCGTACCTAATACTTCGCGAATTTTATCTGCAACGCTGAAATGCTGCACAATTACTTTAGCTTCTACTAAGATATCCACTGTGGAAGTGGTCAATGCTGATACGTACGCATTAAGAGCTTCCAGGCACAATTTCGGCTAAGGAAAAATTAAAAAAGTTAAAAAGGTAAGAAAAGGTCCTTAAATGGTAACACATTTTAAGACTTACTTGTTGGTCAGAATGAGTTTTTCCAATATATTTATTACACAAAGTCAACAGATGTTTCTGCATTATTAATAAGAGATCGTCCATTTGCTGAAAAATTAATAGTCCCTCAGCTGAATTTATAAACTTTTCAGCATTTGTAGATGTATTCCTGATTTCTAGTATTTCTTCATGTTTCATGCTCTTTGCCTAATATTAAGAAAGAATAAAGTTATCATATTATAGATACTAAACAACAAGGCAAGCTCTGATAATGACCACAGATCGTGTCTACTCTGAGCCAATATACACATAATAAATGCAAACAATTTTAAAATTTTAACTACCCAAAAGCCCTTCAAATTGTTCAACAACATCATCATTAAGGATGTAGCTAAATTCATTCTTGATAAATCTGTGTCACTGGAATGTGTTCTGAACTCCATTAGGTTAGCGATACGTTCGTCATCATACAGATCTTTCAAAATCAAGCGTATTTGCGTAATCTAGTTACGACAAAATAAAATTGTGGCAGTTAAGGACTAATAAGGCAGATAATAAAACGTCTACTGGTCAACTATTACAGTAGTGTCTAGAAATTTCAGAAATAGAGCAAGTATAGTACTTGTCCTCTTGAGAGTGAATGCCATTTTTGGGAAACATGAGGCAAGAGTGATTGCAATAGTGTTACCATTTCCGGTAAGTCAGGTAACAATAAACGCGCCCCAACGGATAGCACATTTTTGGCGTCCTGCGATATAAATATTCAATAATTTTAAATATGATGCATTGATGGTTTCACTGATTGAAATTACAATAATGAAATAAACGGATAATGTAACGATAGCTTCCTTTTATGATAGATCATTGAACGAGACCTCAAAGTATTCTGGGGTATCAATGAGCCGAAACATAAGCTCCCTTAAAGGTTGTGAATATTGTCCAAGAGCAGAAGTCCACGAACACCAGTCAGTTGAAGCTAATGATAGATGTATTGCTAGAAGATTTAAACAAGTACAAACGAGTTGTTTTCTCTGCCTGCCACAATAAAAAATTTTAGGACTAATTAATTTAGAATATTTCGATAATTGAGTAATTCATGCTTTCATACTAGATACATACCCATGAGTAACAACTGAACTGGCCGTATCATTGAATGTACAAAATCTATCTAATAAATGATATAATTTCGAAAAAGTGTTTTCTTTTAGATCGATACAAAACGGTTTGTATGAGGTCACAATGCACCTAAAGACAGGGTTAATAATATTATTAAAGCCGGATAAATTTATGCTTCAATGAACACCTACATCAACAGTATGCATTCTAATCAAATCATTTCCTAGTCTATTTGCTTTACCATTTTGTTAATGCAATTACCTATCAGTTGGCAGAGCTGTCCATGCTATGCTATGCGATGTGCCAACCGATATTTGATATATAACATGATTATCAAAACCAGTAACTTTTCTCGGTAGTAAAACGGGGCTATTATTATTACCAAGACCACACTGGCCAGAAGCATTATTTCCCCAAGAATAGACATCATTATCTAATAGAAATTAAATTCATATGAAGCACTACAGCTTGTAGTCGTAGCATAACAATAAGTATTTTATTCGTGAAAGCCTTACCGCAAGTCAAAGCTAAACAGTGGTTATCACCAACAGCAATATCAATAATTTGAAGATCTTGAAATTCATCTAGCCGCTTTGGTACCAAGAAAGTAGCATCAGCCTGGCCATAACCAAGACAAGGCCCGCTACCCCATACAAATACCTTTTATTGTGATATTATTGACAGAAAATAATCGTATCAAAGCAATTTCGTACACAGTACAACATTACGTTTTAATAAAAAAATTAAAAAGAAAATTTATAATCCAATACTTTATCAGTAAAAGAATTTTTAAAATTAAAATTGAAGTAAAAGAGTACAAATTAATATTTACTGCATACCTGACCAATCGATGTTAAAGCTAAAGAACTTTGGCTAGCACAACAAACTTTACGAATTAGCAAGCCTTGTAAATTGGAAATAACCTGTAATCATATTATACAAGTAGTGAATAAAAATAGCACACTGCCCGTATCGAACACATTATTAGTAATTACGCTAATACCTTAGGTCTATACACTCTGCTTGTGTCGCCATGGCCAAGTTTACCTGTAATTTATATTATTTATATACATAAATTGCAAGCAGATTTGTAATACATGTATCTCTCTATATATTAAAACTATAAACTATACCGTTGTCGCCAGCACCAAATGACCATACTGTAGTTGCATCTTGTGATATTACGACAGTGAAAGAACTTCCACAACTAACTGAGCCGACACCAGTAATGTCCTTAACCAGTGTAGGAATACTTCTACTATGATTATCACCATGACCTGTAATTAATTGTATCATAGCATCATATTTATACCGTATAGATTAGCAATCCTTGTTTGATCGCAAGCATATTGTAAGCTAACATAATTAAAATTACCTAATCTTCCGTAATCTCCATCTCCCCAAGTGTATAGTAGGCCTTCACTTGTTATAGCAGCACTATGCCGATATCCAACAGCTATTTGACGTACAACCTTCAATAGATGTTATTAGATCATCGCTATCAATATAACTTTGCAATGAAGAATGACGATTAATAATTATAATTAATAGTAATAGTACCTTTCCTTGCATAGGACCTAAAATTAATTTAGGACTTTTCTGAGTGACATGATTGCCATGGCCTAACTTACCATAATCACCTAAGGTAAAGTCATAGAGTGGTCTATTGAGCGATATAATAACGATTTCCCTCAAGTTTTTATGACAAATATCATTAAGTATGCAAATAACTTGAACTTTGCAGTTAAAAATAACGCTATTCTGTACAATGTCAATCATTGCATTACCATCTCCCCAACTATAAATTCGACCATCGCTTGCTATAGCCAACGTATGTCCATCAGAGCCTTTAGATGATACCAAATTTTTAATTTTACATTCGTGTTCAAATCTAATCAATTTTGGCCGATTTTGATTACTCGAATCCCCAAGTCCTAATCGGCCGTAATTACCCTACACGATATGCGCAATAATTGATCATTACAACAATAACCAAGGCCTAATTGAAATAATCAAGAGTATAAACTAGCCTTGCCACAGGCTTTCACATAGCCATTATGGGAAACAGCAAAGGTACAGTATTGTCCAGCTACCATCTATTTGAATAGAAGATATCGGAATGGAGAAGTTTAGCTCACACCAGTCACACATAAAACAATGCAATTCTTGTATATTAATATTATTGATATAGAAATAATTTAAATAAGATAATAATACATATAATTATCATTGATAATCTTACCTGTTCACTATTTGCAAAAGAAGGTGTAAGGTGTGGTATTAGCATTTTCTCTGGTTCGGATATACCCAACTGGTAACTACTATTGCTTCCCCAAACATAAACATGTGATTCTTTAACGTGATCAGTTTGTAATGAAGAATCGACGGTATCTCGAAAAATGCCTTCATGTTCACGTGCTAAACTGGCTACCTATAAATGCAATCCAATCATTTATGTTATTAATCAGTAATAATAATGTATCCATTACGTGCAGGCTATACCATCATTACTGTTGATTGAATTCTACCTCTTGCAGCAAGTGTATAGCAGCATCCTCGATGTAAATGTATTCTTGTTGTGTGCTGGTAACAGATTTATTCTCACTGCCATTTGCCTATAAAATTATTAAATGAAATTATTTGTAATACGTTGACTATTGATCTCTCACTCTTACCAGTGTTTTGTTAGAATAGGGTGGTATCATTAACAATTTGTCAATAGAAATAGGCATCTTACTGTACAGAATGAATGAAAACTACAACGTCAGACAGTATTACCTAAAAATAACTTTGACTTACTGCAATGGATTCAACACCAATTGATTCAATTGATTCATAAATTGATATCAATAATGATCGATAGCACTATGCAACAAGATACCGTATACCGATATTTATATTAGAATATCTTACATTGCCAATTTCAATTTGTAGCAATAAACGATTAAATAGATCGCCATGGATAGCCATGGGTTGGTCTTGAGGCAAAGGATGAGGAGAATTAGCTAACGATAATGCTAATTGTATCCAATTGAGAATAGCACCAAGAGAGCCTTTCTGTATTGCAATGGTTAATAATAATTCAATGGCTATTTGTCGACCTTCAAAAGTATTACCGGAATCAGCTTGTAGCGATGATGTCAAAAATTCAACGACGCTATTTAAAGTATCTTGAGCTAATCTAGGTAATTTGGGCTCACTAGCTAAACTTAACGGAGGCATCAACATTAACGTTTGTAAAGCGGTTGAAAGAAGTTGATTCCAATAAGTACTACTCTTGGCATCATTCAACCATGACTGTTTTAATAGCATAAATATGACATTGATACCAGTCTTGACACCCACTTCAATTAATAAATTGACTCCTTGCGATTGTCCAGTTGTAGCAAGATTGGTTATGGCTGAAGTCGATGGGCGATAAAGAGAATTGGATGAATCAGGCCCTCTTGTCGGACCACTGGAATGTGTCGACGACGCTGCTGCAACACTTTGTAAGAGAGGCTTGTCTTGGCTATAATATCGATAAAAGTTGGCATGATATAATCGTTGTAGGATAATTAATCGTTTGCGAAGATAAGTCGTAAATGGCAACTGAGTATTGACTGCTTTAACTAATCGATATTGATTGAGGATTAAAGTGTTGAGGTAGTCTACTAACAACGATTGATCGATCGTCTTGCTTTCATAGGTGGGCAAGGCACTATAAGTACTATTTTGATGGTCATGATTGGCTGCTTGGGCCTCACGGTTGGTTACCAATTTGTCGAACAATCCATCAATACCATGACGTGATGTAAACAGCCTAATATTTTCATTACTCCAATCAGCATTCAAATGGTCATACCACGTTAAATGATAGCCTTGACTCCATTCACAACTATTCTCTTGCATGGTGATGGAGATTGATGATTAAGGTTGAATTTAGATAAGTTTCAATTGTACTACACTCCACGCTGCTTGATTGATTTCATGTAAACTTCTATAGTCTAATATCCAAATCGGCAATATCGACAATAATTTAATTATCTTAAAAAATATCAGTAATTATGATGTGTAATTGTAAAATAAAATCCTCTCTTCTCAACCCTAATAATAATATGCTATCCTCAACGGATTGTGCTGACAAGCCATCATGTTGTGAAAACTAGCAACCCATCATCACTCATAACAACAACTTTGAATCAAGCTCCTTTTTCGAGACGATAATACCGTCGGTTGTATCAAGAATAGTTTCCTGTAAGCGAAGACGATGATTAAAATAGCCTGTGTCTGTAGACAAGTGGAGAGAGAGAGAGAGTAATAATAAATAATAGGACAACTTGAACTCAATTAGTAATATCCCAATCGAGCTGGCAATATCAACAGTAGTAAAGCTTTCTGTTAGCTGAACGCCAGTTCATCTCGGTGAACTATAATAAGGATTAATATCGCCTCAAAGACATAAATAAGACAGTAGAGTATCATACTAAAATCCATCTTAAACAGACGTCGGGTCGGACGGACTTCCTTCTTCCTCTTTTTGCCATCTCTATCAATAATAGCACTGTAAGCCAAAACTGTTTCATACAACCAGTGCAATACTATACAAGAGTAAGGGTACAGCGCCACGGACTTTCTACTACAAGAGTGACTGGCTCCAAAGTACTTGGTAGGAATTTGGGAGCTAATGCAAACACAACAGCTAAAAATGACCGGCGAAATCGTCAGGCTGGACATTTTTGGAAAGGAATAATCGTTGACAGTTCCTCTCATAGTAGTGTTGTTGTAGTTCCTGGTCGTACTACTGCATCAGCAGATAGAGATGTATGAAACTGTGATGATAGCTGGCAATAAGCTTGCTGGCTGCACCGACTCGCCTAATTTGCAAGGTGCATTGCTGCAAGGCAGATTGTACAGAGCCCGTAGGCTTTGCAAGCCTATGGCTAGAGGCAATCCTTCCTTACAATGTTATAATATAATAAATACTGTACAGTATATATGTCAATAAATATAAGTTACATCTATATTACTAGTGTTGTTGTTTTGAAACGATTTGATCACTTGGCAGCGCCATGGATGACTACAAGAAATACCTGGACTGGGTACCCTTTCGGATGGACAGACATTTGACTTAATTTCATCAAGGGCTTCACTATGACCTTACTTTAGTACGCAGACAGTCGATTCTGAATTGACTGGTTTTTTTCTAAATTAAGTAATATTACGTTGTTTTTAAGCTCTGCTTGGAAGTACTAACTTTAGATCATCAATGTTATTCAAATTAATTCGAATGATTTAGAAAACAGAGATGGAAGATCCATACTGAGTAACTATTTTTCGACATTTTCGGTCTCATCCAGTTGGAAAAGTCCGTCTGTCTGATAGCGTAGAGGACACCGAGTACAGTATCCGGACACTCTCCTTGGACGGATGGACTTTTCAGTGTTTACTGTATTTCTTCTAGTGGTCCATGACAGCGCTAACTACAGATCCAAAAAAGAATCAGGCTGATCACTTTTCCCATCACTCTATATAACGTGGACCACTGAAAGCGTACATACTGTTAATCTTGATTTGCCAATTTTTGATAGTATAGTGTACAGCTACAGACATACGGTGCAGTCAAAATGAGTAGCAAAATAGTCGGCTTCCTACTTTTAGGATCATCACTTTCCGTCTTTCCGTAGTCTTTGACGTGTCCAGAACTACAGTACTATCAGTACAGTACTGTACTGTAGAGTAGTGTACTGTAGTACTGTACTGTACGGTCTGCTGCGAGCATACCAGGTTGTCACCCTAACTTTCTGTTCTGTATCCGTAACACAGCCTATAGCATAATAGTGAGGAGACAATTAGGTGACAACTCATTTTGCACGCTTGCCGTCAGACTCTGCAACCATTGACAACGCACGCACTCCATTCAAAATCGCCTGCCACCATAAACGATGAGCTAGATCTCCTCGCCAAATGAATTAGCTAACCAAGTTTAATCGAATTTTCATCACTTTGAACCAAGTCAATGAAGTGATTCAATCGATGAATTGCTATATCGATGAGTAGATAGTCCATTATTCCATCTATGGAAGCGGAGAAGAAACACAAACTCCATGAAAGCGAACGACCTTTTCGTCCTCGTCGTCTACCAATTCAAAATATTGTCTGGAAATTACATCAACGGCAATGCAATCAAGCATCGCCAGGGACAAATTGGTACCAAACTCGCTCGTTGTATCAGAATATATGCCCGAATTTTACTGTGGTTGATGTAGAAAAACGATTATGTTTTATGCGTAAATTTTCACCCGATGGCAATTCATTTATTGCTTTCTCACTAGATCAAAAATCCGTTGAAATTTATCAATTTCAAGGCCCAAGTGCTGCAGAATCATTACTCCATGCCAACGTGGACGCAGCCTATTTACGTAGTAAAATATTTGATGTATTTTTTAAGCGCCAATTTATTACTACTGTCACCAGTAATGGAGAATTACTCAATCGAGAATGCAGCTTATACACAGACGATAGCCGATATGTAATTGTATGTTCTGCAATTGCAGTACCGGAAGATCCAAGCCCTTATTTTTATGATATTTATCGAAGTAATGAATCTGTTTTTCCGAATGTGCGCTCTCCATTGGAACATTACACCATCCATATCATTGATTTACAAACTGGTCGCCACTGTGATCAGAAAACATTCCGTTATGATAAAATCTATCTATCCCATAATCAAGGCTTGTATTTATATAAAGATATTCTAACTGTTTTATCGGTTCAACAACAAACCATTCACATCTTTCAAGTAACTAAGCATGGCCTCTTGATCGATATTCGTACTATTGGTCGATTTTGTTTTGATGATGACGAGCTAGCTTTATCTGCTCTATCAGCAAATATAACCAGTCATCACTATCAGTCCAATACAACTGCCTCAACTCATCCTCAACGTAGGGACAGACCTTTTTGTGATACCTCCATTAACTCATTAAAACATCGCCTATTAACTTATCTATGGAGAAAAGCTAATCAAGAAGGACCTGATGGATTGAGAAGATTTTATAAGCATTACATTTACTTTTGTGCTTTAAGAATGTGGAAAATGCAAATGTTAGATGAAGAGCATCTATTAATTAAATATGCCAATGAAGATGTAGTCACCATGCGTGTCATGGATCCAAATGCTCAACCATCTTTATTTGTCATTTATAATACCAAATCGACCAAAGTAATAGCGGTATTTGAAAATACTTCCGAATTATTGTTACGCCTTTTTGAAGAATTTTGTGATCAATTCCGCAATGCTCAATTACATTTAGCAATCCCCTTTACAAGCAGTGCTTCAAATAATCTCCATGCAAGGCAATTACTCCGTCGTTTTAAAGATACTATTGTTAGTGCTAAATATGGTGGTCATATAGAAGCGGTTAAAAGGCTGCTGGCTCAATTGCCTATAAGCGCTCAATCATTTAGTAGTAGCCCATACTTAGATCTTTCATTATTTAGTTTCGATGATAAATGGATATCGCAGTTGGAGAGACCAAAACCATGTGGTGATCATCCAATAAAGTAAGTATAACAACTCAGTATTAAATTTACAGTTAATTAATGTTAACCCCTACTCACTGTCAGTTAGAAGTAGAAATTTAAAGGAAATGACTACTGGTAGTTTTAACATCGACTTTCTCTGCCTTTTACTCACTAATATTAGTGTTAGGGTAATAAATGCATAAAGTATGGTATTTGACAACGACCATATACAATAATGATAAATGTACTAGTTACTGTAGCCATTGCTATAAACAAACGTTGTTCTAGAGGAAGAAATTTTTCTATTTGTATAATCAGTAGACTTGGTCATTTTTAATAACCCTGTCAATATATGAATAACAAACGAATTATAAAGATATTTTCGCTAATTGTGCTAGTTCAATTGATAGAATATTATATACGAGTACAAGTATCAAAGTCAAATACTTGCGCTTCAGTAGACATTATATTTAAATTGACTCGTTTTAATGCAGCTCTATAGAATACCCAAATACAAGTATATGGCTTATCACGCAAACAATTGTATTTTACAAGTCTTATATATTTTAAAATTATAGGTTTTTCGGTCGCGATTCTGGGCTACTCAAGTTTAAGATTTTCCCCGGAATACCCGACGTTCAGTCGCCTCCATTAGCGAGAAGATTAGTAGCATTTACATTCCATCCATTTTATCCTTTTGCCATATCTGTACAACGGACCAACATCGATTACATAGTGAATTTCCATTTCCGTCATAATTCTAAAGATAATAAAGAATATGTGATATAACGATTCGCTAATACAAATCAGTAATACTACATTTAGTAAATTATCCTTGCATCAGTGCTGAAAACTTATTGCTTTAAAATTTAGAATTTTCTCTACATGATAGATCCAAAATTTTCTATTCTATTTCCAGTTTAGCTTGAAGTAGAATTCGTACTGTAATTATTCAAGAACGCAAGTATTACTGTAATGTTATCGTTAAGAAAGTGATATACGTGTTGATAAAATCTATATAACCGTACAGCAGATGCATGTCACTGTGATTATTTTATTTGTATCTATTTAATAGTTACAGTATGTAACTTATTATGCATATTATTAATAGGCTATATCTTGATCCAAATAGATTTGTAATATCATATTTTTAATAATCTTCATAATCTTCATTTTTGATACTTTAAAACTACACAAGTCTGACTTCACCGTCATTAACCGTCCCTGTCAATGACAGAACTACGGCAAAATTATATATAGTACATCCTGACAAAGTATATCATAATGTAATATGCAACATAGCGTACTATGCGTCTCCGGCACTCCCTGAGTGCAGTTAGATATTTACTGTCAACTACAGCATTTAAAACAAATAAATAGAGTACGGAAGATTATTTTTATAACAGAGCAACTGCAAATTTTACACTATTTGCCTCACGCAGAATTTGGAGTTATACTGTATGCATAATAATATATAATTGTTATAAAATTTCAAATATTTACGATGTATAATGTAAACTCATTGTCTGTAATTTGTAATGATTTGTATATATATATGAATGTCTAATAAAATATCTTAATGCAAGACAAGTTATATCTTTAATTAAGCAAGGTTATAAATCGTGAATCGAATTTATGAAAGCAATATACTTATTCTGACACAAGTAAATTAATTTACAATGTAAACGTGCACCCGTAATTCGTCGGTGAAAGCTATTCGCTGTAGAAAGTAACGGCGGTCTCATTAAGAGGTGCAAGGAATTAGTTCTATAGTATTATATCGAGAATCTACTTTCCGCTACAATTTCTTTTTACGTATACTGTAGGCACGCACATAAACTTGTACTTGCTATCAGACAGTAAGAGATTAATCATTATGCTTGCATACTTTAGCGTTACTGATACTCTATCCAAATATAGGAAAGATCTCTACCTTGAATACAGGACATTCTCAATTTATAGATGCGGTTGTTACTACAATCATCCACGTACCATTAGAGAGATTACTGTAATCACTACTATAAATGAGGCTAAATATGCCATAATAACAAAATTCAACAGCAACACCGACATGCATGAATACACCTTAGCAAGTACGTTACAACAACTCTAATGCCGGTATTAAGGTCTTTATTAGCGAAAACATAACAGCAAACAATAGTTTGTAAACTCATCGCTTTATTTCCAATGCAATAATATCACTATTAAGATACATACAAGACAAAGCTTTATCAGCTACTCAAGGGCAAAGGACGATCGTCGATCGTATACATAATAATAAATTAATTTCTTCACAAGCATACTTACAAAGAGTATGTCGATTAATTGTTACTGTAATGTATTATATACTGTACAGAAAAATAGAAACTACAGCAGGGAAGGATGCCAGTCAGCAAGTATCTAAGTGATCTTTGAGGCTCCAACCTTAACCTAGCTTACCAACATGTGAAGACAATCAGTTATGTAAGCGACGAAATGAAATCTGTCCTGAACACAAAAGTCGCAACTCTATAAAGGTAACGGCGAAAAAGGGAATTTAATAGGAATAATTAAGCCATGGTATCAGACTATCGCCATCTTTAGATATTTCTCGAAGTCTTAATCGGGCAACTGAAACTTTAACAGTTTTATAGGAGATTCAAAATTGTTTCCCGGAATATTGCCTAACACTAAAATTAGATTTTTCGTGAGTACATAGCCTCCGTAAGGCCACTACTATAACTACTAAAAAGGAACTGTCGCAGCTCATTGAACCTACCAATCTTGTAACAAACCATGAGCTTCATCAATCTGATCTTTACCGCCAGAAATAGTGATTACCCGATAATCTTCACCAGGTCTGGCATCATCAATCTTAATCATAGCTCCGCTCCTTTCTCTAAATAAGACCCAAATTAGAGATTTTAGTGATAAATACACCACAACACATATCTGGATGAATTCATAAAAATTTTTGTGGTAAAATTTTAAAGTTAAGTATACCTGACATCACGAATGCGGGTACCTCCTTTCCCAATTATAGAACCTGCTAACTATTTATCGAAATTACGAGTCAATAAAGGTAATTGAAAGTTTAGCATGGAAGTTATCTCTTACATCTTTAGGTATAGATACTTGTACTGTCGCTGGTCCTTTCTCTTGTCGACGACTATCGCCTTTAATATGAGCAGATAAAGAAGTCAGTATCATACCTCAAATGCAAGTATTAATTGTACAGTTCATAGTAAAGTTACATACCTCCATACACTGGCCTTTCTGCTGGTTCTTTTGGCTGATGCTATTAAAAATAGACCATCAAGCATAAATTACAATTGCATGCAACAAATATGCATTCAGCCAATGTTAATGTAACCGCGCAGACTTTGAGAAGTTAATGGCGTCCATAGTACACTACAAGGTCTTACCGAAACTGGCTCGTGCCCATAATCCATCGGTGGTTGATGAGGGGAGTCCTGAAAATCCCTTCCATAAAACGGTCTATCTCTTGGTTCGTAATCGCGTTCATAACCCCTATCATCCCTAGGATAACGTCGACCATGTTCAGGACTACCTGATATAGGTGGATATCTACTTGAAGGTTCTCGTCTGTAATTAGGGTATCTTGGATCAGAATCCCAATTTGATTGTGGACGTCCCCTTCGGGCTGGTCCACTGCGGCTGTCACGATCGTAATCTCTGCCTCGGCCTCTTGGGTAGTCGTAAGGGCGATCATAATCGCCTTCAGATCGCCAATCCGATCCACGACTACTACTAGCTGGTGGCATTTGATTATCACGGTAACGATTATCTCGATAATTGCTACCTCCTCGTGATAAATTATTATCAGGATCATAAAGATCTACGCGCCCCTTGGGTGGCGACTAATTTCATAAGCGAAATAAAATAATCTACAGTAAGAATATTTTCCAAATTACGGTATTCAAACTTCTCAAATTACCTCTAAAAGAATTTCCAAAATAGACTGAATAGCTTTCACAATCGTAGCTGGAGTACCTAAAATTTAATCCACCTTACGTTAGCAATATAGGACGCCAATGTCTGTGTGCGTACAATTATTACATAACATTCGTTATAATCATACCTGTAATAGAGACAACTCTTTCGGTTGAACGCGGCATTGTATCTGCAAATATCTATGATTGCAAGAACTGATTTAAGCAAAAAATGCCATGGTCTCTAAAAACGTCGACCTAGCTTTAGAAAAGGTATCTCATAATTTTACCTTGATACCAGCATTTGTTTCCTACACAATAATACAATAATTAGTGCTTGCAAGATTTGATTATTTACCCAAGGTCAATCTATACAACCGAAACAATCGACGAAGTTGCAACACTAACCTGGCGTAATTCTTTAATTTTAAAGCCAGCACGACCAATAATACCACCAACTTGCGATTGCTGTACTAATAAATTGACCTCTGTCTGATAATTATCCGAATCAGCAGGGCGATCACGATACTGTTGATTGATGTTAATAAAAAATACAACATTAATATTTCTCCATTGAAACAAAGCCATAATTAATGTTCATACATCGCCAAGTTTCGGGATAACTTCATGAAATATAGACAATACATTCTTTAAACCAGCCTTGATTGTCAATATTCTAAAATAAAAGATAAAAATATATGTTAATGTTATACCTTGCAAATTAAATATGACTAAGTATCCGTAGATAACACTTATATTTCGATACAGGTTCTCAAATATCTGTATAAAAGTAACGTATTGAACAAGATCGATAGTAGTCTAACGTATAGGAAAATTGCTACAAGAGGCTTTAAGGGCATTTTCCAATGCTATTACTGGTACTGGTCGAATAGGTTGTAAATTTTTGGCAGCAATGAAAAATCGTCTTTTATATCACTTTCAAGAACATCCTTGTTTGTAGTCTACATTGCTATATTTATTAACTTATAAACATAATTATACAAAGTAAATCGCTTAGCATAAATAAATTTAAACCATATAACCAATGACATTAGAGTGGAAGGAGATAGGGACATACCGCTCGGTGGAATGTGATTCGGGCACTGATACCACAGCATTATACTGGAATAGGACAGGTTAACATAGGATTAAGATTCGGATAATATCTAGCATAATTCTAGGGTGAGGACAGTACTACGATAGAATAGGATTCCAATATGGGGAATATAGAGCAAACTTTCGAATACATAAAATTTTTTTTAATTTTAACATACTGTACAGTGAAAAATATTGAATTTAACAAGTATAGCTTTAAGTGAGGTATAAATTTACTTACATAAAGTAGAGTACTACAGATGAAATACGTCATCAAGCAGTCACAACTCACAAGTGCACTGAGTAAAGTAATTTTTAAAATTTATACTGAAAATTATTAAGCCCATGATGCTCACAAAGCGCAAGGACCTAAATTCTAAGGTTATGAAACAATATACTTCAAGAGAGTACAATGCCAGCGACTGTTAATATTAGAATCATTATAAAGTAATGCAATCACGTAAATGAGAAGTATCACTGACAATACAAAACAATACCAGTAAGGGATATCAAAACTGGATATCATCACGACTATAGTAGAAGCTTAGCCATCATAAGTCTCCAAATAACGAATATAACTAATTACACAGACTACTTTTATCTGTTAGGGTGGAGATTGTTGGCATTAGGAAGAATCAGTTAGGACAGATTTATCTATCTTGAAAGAGCAATGAGCAAACACGAAAATATATTTATCTACAGTTAACTAACCTCACTACGAAGACGTTTAATAGTCAGACCACCCTATATATGGAATGTATACGGTAATTAATAAGCATCTGAGTTAGCCAAGAATATATTACGTCAGCAATTTTCTCTATAGCATTAAAGCGCCGAATTTCTTCCAAGATTTTACGGCTGCAAGTTATTTATAACGAAAATGCTAGCAATCATCCCAGTGAATAGCCATATAATTCCATGGCTTTGTGCAAATATCTATTAGCACAATGGGCATAATATTCCAGTCTTTCTTAATTTACGTACCTTGCCAATAATCCCGCCAGCATCCTAAACGAAATAACATATTAAGTATTATCGACACGTTATTAATTAAGATTAACAATCACTCACTACATTCGTAAGGCGAACTTAACTTACGTAAAAAGTAACAGTTACATATCTCTATACATACTTGAGATGATCACAGTAATTAAATCATAAATGATAAATACGGATAATCAATAAGTAAATATTGGATGCTGCTTTACCTTACCATCACAGAGTCATAGCAAAGTGCTGCATAGTACTAACTATCCATTACAAGTTAGAAAGTAGAGTTGAAAGTGAAAACAATTTTTGCAAACTGAAGAGGTCAGTATAATCTATGATTAAAAGCTACATACTGTACGTACAGTATCATATTATGGTTATTGTAATGAACGTCTCTGTAAAACGTCAAAGTTTCACAGATAAAAATATCAAATCAAGCTGAATTATAATATATAAGTGAAACAATAAACGATATTTCAATGTAAAAAAAGAATTACAGTAAGACGAATAGCGAAAGTATACTATAGGCGTATTTTTACGCAGACAATCTATAGACCTTGCTACACTCTACTGAATTGAAGATTTGTTTGTACTCTTTAGCTACTGATGGTATTAGCAATGTCATATGATGCAGCAATTTGTAAGTCTAGTAAGTCCTAGTGCCGGCAATTGTCACTAATGCAAGCGATAGTAATTTCAATTTCGCGGGACATAACTGAATGACAATAGCTACTATGCAATTTACAAGATATTTATTTCGCTTAAACTATGTAATTTATTGTTATTATTTTAAAACAAAATTTCATCACATGATGCGAAAGCGATTCGCTTCAAAATGGAGACGATTTTTATTCATTAATCCGTCAATTAAAGCATAATCGACTAACCCGACTCTGGATTAAAACTCTGGCGCTAATTTCCACATCGGAATCATCTGTTTTAGCCCTCTTATTCTTCGCTTCATCATAGTTATCAATATCAGCTGAGCGTTTTAATTGTTCACCGCGACCTCCTGCATAGAAAATGTAGTAAATTAGTCTAATATATAAACATGTATGAACGTTGTCCAAATGTTTCTAACATGAAAATTGGACATAAATCTGTACGAAAGTATGGTATTAATTATAAATTGACTACCAAGCTATTCTACAATCAACACTTATGATAGATGAGATTAAATTGACTTTCGTCAAACACTAACAATACGCGTATACGAGTACATTTCTCGATCAAAGAGCGCATACTGTCCAACCGGTATTGAGTAGATGTACAGTACAACTGTAGTATTTAACATGTGAAAACGTTGAACATGATGGCATCTATCTATACGCGATTACTGTACTGTAATATTATTTATCTTGTTATAATTACCGTCGTCACCGTCGTCTCTTTCCATTCCACCACCAGGACCAACATCGGCCATATAGAAAATTTTCGGCTTTTACTTTAACGAGCTATAAATTTCATAAGAAGACTAATATTACAGAAGATTAGGTGGATATTGTATATCTACTATTGTACAATTTTATTTCCAATAGTGAAGAGCCTAAGAGTTCCGCTCTTGATCTTATCGTGGTTATACATTAGCGACTAGTATTTGTTGACGTCTATCATTCTAGGGAGCGATGGTCATTGACTGGCTACTGCTAGAATTCAATCCATGACTACGACTGACATATTCTTTCCTCTTTGCAAGTCAATTTCTTGTTATGTGATGTTCCTTAGCGTAGTATGTCGCCAATGGAATTTATCAACAAATGTAAGAACTGTGGTTAACTAACTATGTATGGATCCATCTGTATCGATGTACAGTATACTTTTGCTTTTGCCAGATTGTGTGCAGTTCAGCTTAAAATATATCTTTTCTACTGCATTCTTGTATCAAAAGCTGTCGAGCAGAATATTCCACTACTTCCTGTTTCCTACATGCCTATATTCCATCCATCAAAGGATGATTATGATTGTATGCAATCTTTTAGTCAAGTACAAGTACTCCAACTGCACAGTGCTTGGATTATCACGTCTGGCAGTTGATCTACCGTAGCACAGCGATGTTTAGTTGACTTGCCGAAAAATGATTGCGTCGATAAAACGTGCATCCAACTGCTCGTTAAAATAGAATCCATTGGCACTAAGTTGTTACTACCCACTATAGAATAGTACTGCAGGGTTAAGAAAGTCCAACGCTATTCAACTTGGGGCAAAATTGTCCACGAATGGAGTGAACTATATCATCGCCAGTTTGTGCAAAAGGATCGCTAGTGAATCTTTTTCTTTATTCAAAGGGATCACATGGACGTTTAATGTGTCCATATTCTACGATACTGACGGTCATTTTCTTGATCACAGGCAAGAAATGAATTCTCTTTCTTAAACAATTGGTGCAATACAAGCTAATCTTGCTCTACCATAAGCTATAAAATGGAAGAAAAAGGAGAAACTTACATGAAAAAGAGAAAAATTTCACTGATTTTCCTTTGAAAAATGGCAGGCGCACAAAGATGAGGACAGAACTGCCAATTGAACTAACGCTGTCAAATGAGTTGCACTCCTACTGTATGGCTGTAGTCTACTGTCCACTACTGTACAGCGCACGCTATAGACTACAGTATCAGGGATTGGTAAGAGAAAAATGGCATTGTGAAAGCAGTCACGTGTACAGTAGTACAGTACGGTCTTACAGTACCACATACTGTACTCCACGATCACAGTACAGTGTACTGTACCAGATTCCATCCTGGTACCCATTGGCTACCTCCGGAATTTGGGTACCGTCGCTAAGAATGAAGTCTGGCACAGTGCATTGGAAGGACAGAGTTCTGTCCAAACTGGATCGACAAATTGTGCCATACATGATTTTCTGTAAATGACTTTAATAGTGTAAGTGCTATTTATTGTACATTTGTGCAGTACTGCAGTACTGTATTGCATAGCCTGTTACTATGCTCTACTTAGTCTTCTTTTATCGCTACAGTACATCCAAAATACTGCATTGTACTGTACTGTATGACCGACTGACAGTACAGTACAGTATACAGTACGTGACACAATGTACAGTACAGTACAGTACTCTACGCATGACGTCAATTTGATGTCATGCTCGCGCATTCCAGTACAGTACGGTACTGTAGTAGTACACATACTGTACTGTACAGTACTGGACGAGTCATTTCCAAACAGACACGGAAGATCTTCAGTACAGTAGTTAGTACTGTACAGTGTACAGTACTAACTATGAGTACTGGAACTATTTTTTCGACATTGATCGCCTTATCTGGTATGAAAAGTCCGTCCATCCGAGGGGGTGTCCACAGTCAAGGTTTTATCTTTTGAGTCAGCGTACTGTACATGTTCTGTACTGTACAGTACTGTACACACTCTCAAGTTAATACTACAGTACTATACACTGTATACAGTACAGTACTGTACTGTGTACAACGATAAACAGCGATCACAAAAACTGCCAGTCGAATGCAGTCATGGACTTGTAGTTCATGACTATTCATAAATTAGGGACGAATCTGTTATATCGCTGTTATGCAGCGATATAACAGAGCACAAACTCAGCAAGGAGACAAAGAAGCTGCCGCGAGATAATATTATACTGTACATAGACAGAACTCTACAATTCACCTTGACAGTTTATAGTTTACAGTACTGTCGATAGGCTGATTTTACATAGCAAACAGGACAAGAAAGGGTAAAGACTGAAAGTGAAAAACACAACTACTGTATAATATAGTGTATATATTTACAGAATAATGGAGGTCTCTCAAGCCCTAATCTCCCTACTATACCTACACCATTGAGCTTAAGGCATTGACTGTTTATATCCAATCCTGCACAGTTCCTTACTTTGATGCAGAGTAATAATGCTAAGAGGCAATATGCACGCACATTTATGTTCTCAAAAGTAAAAGTCCAAGTACAGACTACTGTACTGTATGGCTCATCACTATTGTAGCATAAACACACACTGAGACCCTACTGTACACTGTACAGTAGAGTGTAGAACTGATGATACTAGTCCATCGCAGACTTAGGCCTTCGGTCAGTCTGTCCGATGTTTCGATACCATTCAAAAATCGATACCCATGAGCGCCACGATACGGCTGGCGGCTGACTCTTCCTATTCACGCAGTTCCTGAATCTTCATCGTTGCCATGTCGATGGATATTGTGCTGGCGTTGGTCCCATTCCAAATGACTTTATAGACTTTCCATAAGGATATTGAAAGAAATCTTCCTTCCATTTACAAATTTGAAGACTATACAACGACGCTACGAGTAGATTCATATTGAGATCAGATCAGACTTGCAGAAAGTGAAATAGGGTCATGGATACTATTTACTGATGCAAGCATTACTCGTCAATCCCATACTGAGATACCAACGATGATACAACCATTGTGAACGTTGGAACCAAGGATATAATATATACAAACAACATATTAATACAAGTTCAATCCATAATTAAACAAGATTGAAACTTGAAGGAAAAGCCTGTTTTGAACTTTTCAAAGTTGATCCGTCTATTTGTTAAGAATCTGTTACAAAGCAAATTCATCCACTAGTTTACCGCTTCCAACTGCCTTTTACAAGATGGCTGTCCAATTGCCAAAACTGGATAATAATAATTATTATTACCAGGTATTATTCACCCTGGCAGATTATAGTATTCAATCTGATCCTCCTGAAATTCTCCTGGCTATTCGTGCTCTGACTGCTGTCTTGAAGTACAAATTACCGTCGTATTATCGTATCAAGGCATGCCTTCAACTTGGCAAAATTTATGCAAAATATACTTCCAATAGAAATGAAATGATTTCTTATTTTTATCAAGGGGTAAGCAGTTTAGTCTCACCAGTTCTGTCTTCAGCTATTATCTATCCGATAATGATCTTAATACAGCCTAATTTTTTTGTCATATATTCATTCATAGGTTACAGAATGCGACAAGGTAAACTGACTTAGCCTTCAATCCAACAGACATTACCACGTACACTTGCCTTTAACCATTACCTTCATAGAAACATATTCTAAGATTCACTAGTAACGTTTAATATTTTTGCTGCTGATGGACACGATCAACTTTCTATGTTATTGTATAGTCACCATGCTTAATCACGATTAACACTGTGTAGTATGTTGCTAGGGATGGATATACGTTTATTTCACCTTCATGATAACTTACTTTCTCCAGATCAAGGTTTATTAGTCTTGATACCTTTCATCAACAAGCAACAAAGTCTACACAATGTAGGATACTGCAAGTCTATTCTCTTAGTGAAATGATATTATTTAGTCCTTAGACGTTTTATTCATATCGAGCTGCTACTTCTTGCTTCACAAGATTCTTACTTATTACAACTGCTCACTGTAGCGCAATATAATACATACGTCATGGGAATATCCTCAACGGTGTTGCTGTATTATAACTGATACCACCGAATTTACTCTTGAAATACTCATATGAAGATTCGATATCCAATGAAGCTTTCTCTGAATTCTTTACTTATACTTTAAAAAATACCACAGCCGCATATAATGTTGTTAACCATTGCCTTGTTCACCATACGTATATAAAAGCCCTATCAACAGTTTATACTGTATCGCCTTACTTTACTAGTGTCTGATTGACAGGTCTATAACCTGCTTGTTTCTATTGACAAAAAAATAAGTTATTTTAGCCATACTATAGATAATGTACAAATTTCGAACTGAAGTATTACAATTGATAAAAATGCTATAATCTAACATCGTAGTATCATTAACAAAGAAACCTTGTACATATATAATCTTCTTCTTGATTCCTTTAGACGAAGTACTAAACTTTCTCTACTGTAATTTTTTAACCGCTATATATTTATTTCCTGTTAATATTAAACCATTTCTGAATTTTAGTCTGCTGATAATAGCGAAATGAGAATAGAATTATCCTTCCTTCTTGCCGAAGAATACCAATCTATGGTAAAGTAACGAAACAAATTATGAAGTTATATGTGAACTGAATGTTTGTTTTAATTGATAAAGCGAGGTAATTCTTGCTAAATTCAATGTTTACTAATACCTTCAGAAACAGCTAGACAATGCGCTACACTTGCTTTTAAGAATAAGAGAATTTACAAGAACCTATCCTCGTTGGCATCATCGAGTTATATTTAAATTAGTTGTGAGTAACAATTTATGAGATCGATAGTGTAAAATAGAAATAGATAGACATTTTTGTTTATTACGAAAAAGCGAAACGTTTAAGCAATAGATTAGTTAACGTCTGTAAATACTTTTCAATGTCACAGAAATCTTTATGGCCTTTTGCTATTCTATTTTCTAGTTAATAAATTAATACTTCAGCACATCAAGTCAACAACATCATTTTCTTAAAGTCCAATTGCTATTATTTTAGGGTATATACTATGTAAAAGGCGCTTTTGATAGAGCTTTCAATATACTGCAAGATGGTATATCGTATTTCTACCAAAATGGGGTTGTCAGGTTCGACTTAATAACTAAATTGTTATATATTTAACAATGCACTAGTTATTGTACAGTGTAATATCTAGATGTACACAACTCTTTAATACTTAAATCAATTAAAAAATGACAGCTAGTGTTGATAAGCAGACATCAATCATAAATAACACCAAAGCTTAATTTTTGAACTCTTAATTAAATTTTTAGGCTACAAATACTTGCCACAATTGCGCAGGTATAGATTATGTTTTATACACACATATAGTCCTATACTATATCGACATAAAAATTATTTACGCCGAAAATTTTCTACGCTTTCCTAATAATTATTCCCTTCAAAATTCTTAGCTAGCTTTAATTCAAGGAAATTACTCTAAACTGGCGCCCGTATTCAACGAATCTGACGTGTTGATAGCGAATTTAAATGTGCATCCTAGTATTATAGAACCAGTCAAAGCACATCTGTTCTGTTTTCGGGTTTATTTCCTAATATCAGTAGGCGAGGTAGAATCTCTTCGCTTGCGATTTTCTCACAACTTTTACAAATATTTCAATTAAATCTTATTTTATACTACAGATGAAACAAGCTTCAGTACAACTGAAGCAGCTACAACAGTCAATACAGCAAATTGTTTCCCTTGCCAAGCCAGGTATTATACTACGTAATAAGAAATTGCTATTAATATTATTTTAGGGCTGTAGTAGAAGTGCCTGCTTATTAATATTATTAATTTGGAAATGGCAGAAGGGGATAGAATAAACGAGGACATACTTCCATTATTTTGGTTATCCAATGAAGAACTTTGTGTGCTAACTTATATTGTATGGATTGCAATTGCTTGTACTATTATAATTATCCATAGCTTATTACCGTTCGCAATTAATGTTATGTAAAATTAAATGTTATAAAACTGTTTAAGTTACAGTTTACCTTGAAAAATATGTGATATCACTTATTGGATTTTTACCCTCCCCTGCAGATTACATCCATATTTCATACATATAGTGGTCAAATCGCAAAGGCTGATAAATATATTAACAAGGCTAGAAATCAGTTAGATGAATTAGCGACGAACGCCACACGTTCTATGGAAATTAGATCTTCTATGTCGACATTATATCGCTTGCTTATATTCAAACAACTGGTAGTTATTAATCTATTACTTGGTCGCCCTGCGAATGCGCTTTTGCCTGTAAGTAAGACGAGAATAAAATATTCTACGGCCAATGTTATTATTTTCGTAGAATCTATTTATTTAATATTCGGGCAATTGCTATATTTTACATGCTTTGGTAATTTGATTTCTGTCCTTCCAGATGCGTTCGCTTATTGAATTGTATGAGAATAACAAGCAGTTATTAAGTACCGAGCGAAGCACTGTCCACGCCCTATTGGTAAATAGGATTGAATAAATTTATCATTGCTATTTTATACTTTTGCAAAGTATACTTGCTATTTCTACCCAACGCCGCTAAAAGAATAAATTAATTATAATGACTTTAGGGAATGTATGCTATGAATCTCGGCAACACGGATCTTGCAAAATATCACTTCAACTCTGCTACCAACGTAAGTTATCGTCATTTATGGTGAAAAGACTTCTCTTATATAAATATATATACATATAATGCACTATATAAATTGCAAAGGCACTTCGTATTGAATATAGTATTATCTTAGTACAAGTGTTGTCAAACATTTAGAAATTTACAGTTTAACTTTTGGCCTAGTCAACGTACCTTCGCAGCAATTTGCAACTGTATAACAAAAACACCAATTGATTCTGTTAATTTCAAGCTATCCCAAAGATACGACGTAAAGGAATATTTAAAGCTCTTACAAGCAATGGTAGTACTTAACAGTGAAGCCACAACTAATAAGGTTTGCAAAGAACATAAGGCAAATATTGATACTTGTGTACGCTGAAAGGAACACCACGTAACTGATAGTTAAACATTCTTAAGCCTTTAGAACTTAACGATTGATACAACTTCAGATTTCGATCATTATGTTACCTGATTGGTAATCATTTATAAATCACAAGTAACTATTTTAATCTATGACTCTGCATATATCAGGATAAATATAACGATATTGTATGTTTTATCTAAAACTCTTACAATGTCATATGGTATAAATATATTACGAATCTGTATGAATGCATTAGCTTTGCGATAGTTGTACTACGTGTTATGTGCATATCAGTACTGTATATGTTGAAAATGCATCAGTTTATAATAAATTATTTCTATGTTACAGTCTGAGCCTATCTTACAAGAAACAATGCCGGAGAATTTACCAATTCGGTATCGAATCTTAGACAGTAGATTAATTAATCCTATGATTAGCATCACTTATTGCGGAATATTATTTTTGTAAGGAACACCAAATTTCTTGCACTATCTTATCTCGTGCACGCAATAAGTCAATTTCAATCAAGTAGATTCGATGACGCTAGGTAATCTAGCAGAAGCTCTTATCGGTCTCTGCAATTAAAAGTAACTATGTAAGATAAAAATAATTACTTATTTTGTACGCTCTAGAACCTTATCTCGTGAAGCGATTAAACTGGCCTACAACGCTGACATGTTAAGTATGACTGCTGCTGGCTTATCGCTTACTGGATATACGCTTTTACATCAAGGAAAACTACAGGTAAAGCTATTGCCATGGTCCTGCTTTTAAAGTTTTGGCAGTCTCAAGAATGAACTAACCGAGTTATAACTAAGTATTCACTGGGTAAACTAATCGATTTTTCAATTTGTAGGAATCATTGGATGTTGCTACTTCGGCGCTACAAATAGCAAGAAATATTTCTAATAACTATACTGAAATTTCTGCCTTACTGTTACTGTCAGGTTTGTTATAGTAATCAAGGACGATGTCATCACTGTAGCTTTACTAAAATTCTACTACCACTTAATATAAAGGTCGTTGGTAGCCTTTTACGATAGCTACTAATGCATAAGTTACTTCAGTACGCACTAGCATAGTCGATGTCTATAGCTATCAATTTAGCTTATTTTACAAGAGTCGCTGTATTATCTTCTCTTACTGTAAATTACTTTCAGATATTTATCGATTTGCTGGTGATAACACTCGAGAAGAAGAATACCGTACCTTGTATAATGGAATCATGGATGAAATCAGGCAAAGTGCGTATTGCCTAGAAAAACTTTTACCACAACTAAGACTTGAAAATAAACTTTAAAATTTGTTAATATTTCCTTACTAATTGGCTACTAACCTGAATGTTAACTAACCATTCATTAGCAACTTCTTAACATAATATTATTATGTACCATCCTTACAGACCAATTTGAAGCCTCACGATCCCCTTTATCAAATGTTGTCCAAGTAAGTTGTCTTGATAGCCATGTTCATAACATGGGTGTTGAGTTCAAACATACGATACAATACTGTATTCTGTATCTAACCATTAACTTGAGAATAAGCATTTTCATTGAATTTTGCATCTTTATTGTTTTTAATCGGTGTGCAATTAACTGTGTATGAAGTGGACAGATTAGGACCTATTCAAGTTAGGGCAATATCGTCACCCATAACCAATCTAACATACCCACAAATGTTCAGAATTGAAATTCTTTAACATTTTATAAAATTGTTTCTGAATTTTCTGTAGTAAATAAATCTTGCTATAAACTATTTTAAAATTTTCGACTGTCTTTTAAATGGCTTTTAATTTTTCGCTTACTAATTGGCGATAATGTATACTTCTTATATTCGTGGCCAATCTCCTCCATTACGGTATCATATAATCATATTAGTTCTTAACTGGGAGGAGTAAAACAGTATCTCTAGTCTTGCCATTGCCATTAGTAATTCTCTGTTATCTTACAGTATAACAAAACTGTAATGTAAGTATGGCGCAAATAAGTAAATGATAATGTTTACGAATTGCATTTTTATTGTAAGGTTTATACAAAAGTTTATATCAAATATTCTTAAACCGAGTATACATTTGTACAAATGCTATAACTGCTGCTTTAAAAACCTTACTAACGCGGCAATGTACCTTCTTTTAGATTGTGCATACAAGCATAAACAGTAAAATAAAAGAATAAATTCTACATAAAATAATTAACATTTGACTTTAATTTTCTTGCTATAATAGTAGCTATGAACTTAATGGTTAAGCTTCTATTAGCAGTTAATAAAATTTAATTACATTCGACTCCAATTGTAATTATCAGGATTGCCTATCCTTGTTCATGTTTGCACATTAATGAGATTCCTGAGATATATATTATATAGTTATGGTGTAAGACATACGCCTTTCTACACTAGTCTAGTGGAAAGGCGCATGATAGGGCATTATGTTAGTGAGGAAAAAGACCTTCTATGGCCATTATACTGTACTAAGTGATTATGATTTGGTGATGTATTTCTGTAACAAGTAAGTAAGTACAGTTTTTGGATTCTACATTAAATGAAGACTTTGAATTTAGTCAGTAAAAAGTTATGACAAGGTATGAAATGTTATGGACTTATTGTCATTGAGAATATTAGAATTATTTCTTTTATTAATCCATTAAGGAAAACCACGAATCTTTTCCTTATACTCATTTTTATTTACCCAATATTCATTAGAAAGGTAGATCTAATAATTAATAGCAAGCTTTGAGGCAGATATGCTACGGTCGGCGAAGGAAAGCTACCGATGCGTTATTTTCTAGATAGTGTATGCAGCATAATGCCTCTAGTGTTGTCCATCGTATAGCGTTTGTCATGACATAATTATAAGTACACTTGGATACAGTAGTGTATGTTGCGCACTGCCACTACTGAACTTTGATGCAATTCTATATTAGCCGCGAATGAAATTATTAATCATATTGGACCAATAGCTTATAGCAAATATATAATTTATGCGTAGTAAGTTCCCTGTAATAGCTTTCAATGTTATATTATTACTACGGGTATATGTGGAAATACGCCTAGAATCGTATGCGCACAGTAATATAGTCAAATAAGTTATATGCGCAAAATAGACTGCCTGTGTCATACATTACACTATATAATAATCCTCACCATCTAACGGTATGGTACTCACTGCCTTCATCATAACCCTTATGACTGGCAAGAACTTACGGTAACGTAGCAACTTGGAAGTTCATTAACGGTATTTTTATTGCGATTTAATCATGGCGAAACCGTTCAATTTCTTAACGCTGTTGGATGACATTCAATGCCATCTTGTGAATAAGCAATTGGATGAAGCAAACGAGCTCATTCATTTAATCCATTCCAAATCTACTATTGAAGATGTAGCGACTCCTCTTTTAATTATCTCGAAAGCGATTCAAATCGCTGAAAGTCAAAGTCAGCTATTAAGTACGAATGTTCTATATCGATTGGTTCGCTTTGCTCGTGAGATTGCTGTTTTTTCCACTAATCGCCATAATCTTAATACCGATCAGGGAGATACTAAGAATATTATGAACGCTGTTAATACCCTAATTGATACAATTCATAAATTTTTCAAACATTTAGTTAAGCCTAATTATTCTTGTACAGTCGATGCTTCGCCATATTTAATCTTTGCTGAGCTTGATATTATTTACCATTTGATACAAGATGCTATCGATAGTAAAGCTGGCGATAACAATCCATTTAATATTCGCGACTTATATCATAAGGCCTTTAAAATTGTACAAGAAGGGCTTAAAGTTGGTTGTAAACCATTAGAAATGCTAGCGAGTGAGCTAAACACTATCCTTTGGAACCATCAATCTTATAAAATCTATTATATTGGTATGGACATTATGTGTCAGATAGCTTGCTGTAATCAATGTAGCGATTATCAGCGACAAATTGCTTATTGTGGATTAGAAGTCAACAACGATAGTGGCTCTGCAACCATAATTCGAGCTTTCAGTTATTTCTGGGAGAAATTTTCGGAATCTGACAATATGCTGAAAACATCAAGTCTTCAATCCAACATTATTATTCAAAAATGGTTAAATGACACTATAAGCCTCCTACAATCCCCAGAGCTACCTTTGACTGTACAAGAAAAGATTAAATTAGATATATGTCGAGCTGCTGATTGCGATTATCCTTATATCGGTTACTTGTTGCACCATTATAGGAAACAAATTAAGCCATTTTTAAGAGAAAATGTGCCGATAAAATTAGAAAAATTGCTATCAGCTGAAGAAATTGAAAACATCCAACTGTCAAAATTTGAAATAAATTCATCTCAATCGCTACTCCCTGTTATTACTAATTTACCAATATGCGAAGATTTATTACCGCGCGACCACTACATTCATGAATTACACGAAAATCTTAAGCGTAAGCATCAATGCCAAATCACTCAGGCATCAACCATTGGAATGGGTGGCGTTGGAAAATCATCTGTAGCTATACTCTACGCTCAACAATATCAAGAAAATTATGATTTAATTCGATGGTTTCATGCTGAAACTGAAATATCATTGCAATATGGCATGGTCATACTTGCAAAAGACATTGTCGACAAAGGAAAGAATATCGATCCGATTAGATATGAAAAAATCGCAAGGGTTCGATATTGGTTCAATGAATATTCAAAGCAGCATCCAGAAATCTTTAAAACCTCTGACGATGGAAAAATGATCACAGTTGCGTCTGAATCCTACAATGACAAAGGAGGAATCATTGAAAAACTTGTTACTGCAACCATGGAATTTATAGTCAGTTATTGCCGCTACTTACTTATCTACGATAATGCCGATAGTAAAGACAAGGTGCAACGATACTTACCTAAAAAAACAGGTAATGGCCATGTTGTAATTACATCAAGGCATAGAGAATGGACTGATGATATCGACTACGTTGAAGTGGAGGTCTTTAACCGTGAAGAATCTACCGCTTATTTATTACAGCGTACTAAATCAGATGACAAAGAAGCAGCGAATGCAATATCCGAATTGGTTGGTGATTTGCCTCTAGCGTTAGCGCAAGTAGCCGCATGTATCCGACGGACCGGTCTTAAACTCACAGGTTATCTAAGCAAATTGAAAAATGAAGAACAAAACCTTTGGAAGGGAAAATTTGGCCCATCATACTATCGAAAATACATTGAAACTTCAACTGGACAAGTCAAGTTAAGTGAGCCTTTGACACATATCACTACGTGGACATTAACTTTGTCACAGTTGTTAGAGCAACACCCTATTGTTGAGCATATTATGATTTTAATTGGCTATATTGCGGCTGATAATATTGCAGATTCTTTTCTGTATGAGTTTTGCCAACAGCAAGATCCTAATATTACAAAGAGCGATTTCGATGAAGGAATTTTAGCACTGATTGATTACAATATCTTACATATATCGGATGATTCAGGTGAATGTTATGACACTCATCGAATAATTCAATATGCCATACAAGACTACATACTAAAAACTGTATCTGCTAAAGTTGGTCATACGTCAGAAGACTTAACATATCCTGAAGATATTGTCTTATCCCGAATCTTGACCTACCTGACAGGTGTCATTAGTGTTGAAAATTATCAAGACAACGTTGATATTGATAAAAATAAGCATTTAATTATGGCAGTCGGCCATACAGATCAATTTCGAAAGCATGTGAAAACAAGTCAACTTTTGCAATATCAACTTCCTTACTTAGAAGAGCAGATGTTAAATTTAATCTCCAAATTTAGCGTGGTTGATAAAGTGGAGCACATCACATTGGAATCTCTAATGCAAATAGAAGGCTTTCAAAAATGCAAGATTGATAATTGAATGATTATAACTTGAATCTTCGCTTCAAATTGACTATTGATTAATTATGCATGTTGATCGACAAGTGCTTACAGTTTATTATCTGTATCATAGCATCGGTTTTTTTTGGTTTTGTTTTATTTTGTAATTCCTGAAGGCATTATTCGCTCCAGAGATTACGATTGCTAACTGAGTTATATAATATCTCACTGTTAGCATTAGATCTGTTTTACAGTAATTTTTATCAAGATGCAAAATTTTAAAGCCATTCCTCTCCTAATTTAAAAATTTTTTTCTCATTGATTGATTGATAGTAAAAGAAATTTAAGAAATTTTATCTTTCTCTATACGAGTAGAGGATTCAGTACTGTAGTTTAAAGCCAAAAAATAAGATTAAAATAATGCAAACTTTATTTTTATTATTCAATACAAACATGATGTTGCCATTTATTTGCTTCCCTACTCCTCCAGTTGATCATAATTAGACTTTGAAAAGTTTAATATCTGATCCCTCAAGGGGAAATCACTATTGGTATTGTATAAGATCATTATGTAGTATTTCAACCTAGCTATGTTCAAGGTTCGATGGGTTATTGAACTATGACACGAAGTAATGTGAATACGTGCATTAATTAATTTAAATATATATGAGGATTTTTTTTTTCAATTGCAGCCGCTATATGATAAGCCTATAAAGTTGCATAAAAGTAAGATGATTTTTAAACCGTTGGCATGATACAACATTTCATTATTCAACGACGCTAATCGATCCTTGTAGCTAATCTTTTTCTTCTTGTAGAAAATAAGTTTATTCATTGATGTATCTGTCATATTGTGCCTATCAGCCAAATAAACTGTATTACTTTCTCTTTACTATATGACTCTTTCTTTTTGAGTATGTTGGCCAGTCTTCATCTGAGTAGTAGTTGATTGAGGATGACAACCTCATCATCCCTCTCAGTGCAGTACTCGAATCTTGATACACTATCCAGTATCGAAGTAGAGTACAGCATGTTTTATTTCGTTTTCAGGCGTAGAAAAGAGGGAAATATTGCAGAAACTAACGTAGCAATGCTATACGTTATAGCAACAGTTAGTTATCCATGCAAGAACAGTCAAAGTACATGGTAATAATTCCTATGTGTTTTGCCATCCAAATGTTTGAAATGCTAATAAACATATAGTACAGAACCCTAACCCTAACAATGCTATACGTTATAGCAATAGTTAGTTATCCATGCAAAAACAGTCAAAGTACATGGTAATAATTCCTATGTGCTTTGCCATCCAAATGAAATGCTAATAAACATATAGTACAGAACCCTAACAATGCCATACGTTATAGCAATAGGTAGCTGCTATCCATGCAAAAACAGTCAAAGTACATGGTAATAATTCCTATGTGTTTTGCCATCCAAATGTTTGAAATGCTAATAAAGTTACAGTACAGTAACAATGCTATACGTTATAGCAATAGGTAGCTGCTATCCATGCAAAAACAGTCAAAGTACATGGTAATAATTCCTATGTGCTTTGCCATCCAAATGTTTGAAATGCTAATAAAGTTACAGTACAGTAACAATGCTATACGTTATAGCAATAGGTAGCTGCTATCCATGCAAAAACAGTCAAAGTACATGGTAATAATTCCTATGTGCTTTGCCATCCAAATGTTTGAAATGCTAATAAAGTTACAGTACAGTAACAATGCTATACGTTATAGCAATAGGTAGCTGCTATCCATGCAAGAACAGTCAAAGTACATGGTAACAATTCCTATGTGCTTTGCCATCCAAATGTTTGAAATGCTAATAAACATACAGTACTGTAGTAGTACCTTCAATATACTATAGGGGGAAAATTGATATAATAAAAACAGCAATGAAAGAATATCAGAATTCAACACGACATTCAATCAATCAGTTACTGATGTGTCGTGTTTCAATTTAAGAAATGGAATCACACCAATACTATATGTATGTTTGTAGTAAAATTACTGTAGTGAGCTGAAATCACTACAATGCTTGAACCGGTGTCCATTGATGAGTATAAAATTATCTCTTGCTGACTTTCATCAGTCCAGTGTGATGTAATCCAGCAATAGTTGGTAGGTTATCGCTCAAGTAGGTTAGTTTTACGCTGTATGGCTGTAGTCCATAGTTGATACTACTGTATGTGTAAGTCGATTGCCGGGATGGCGAGTCAAATGGTGGAATAGTTAAGCCATTGGTAAAAAAGCTAAGGAATTCACTTCGATTGGAAACACCTACTATACTGTGCGTTAGCCAAGCATTTCAAGAATAATGCTGCTGGCACAGTCCAGCAGACGGCTTAGCTATCGTATCTGCTAGAGTGCTGCTGCATCGTCTTACGAGCCAGTGTTATCATTAACATGTGTAGGAATTGTTACCGTGTCCTACTGCAGCTGGCGTATTACTAATGCGCTATTCTTGAGATATTAAGATACTATCCGGTGAGACAAATTGAAGTGAGTCCTCTGTATCCTACTGTAGGATAAGCAAAATATCTCGACTTGTTGAAGTCTTCATGTGGAAGCCATTGTCAAGGTCACTCTAGGCGCTTCTTCTCTCTTCACCTTGATGAATGTTACAACTAGTCTAATATTAAAAGCTACACTCGTGTGGCATGTCATTGATGGAGTAACCGAGACCATTCCACTTAGTACAGCAGAGTGGTGCTGGAAAAGGTTGTCTACTATCCATCATGTACAGTAATATTCCATTCTGATTTCTTCGACCAGAAGATAGCCGCAATCGTGCCGTACTTATTTATGATGTTGTTGTTGTTTTGATCGGCTACAGTACTGTACTGTAGTTGATGATGTTAGACTGGAGAGTTTGTACTGTAGCAGTGGAATTTGGTTCTTTTCAGTTCACAGTGTACAGTGTACAGTGTACAGTACTGTACAGCAGAAACTGTTGAGGGTATTAGTCAAACTAGCACCAATTGGAATCATCCTTCTTCTGTCCGTCGAAGACTGTACAGGACGAACGCCATGGCTAGGGAAAAAGCTACAGTACTGTAGATGGTCTGCCGCACGCATTGTCCTGTGTCATCCTGGCAGTTTTCTGTCCTGCTTGCCAAGAGTGCCGCTCAATACACAACAACATCGACGCACACAAGGCCAAGGCTAGTTGACTACAGTACTGTACACTGTACAGTATGTTACACTGGAGAGCTTGTACTGTAGCAGTGGAGTTTGGTTTTGTTGATAACCCTTTCATTCGCGCAGCCGCTGGAATGGATTCCATTGATCCTATACACAATACTGTCCATTGAAGTTCACTTTACTGTACAGTGTAGAGTGTACAGTACTGCATTGTACTGTACAGTACTGTACACTAGAAACTGTTGAGGTACAGTATCACCGTATCAGTCGTCTGTCATACCTTCTGTCCTGCTTCCCACCAGTGCCGCTCAGTACACAACAACAACATGGACGGAGGCAATCCAACGCTAGTGGATACTAAAGATGGAAATACTGTAGTTGTTGATACAGTCGTCTGTCATACCTTCCGTCCTGCTTCCCACTAGTGCCGCTCAGTACGCAACAACATGGACGTACTGTACGCAAGGCCAACGCTAATTGATACTAAAGATGGACACAGTCGTCTGTCCTACCTTCCGTCCTGCTTCCCACCAGTGCCGCTCAGTACACAACAACAACATGGACGGAGGCAATCCAACGCTAGTGGATACTAAAGATGGAAATACTGTACAGTACTGTAGTTGTTGATACAGTCGTCTGTCATACCTTCCGTCCTGCTTCCCACCAGTGCCGCTCAGTATACAACAACATAGACGTACGCAAGGCCAATGCTAATTGATACTAAAGATGGACACAGTCGTCTGTCCTACCTTCCGCCCTGCTTCCCACCAGTGCCGCTCAGTACGCAACAACATGGACGTACGCAAGGCCAACGCTAATTGATACTAAAGATGGATACAGTCGTCTGTCCTACCTTCCGTCCTGTTTACCAGCAGTGACATGGACGTACGCAATCCAACGCTAGTTGATACTGAAGATGGATACAGTCGTCTGTCCTACCTTCCGTCCTGCTTCCCACTGCCGCTCAATACAGTACTGTACACAACGACATGGACAGTGACGTACGCAAGGCCAACGCCAGTTGATACTGAAGAGAGTGGGCTGCAGTCAGTGTGATGGACGGTAGGGTGAAACGTCCAGTACTGTCGTGGCTTGACGTCGGTTGAATCGTCATTGATCATCGGTCTATTGTTGGCGGCGCAATCTGCTCAATTGAAAATCGATTTCGACTTTAGTCGATTGGAGGCATGGTAAAGTGGAGAATCGCGACTATCAACGGATTGGATTGGATTGCATTGGCTTGCAACTTGCCGCTATCATTGTAGTAAACTGGCAGATTGTTGTAAAGACAGCAGATTGGAGGCTGTTGGATGCAATCATCGATCTGGTAGCAAGACGAGAAGAAGACGCTATACAGTATTATTGTAGTCATTTTCAAGCTGCTATTGTAGTCAAGCTGAAGGCAATTTCCATCCATTGAAATCCTCATGAAATGGTAAGTGGATCATCATCATCATCTTGTTTGTCTATTGCTTAGGGAGTCATAGCATGAAAGGATCGATATACCAGCGCCATGGCACACTGCAATCGTTGTTGATCGCTACTTGGTCATTTTCATCTTGAAAGTGAAAATTTCTTATCATCATGTTTATCATCCAATACCAAATAGAAATACAAGGACAGTATCATGACGGGACACTTTGATCTGATTGCTTGCTTTTACAAGCAAATTACCCCTGGTGATTGCATTCATGTTTTGCCGTGGATCCTGTATTCAACCAGATAGCCAATACGACGATGAAATGAGCCAAATAATCATCCATTCATCTTGTCTACACCATCGTACACAACCACTTTCAAATAGCCTCCACAACAAGATACAATACTTGTACTGACTATGTTGAGTATCAGGAGAAGCACATGACAATCGATTGACTAGAGAAAACTGATCGTAAGCGTTTCACATTGCCATTTCAAAACGTGCCAAATTTGTTTCTATTCCATTTTCAAAAAGGACACGACATGATTCCATCCACAGTATTGATGCATGCACAAAGTACATCCTATCGTATTCTTCCTTAATACTATTGGGTGCTTATTCCCATTCCTCCTCATTTTCAGTCAAGCTTCTTTCCAACACAAGCCTAAAAAATTCCAACCATTTTATTGACCTACTCGACGGGTAGAAAATTCTTTCTGTTATCATCATGGCGACGACAATTGTGCCATCGTGTCTGCAGTACTGCCTAAAGTTGATTGCCACTTTCCACTCTTTAGATAGGAAGAATAACGGAACATTTCACAAGTCTGCCTTGGAATAATCAACTCTTCACTCTTGTACCCTTAATCATGCCTTGATCGGCCTATCAATGAAATACCATCATAGTAACAGTGTGCAATGTCCAGCATCCGCAAAGTTGTACACTACCTCCAAGTCCAAATTCAGTCCTACTGTACCTTCAATCATTCCAATCAGATCTTGAATCGAATCCAATGTCATATTATTCATCACCTACTAGCTGTTGAAATGGGATCAATAAATGAGCATTTCACAAGTATACCCTAGAATGGTCAACTCTTGACTCTTGATTCTTGTGGTAGGGCCATGATTGCATTATCACCATCACTCCATTCTGTCGATCGCCCACAAAGTGATGCTTCCAAGTGCATGATATACATGACATATTAATCAATTAATCGAATCCAATCTACTGTACTATACGATATCAACTGCTTACTGTACTTGGTTGACTTTTATGGCATTTTGAATAGAAGGATACCACTGCTCCAAGAACAAATCCGCTTGTTGATTGAACCCCCCCCCCCCCTAATGTAGTATGTTGGAAGGGTAATTTGTAGATATGCAAGGTGCTCAACGAGAACCGCTCAGCTACCTGCTACAAATTCAAAGCTAAAACCCTATCCCGCTATCCAGCAAAGACCAACCTGGCACGGTACAGTAGTTCAATATTATCATTTAGCAATCGCCCTTTAATCTCCTAATGAGTAAATGCGTGCCTATATATATATATATACTGTACACTCCGTAAGGGTTCAAAAATAGGAGAAAATCCAATGCTAGCTAGACGATAAAGGAAAAGAGACCCAATTACTACTATAGCTATCAAGTAGGCCTTACTCATTCTAATTTAGATATTGTTTAAACATGATCCAATCACGCGTATTTTTGACCAATCTGTACCTGCTACTCTAGCCGCTAATCGACTGGACCATACTATTCTTATTCCTTCAACGACCTTTTAACAACCGTTAGACCACATTCAACGCTACTTGTACAATACTCTACTCTGTATCCACCAAAAATAGGCTTGCTTTCTAGTTTATCCGCATAGAAAATTACAAATTTGGCACCACTTTAACCCGTAGGCCTGCCTATAAACTATATTGATAGTGCATTGATTCAAATATCCCAACGTTAATAAAAACTCAAATTGAGGTTTATCCACTCTTAGTTGCGACAGGCGGGAGACCTCACTGATTCCTCAGTAGGAAATGGTCAGTATCGATATTGCCATGTAGTAATACTTTTTATATGTTGGAATTTTCTCGACTCTTCACACTTTACGAGTCTATTTTTTATGATCAGTTTTAAGATCAACTCTCCAACGCTTAACAATCATTTTTTATTTATAAACGAACTGGAAGGATAAAATAGCAATTTTGAGAATTACTTTTGACTCACTCTTATTCTGTAATCGCTATGTGTTACCACTATTTTCTTGTTATGCATTCACAGTTCATTAAAAATTAATTACATCGACTTGATAGCAACAAGACTCAACCACATCACAGTGAGTGGAACACTTTTAAAACAAACGACTAAAGCAAAAAAAAATCGCACAGATTATTCACGATAAATGGTCAATTGGTAATAAAAGAGATAGAAGATACCGACTCGATTAATACCTGAACATATTGATACAGTACCAAAAACGAAATGTCACTTTTATTCCATCACTATTAACCATAACCATTACATCAAACTGCGTAATCTTGCATTACAGTACTGTACTGATTCCGGTTAATCTTCACTAGCTTTGCTATGGTTATATTTATGAAAGCGTAATAACCACCTTGTATTGTGACAGTCTCTTTTTTTATATCATTACAGCAATCACTTTATTACCTTGCTAGCCTAATTAAAATCACCTTTGCATTTTTTAGATAGCAGGAAATTTGTCATTCGTTACGCCTTTAATTTAGACTCGGCTGCTTAATAACTATAGCGAATATGAGAGACGGAACCAATTCTAAAACCGACGAGCTGTAAGTCTCAATTTACCATGAACTGAATGCATCTTGATTGGACTAACTTATAACATCAAATTTTCCATCTTATCAAACGACATGATTGATTTATTACCGTTTACAGTATAATATTTGAAAATGATTTTAATAATCAACCATATTAGTATCGCTTGTGTAAGAATGTTGCTGATACGTGCCAGGGTTTATTCTTCAAAGTATACTAACTACATTACTCTTTACTGCTTACCACTGCCATTTCATAAATTACTACCATGTCATTTTATTCATACTAGACTAAAAAATAATCCCCAGTAGTAAAAGCAATATTGCCGTTTTGAAATTAACCTAAATTGATTTCAGTATTACTTTAGCTACGATGAACGCTTGCTTGCATGTTATTAATACTTTACTAAATCTTGTGCATTATCTTGATCAGATGTTGATTAGTATTATTGTCGTTTACTCATAGCCTAACCAAACACGATAACACCAATCATGAAATTAACGGAAATACTGCGTATCCTGAATCTACCAAAGAGAAAACTGCTACTCACCTTGAAAATGAAAATAATATTGCAAGGAAAAACAGTAATGTTAATACCCATTCGACGAAACTTGATAAAAGTATGCATGAAAAAAATTATAAACTGTAAACCCATAGTATTTTACAAATTCATCAATACTGTAACAATAGGACGATCAATTAGGCTTCCTGTATTAACATTGATGATGTGATTTAAGAACACAATTGTGATCAATTTGTTAAATATCCATTTTATTATCAACTAGTAAATAAATTAAAAGAAGATCTACGACACGAAGAAGCTAAACTACTCCTATTGCAGTTAATTAATCAAAGCCAAAATATAAAAGGTAGGTCTTCTCTTGGAACTATCTATCTTAGCTTTGGCAATACAATTGAATACTTGTGTTCTGTATTCCAATTTTAGACTCGACCAACGACAGATTCAGCAATAATACCAACAATTCGGCGTTGTCAGATAATCGATATCATGTAAAAGAGCGTGATAGGAAACGTCCTATTGCCAGTAATGAGCTATCTCACAGTGTTAGCATGAACAATAGATTCAGTTCATCGGTAGATTATAGCAGTAATTCCAATGTCATGCCGCTACTGCCTAAAAGAACTAAATTAATGGATATAGGCTCGCCAACGAGCTCAACAAATCTTGAAAGTAATCAAAATATCAATACTGCATTAGTTAACACATCGTATCCACCAAAAATTATTTATGTAGGTTCCATTAATCCAATACAATCCTCGACATTAACACGGTCTGGTCTACCGCCTGAGCTGAAAACTGCTTCGACCACAACTAACAATACTAGAGTAATTACAACTAATAAACGAGCCCAAAAGGTGGCTTTACGTCAACAATTAGATAACTTATTACGACAATTACCAAAACCAGAGCCATATTCGCAACCGTGGAAAGTTATTCCTAACGGTTCTAATAGCAGGTTTAGTATGCTACTTGGACTGGAGTTAGTCGCTGAACGCGTCACTAAAACCGATTCAACATCAAAAAGCATTAGTAAATCATCAGATGCAACCCATCTCGCTTGTGCAGATTGCAAGACTGACTGTACTTCTATGTGGAACTTGTTAAATGACGACGATGGAAATATTAAGTTATTATGTATAGAGTGTGTCACAAAGACCAGAACAAAGTCGTCTTTAGAAAATTACAAGGCTATTTTAGATGAGATTATTACGAAATCGAAAGAAGTTGAGAAAGGCCTGGCAAATAATGAACCATCGGGCAGTCATAGTGGGGCGGCCACATCGCAAGTTACTGCGAGTATCAGTGGACAAGATGCAACGATCACAAATTCTACACCAATATTACATACGTCTCAATATCAACAACATGGCTATCGCCCACAAGCTGATTATATATATCAAGTGCCTCAAAGCAGCTATGTTCCTTTCAATCCTGTAACACAACACTTTCGTCATCCGCATCTAGCATCATTGTCAACTCAAAGTTTCGTGAATGCCCAACAGAGCTTAGAACGAAGACAAAGGGAACATTTGCTTAACATGATACAGCGCCCTGTTCCATTAGAATGGAATTAAAAAGTTATCTAAAAAACATTTCACTGATTAAAGAAAAAAAATATGGATACGTTGGCTTTGCCTATATTAATTTTAATAGGCATTGAATAATTATGTTAATAATGATTGTCATTTACTTTGATATTTGGATATTGAAACGGATCTGCGCCGAAAATCAATTTATCGGTATTTCAAAAAATCTACGTTATATATCGCTCAATTTAGTATACGCCTCTATTCATTCTTTTTCTCTACTCTGCGTTATAGAGAATGTTTTATTATCGATTAATACTTTTTCAATACGCGATGTTAACACTCGTAGATGTAATATGCCGCTTGGCAAGTTCTATAATGGTCTTACTTGTATTATTTATGTATTATAAGAAGGTCAGTTTCTAAACACAGACAATAATTTGTGCACACGCTGTTATCTTCATTAGCAAATAATGATAACTGTGAAATAAACATTTTTTCGATATTTCTTTGTTTTTACTTGATACGATTTATCACATGATCTGCAAATCTATGAAGAGTTCTAAATATACCTAGAACTCAAAATGTTACTGTCATTATTTATAAATATGCAATTACAAAAAAATAGTATATTGTACTTACTAAAGGTATCGGTATTCGATTTGGTAAACATAAAATTTGCAGGGTTTTCGAAATTGGTTTATTTGAATTTGCATTAACTTAATGACAAAGTTATAAGAACAGTTGATTAATTTATATAATTATAAATATTGATCGATTTATATCGATGATATTTGCTCGTCAAATAAAGTTATGCCGTAAGGCCAATATTTCAGGCAGGTCATGATGTCAATAATCCTGATTACAGGGAGCGATTATAATTAACGAATCGTTTACAATAGCTCCAGGTTCGTAGGTAGTCCAGGGCAGCGACCCATCTATTTGAACGAATTAAAAAGAAATCAATTATATTTCTTAACATTGTTATGAAACCAACTCCGATGGTCTTCATTACACACGCAAGTGAAAATGTGATACACTACTACTACGTATTTTAGTATGGTATAGATAAGCGTACACTCCTGCTGGATATTTGTTATAATTCCGGCAATACTCAACAGCGAATACATCGTTCATTTGGTAATTATGTTGATAATATCTTGACTTAAACTTGTTGCAATACGTATTTATCATTACGCAGAGCAATAATATATTGCCCATATTGCAGACCGTCACAAAATCAACGAAACAGTTAAGCTATGTAATAGTAGACACTGTTGCCCCTGATCACGCAATACACGCATTACTATACTGCAAACATTGCAGTCTTTTAGGACTTATTGGAGTTTATATACCTATCCATATCCTCTTCATTTTCTGCCATTAACTGATACATCCTTTCATTAGTAACCACATCGAATAGACAACAGTTTTTGTTTTGTTCATGATCAGGTTTAGCTTCTACGTAGCTAATTTCAACAGTGTCAATAAATCTAACACATATAAAGACAATTAGTCTTTCATTATCCAAATTCGATACGGTTGAAAAATAACAGGTTTCAAAGTATGGTTTAACATAAACTGATTCTCTTTCTTACCCTAGTGGAGTAGAACTATTGCTATATTTGTAGTAATATAAAAATCCCCACTGATCAGCAACAAACCATCTTTTCCTCCATTTATTTTTGGTAGGACCTAGTGCCCCTTTCTTGTGAAGCCATCCGCATAACTATTTGCGCGCAATTTCGTACAAAGATTACAAGGAAAGTATTAATAATACTAATACTCTAATAAAATGATGGAGAAAATTTAAAGTCGCAAAATACAAAAGTAATCCACTCTGATATGTTTCATTTAAAGTAAGTTACGGTACTTTACTGTGAAAGACGAACATAAAATTCTCTCTTTCATATGATTAATAGCAATATTACAAGGTATGTAGGAAGTACGGAAACCCTAAATTCTACCGTACATAGCGCTTACATTTACTTTTCTTGGGAATGCATTTTTAGCTATTTTACTTTTTCTCTCCTCTTCTTCTTCCCTTAGCAGACTTAACTATAATTTCAATAATGATGACAAATATTGGAATATATTCCAACACTTATATGAGACCTGTTAGAGGCACTTCCTAAATCACATCTAAGCTAGGTTACATATTAAGAAATATCTCATAATAATAAATCAATCCATATCCTTGCAAGATTACCTTCTCCTGTAGTTGCGTAACAGTGGACTGAAGTGATTTTATTTGAAATCGGAAGTTATCAATCTCATCCGTTGTTTGCTTCATCTCCTGGTTCAACTTGTCATTATAGGATTCTAATCTACTGACTAGATCGTGTAATTGTCTTTATAGAAGCAATAAAAACATGTAAATTAAAGCCAATATGTTTAAAAAATATAAAATACATCGATATTCAGGGTAAATTGATATCTTCATATCATATACATCTTTATCAAGCATACTTTTAGACTGTGTTGGCATGTATAATATGAATATCTTAAGATTGAATGGTCTTGATGAAATATTAAAACAATCTAAATTATTCATCAATCATAAATCATCATCAATAATTTATAATACATCTTTCTTACCTAATATGAGAATCTTTATCACCTAATGCATATTTTAAGCCGCTAATTACTTCTCCCAATGTTGAGATCTCCATCTTCAACTATGACGTAACGTATAATCCAGAATGAAAAAAAAATTAAATACATTTAATGATAACAATCCATATAGAAACAGTGTTTGCGAAGATGAACTACTATTCCCGAAGTTATAATGACAAGAACAACATCGTAGCTTAGATTATCTGGTCTGATAGGTGCTTTCCTCTTTTTCTGACAATGGACCTTGATGATAAGTATGTAACTAGTAGCAAAAATATTTCCCTTCCGCATGCTACCTTTGAGTTATAGCAAGCCATTGAGAATATGATATAGCTGAGATTTACTGTCTATGGAATCGTTATATCTAATGTTATATATCCAATTGTCTGGATATTTCTTCATCAATGATGCTATGATCGTGTAAATACTGGTATTTCAGCTACTGAAATTGGGTATTCGTTACTAGTTAACATTGTATGTTTTACTTTAGCACATAAATAAAATAATCACATGCTATACATTCAGTATCAATCCTCTTCTAACCTCATCACTTGCTTTACTTTTTTCCAACGCAATCAATTCATGTTTTTCCTTTGCATTCGATGAAATGATGTTACAAGCTTGATCAGTTGAAATTTCTTCCGTCACGCTAACAGCTTCATTTGACAAAGGAGAAATCTCATTTTCTTCCTTTTGCTGCTGTTGATTTATTGAAGATGTGCTTACTGATTGTCGTTGAATTTCTAGATCAGGGGTCATAGGTAAGTTAGAACTATCGCAAACGAAATATCTCGGATCCTCGTCTACTGCAGATTGATTCAACTTGGATGAATTTTTGACTGATGGCCACCAAGGTTCACCTTCATCATCGCCCTGTTGACCATCAGTCCCATTTGAGTAGATCTGTGATGAGGATCCAAAACTTGATGTAGCACTTTGATCTTGGTCATCCATGGCAATCGTAAATCCTAACACATCAAATTCATGCGGGTGCGATAAAGTAGACTGCCTCATACTGCACTCTTTCCATCGATTTTTGGCAACAATCTGATTGTAACTGTCTTTGTGAATTTTAGAATATTGCGATGAGAAACTGGCAGTTATAAATCTGCCAACAGGTAAAGAATCAATACAAAGACTATGGTAAGCATGATCAAAATAGCCACGAAAGATCTTGCTGGCTTGCATAGATATATGATTTTCGCTAATCGAAAGAGGGGCATCCCGATATTTAGGAGTAAAATCTGGATTAATTTTTATCTTATCAACATTAATACAAGTTAGATAAGCATCATTATAAGCTTTAGTCGCATAATTTCGAATTCCATTACAATGATCAATATCTGTTGTTTTTGATCGTCGAATATACAAAGCTTTTACTTGTTTAAATGATTTTTTTTCCATTAATATACTGGCTGTTTTGAAGTAATGTAATTGCCGGCCATTTCTATCAGTCATGGAATTATTGCGGCTGCTTGAGCTAGGTTCATCGTGAACATGGAGGATTTTATTAATGTCGAGTTCATTACTACTGAAATATTTTGATGGTTTAACGGGGTCTTCATTTTCTTTATTGTTTTCGTAACCGTGTCCTTTTTCTATCAAATAATCTTCTTGAAGATCGTTACTATATATTATTTACAGATTATAAGCAATTAGTCTAGGTGTTGCGGTTATATCTTCATCTCTTCTAGTTATCAACGCATAAAGTAGTAACTAACTATTACTTTGATGATTGTAGTAATAAATTATGATACTCGCTTAGTTAACTAAACTAATTAAAGCACAGAATTTAATTTACGTTTACGTCTACGTCAAAACATAAATATGCATAGCCATCATTGTGTTAATTGTATTCAAAAATTAAGACGGAATGAAAGCGCTACAAGCTATGTGACTTTCAACAACCTGACATGAAAAATTCGGCAAAAAATAAGATCAGAAATGATATCCATGTCTACAGTATTATTCGCTATTCTATGCAAAATGTTTATTCAGTACTCATAAAATAGATTACTTGACAATCATTCCGTGACCAACAATATATTTACACATTATATGCGTAAACTGCTTTAAAGATTAATCTCTGCAGTCCTATCAATAACTTTCATATTATAAGCATTATGATGAAGATTAAATACAGCATATAAATTATATGAGAGCGAAAATTACATATGTATATAAAGTTGTTGGCGTTTGTTTACCATACGTAAAAGGTAACGTAATAGTAATACCCTATAACCTTTTAGTGTTAACATTAATCCTAATTTTGATACCTTGATTTACTTTTTTTGATTAAACTTGTTTTCATAGTAATTCCTAATCTTGCTAAGGCAATTTTCCATGATACTGTTGGACAATCGATTTCTAATAATTGACTGAATAGAAATTTAATATTTTATCTAGATTTTGTTTACGAAATATCCCATAGCGCTCAAGACGATCTTTGAAGCCAGTTATTTATAAAAATACTCGTATTTAAAACTACACGAGTTCATTTTTCGATGTACAATTTTAAGTTTGCATTGAACGGTAGAGTCATAATTATGATAGAAGCTATCATCGATTTTCATTACTATAGCATATCGAAATGAAGATGTAATCGTTTTAGCATATTAATGATTGAAACTATGCCTTACCTCTCCTTTGTTTTACCGACAAATTCGGCTAGATTGAAAGTGTACTCGGCTAGTTTGGTGCTTTTATTGCTAGGACTGATCTAAGTGATAAAATGTATAGAAATGATCTGTCAACTTAACATTGAATAATTTCTGCAATAGTTAATAATTATTATAATGACTCGTTACGAATTTATGTCCCGTTTATTCGAACATCAAGCATGCTAAAGTTTATCCGATAGCTGCTTACATTTTCTATAGAAATGGTAATCATTTTTTCGTCATAGCCGCAAGATAATTTAGAATTCTAGTATTTAAAATACTTATTTGAGTCTTTGAGGTTAAATTCATTATAAATAATAATATTCAAAGTTGATTCCTTACATACAGGATATAAACCAAGAATAAAATCCACTGATGTTGGCTTCTGCCATAATACTTTCCCCATGGTGCCATATTTAGTTTTAGCAGTTGTCAACCAATTAGGCTAAAAGAAATAGAGAAAATGTTGATCATACAAGAAAGAAACCCTTCCTATCAAGCGTTATTGAGGTATAATCCATTAAAATAGTAATCTCGTTGATACTGTAGATCTTTGAAATGTCATACAAGTAAGCGAAAAGTAGATCAATTGCAAATACATCTATCTATTGCTAGGGAAGTTACAGTCTGTAGTGAAATCCATTCTGTTGTCAACTTACTGTTAACTCTGTCTTTTGAATGTTGCCTCGTTTAAAGCGTAAAATGAGCTGATCAGGTTCCCTATCGATTTTTGTCATAAGTAAATAATTTAATTTACTAATTTATTCATTAAATCAAATCGTACTACAGCATAGTATTGCAGCATAGTATTACAGTAGAATGAGCAGCTTGAATTCTAGAGGACAACAACTATCGCCGTTTAAAAGTACATGTACAAGCTTAGCTAAATCTTGTAGTATAGTCTGTATAGACGAGTGCCTACCATTGGCCAAAAGTGATAAAGTTCAAAAAATCAAATTGGAAGATAATCTTGTATTTATCAGAATTTTTTCCGGAGTTGCTGATCTTATCTTTCAACTTGGTTAAGCTCATTTTTGCTTTGAATGAACAATATCAACGCAAGATTTATAGCTATCACTTTAGTAAACGTCAACCAAGCAAGCGAAGAGAACTGTAAAACTAAATAATTGATAATATAGGAAGGAGCAAAAGCAAGCTGTTTCTCTAATTTATTAGGGCAAATAAAAATTGATGATATTTCTCCATGGCCTTGATCATGGGCTGTATGAAGTTAGTTGTTGTCAGTTCAATGTGGGAGAACATCTGCAAGTGTTATCCCAATCTCACCCATGCGATATGCGAAAAGCATCGAATAGGATGTGTAGGATGAGTCATTACACGGAAAGGACTCGCTATCGGACATACGTATTTCCTATCTTTTAAGCGCTAATTTTATATCCTCCCACACGTAAAGTCAACATAAGATCAGATTGGAATTGCGAATTAATATCTCCCCATTACCTACCCCAACACGAGCGCTTACTGTGTGATTTGGTGGGTTCAAGATTTGCTTCTTGTGCTATCAATGCGATACTTTTCATATCATGAGGATATTTTGATCCTAAAATCTCTTTTGTTCTATAATCGTAATGTAAATTTGCAATACCGAATTCGTCAATTTTTGTTTTAGGAGGAGGGAGGGGAGGCGATTTTGATTGTGTTATACTACAGCCAGAGTAAGGTATAGATTGATTTATTGAATAACAAGATTCATTGAAGAAAAACAAAAATACCGAACGTTAGACTGCATTATTGCTATCATAACGAAATAGGCATTACTCAATTGATGCTGGCATTTACGGGTGCGTTTTAATAGAATAGACGAATTGAATGGATGAGCGTTTATGGCTCAACTTTTAAAATATCGTCAAATGAGGACTTGACGATGGCGGTATGTGCCGTGTAGAAACTCTGGTCTATTATGCGTCGAGCTGGTGCAAGGACGTAGCATGTTGCTGTGAAAATTTGCACTATCAAAAGTTATAACCTTGCTTAGTCTAGTAATATGGATATTCTTGTCCCGTAATTTTCAATCATTTCAATATCGCATGCCAAGTATATTCCATTTCAAGATGCAATCCAACTCTTGTACATGGAAAGCAATCTTATGTTGAAAATGCGTCAATGTAATTTCCTGTTGTACAGTAATGTGATTGAGGCTAAAAATTGGGTAGGATGATTTAAAGCATTGCGCGATTTCTTCTACTGTCGTCGACATGATGACACAAGCATGTGCAATTGTCCATGGACTGATAGTAAAAGTACGGCGTAGAGTAGAGTACAGCATTATACTGTATAGCATGTTGGTTTTATGGCGGTAGCCGAGCAAGAACGAGAAGCTATGGATGTGTCTTGTAGAAAAAGAGAACACGACGAATCGCTTCACCATAGAATGATGAACGAGAAGCTCTATACTGCGTACAGGATAACATATTAGAGATAGCATGAAACCGGATAATTTACTGCATTGAATTAATTTTACGCGGTAGGATTGAATGTTGTAAAATATTTAATCCACCCTTGCAATATCAAAACAGATCCTTTACTGCATTCGATGAATTGATTTTACGGATTGAATGCTGTAAAGTATTCCATTTATCCTCGTCATATCCAATCTAGATTGATATTGTTTCCATCCTATACTACAACATTGTACATCGGTCAATTATCCTTATCCTAGACCGAGATAGAATGCTGATAACTAGGACAGAAAGAACTAGCAGATATCAACAAGAGAGAAAAAAGCTCAGCCATGGATTGATCTTGTGGACATGTTGGAGGGTGATTATACAGACAGACAGACAGAGTCGGTAGACCGTCCTGACGACTGTCCGGTGTGCCTACATTGTTAGCAAGGTTTCCATTTAGTCAGTTTACTGTTGTTAGTTTTGACCACTGGCCCGGTAGCATGGTCGTCACGGGACCAACTCGAGTGCTAATGGTGAGGTGTCCCAACTGTAGACAAGGATGAGAAATGATGGACTCAGAAATACCTATTTTGAACATAAGCTACAGTTTTCACCTTATTACTAGCGATGATAACCAGTACTGCTGTGTAGTAGTTAATGTATCCATTGGTGAATGGTATATTAAAGTAGAAATAACGTCCAATTGGGTACAAAAAGGCTGCAATAGCTACAACCATTCCAAAATGGCTGTGATTGTTGGAGTGCTGCGTTATTCCAGTTTAGTTTCCTGTACTGTAAGTTTGGCTTCCTGATCTACAGTACATTGTACAGTACACTACAGTACTGTACAGTACTGTATACTGCAATGGTGGTGGTCTGGTCTGTACTGTACAGTACTACTGTACTGTACTGTGGGTCGGTTGAGTTCCCAAACTTGGATTTGTACATTGTACTGTAGACTAATGTGATACTGTACAGTACAGTATGACAGCACTGTACTGTACAGTACAGTAGTACAGTCCTCTCTTACAGTCCATGGTACTGTAGGCAGGACACGACTGGAGCGGTTGTGAAACGCCCGTCGCTTCGCTTCATGACCAGTACGGTACCGTACTGGTCCAACTGTACGTTACATACTGTCGATGCGGTTGACCATGGCTTGAAGCTCGCAATCACTTGAGTGACCGTAAAGTCGCGTCACTCAAGTGATTGCAAGCGACTTTATTACGGTCGTGCCATCGGTAGTAGTGACGTGTTTTGTGGCGGCCGACTCGCTTTGTGTCATCCTTTGGCCGCTCTTCTTCTTTGAAAATTTTCCATTTTCAAGCTGTAATTCAAAGGGAAAAATGGCTTCCGAAGCTCTTAGCTCTTCCAACTATCACCATGATAAACTATCCAATGAAGCTGATATGAGTGATCCAGCTTCTGGTGGTATTTTTAGTACCGATTTTAAAAGGTAAGATGCCAACGTTTACAGTACAAGGCATAGTCCTACAGCGCTAAACGAGCGATCCAGGTTCATTGTATCCCCCCCCCCCCTTCGCCAGTGTGATGGATGGATTCCAATGGCTTTATAGTCATTTCCTTCATGCTATGTTGAAATTGCTTTGGGAGAAGATTTTATAAAATGAAACTCATTCTACTCAATGCTAGCGCGCTCTTTAATGCTATTAAATGATACTTCTTTGTCAAAATTATTTCAAATGAACTTCTTGAGGAAGTTTTCACCCAGTCTTGTCGCTGTCAATATCCATTGAAACAGTCGATGTCAATTTCCTTTTTTCTTTTTTTTCTGTATAGACATGAAGATTTAAAACAAATGCTTGATAGCAATAAGGACAACTTGAAATTAGATGCTATGAAGAGAATTGTGACGGTAATGCAGCAAGGACACCCTGACCTATTTGATCGCTTTCAATTGAAATCAACGCACACCAAAATGACCAGTTGAAATCCAATGGATGCTATTGCCCCTCATTCAACAAGTTCACCTCAAAGCAATCAACTGATTTGTTGGAGCTGCAGTTTTACCTTTACTTTCATTCTGCTATCCAATCTATCCAGGGTCAAGTAGTAGAATTCAACAACTTCCATCAAATTCCCCTTGTATCTTCAACACTCAATAATCACCCCCCTTTCAACTTGATTGATGCACTGTAGGCCTATGCGACGAGCTAAAACTGAAATCAATCAACGGATTTGTTGGAACTGCAGTTTTACCTTGACTCATGCTGTCCAATCCCTATCCTATCCAGTGTCAAGTAGTAGAATTCAACAACTTACGTGTAATTCCCCTTGTAACTTTAATGCACAAAAATAACCCCTTTCAACTTGATTAATGCATTCCAACCCTATTGGACGAACTGAACTGAAATCAATCATCGGATTTGTTAGAACTGCCGTTTTACGTTTACTCATGCTGTCCAATCGAACCAGTTTCAAGTAGTAGAATTCAACAACTTAGAAGTAATTCTATTCATATCGTCAACGCACAAAATAACCCCTTTCAACTTGATTAATGCATTGCAACCCTATTGAATGAACTGAACTGAAATCAATCAACTGATTTGTTGGAACTGCAGTTTTACCTTGACTCATGCTGTCCAATCTATCCAGTGTCAAGTAGTAGAATTCAACAACTTCCATCGAATTCCCCTTGTATCTTCAACGCTCTAAAATCACCCTTTTCAACTTGATTGATGCACTATAGGCCTATGCGACGAGTTAAAACTGAAATCAATCAACGGATTTGTTAAAACTGCAGTTTTACCTTGACTCATGCTGTCCAATCCCTATCCTATCCAGTGTCAAGTAGTAGAATTCAACAACTTACAAGTAATTCGCTTTGTATCTTTAAGGCTATAAACATGACAGTAACCAGTTTAAACATGATCGATGCTGTTGCAATGGCCCATTTCAATGAGTTGAATAGAAATCAATTCATTAATTTATTTGAACGCCATTTCGAGCTACACTTTCATCCTACTCTCACATCGACTATAACTAGCCTCATGTAGTAGAATTCAACAAGTCATGCATATCAAGAAGTTCGAAGGAATACTACTACAGTAGATAATTTCTTGTGATATTATTTGGTAACATAGGATTGAGTTAGCCTATTCTCCTTTTCCTAGATGATGTCTCGTGGTCGAAATGTATCTAGTTTGTTTCCAGCAGTAGTCAAGAATGTGGTGTCCAAAAACAATGAGGTAAGAGTTGTATTTTTTAACCTTATTTTCTAAATTTTACATACACGGATGAATATAAAATAACAAAAAATTCTGTACAGTGTTATATTTGAGCATTACCTAACGGTCTTATCAAATGTCCAAGCACAATACGACTGTACGATGTAGTGGAAGCATGCTATAGTAAATACGATAAGGTAGAAATTATTCTAAGCATAGACCGAAACTAAAAAAATTCAATTGATGCACTTTTGATACTCCACTTTATAATTCCGCCGCTTGAATTGACAACATTCAACAACTGTCATAATCATGCAACAGACATTTTCAGTGATCCTGTAGACTCGTATTGTTAACAATCTTCTTACATTCAGTTTAAATTGTTAAAAAATCGTTGTGTGATAAACACAGATCACTAGACTTAGTTATTATTGAGCTTTCCTGGTAATAGCCCACATCATTTGCATTGTTTTATCGTATCAACATCATTTTAGTAGGCGACATGGCACAAGATAATCTCGTTGCTTCTACGTACGATAGAAACCATCGTATTGTGTATATAATACGAGTAGTATTTTGCGTCAATACGATGTTGTACTTTATATATGCGTATACATTATTTTCAATATTTTGAGGGCATTTTTCTAGTAATGTTGTTGCGTTATTTTTGACACTACAACTAACGGAAGAATTAATAATTCTGATGTCGCAGCAAATGTCTTCTATATCAACACTACTGTAATGTCAATTCATGGTTTTAATTCATTATTCTCCATTTTCAACAGATCAAAAAGTTGGTATTTGTTTATTTAGTGCGATACGCTGAAGAACAGCAAGATCTTGCTTTGCTATCTGTTAGCACCTTCCAAAAGTCATTAAAAGTAAGTTCCAAACCAAATAAAAAGAATTACCATTATTAATTACTCCTTTCCACATGAAGCGATAGCAATTTCATCACTAGATAGAATAAAGCTTATTACGGTATCCGATTCCCATTTCAACTACGTGTTTGTTAAGCATTGAGTGCAACTTCTACTCAACCATCATAATTGTATCTTTCATGTGATATACAATGTTATTGTAGAAATTATGTTTGCTTGCAACCAACAGCGCTATAATACTTCTGAATCAGAATGTTCCTGCAACTGTAATATGTTCTAACAATAAGGAATTTAAGTAAACTATTGTAGATTATATTTGTCAACTTTTATTTTTATTGAGATGCATTACCTGTTTTGCCATTACAGTACAATAGTTACGATGTACTGAATATTATCATCATCAGGAATTACAATTGTTCGCTACAACTCGAATTAGAACTACTCTAGCTAATATTAGAAAGTTGAATAGAATCTTCTTCCATACTTTACCTGTTTTAGTTTTAGCCATTGCTAATGACGGATGTTTGATATATAATTGTTGACCGACTATTGGGCATATTATGAACTTAAAGTATATACTCTATGTGGTATATCCTACTGTTAACTATGCTTTCCTCTTAAATCATTACTAAATAGGAATCCAACCAGTTGATACGTGCTAGTGCCCTTCGTGTTCTGTGTAGTATTAGAGTTCCTGTAATTGTTCCTATTATGCTCTTATCAATAAAAGAGGTAATCTATTTTGACTTTCATTTATAATATGACCATAACTATAGTTTATGCAAACGCATAATTTATACACCATTTACTACTTTAGGCTGCTGCAGATTTATCTCCATTTGTAAGAAAAACTGCTGCCAATGCTATCGTGAAAATATACAGGTTTGAAATGTGCTACATAGTCTCTTAAGCAAGCGTCATTGAAAGCCTGACTGATCTTACAGTAGTACAAATAATTTATGACTTCTATTTGAGTAGCTTAGATCCTGAGCTCAAAGATGCCCTAGTTGAAATTATCGAAAAGTTACTAAAAGACAAAACTACTGTAAGTTTCCCTGTCTTTTGCATAAATATTAATTGTTTTGATATCGTTGTTATAATTTACGTCTTATTTATCCTGTTACCAATATTAGTTAGTTGCTGGAAGTGCTGTTATGGCTTTCGAAGAAGTGTGTCCGGAACGCATTGATCTCATTCACAAAAACTATCGTAAACTATGTAATTTAGTAATGGATATTGACGAATGGGGACAAGTAACAGTCATCAACATGCTGACTAAATACGCCAGATCACAGTTTCTGGACCCCAATCAAAACGTACTGCACACCAAAAACTAAATATTTATGCCATAATTTGATTACTCCAATATTCCAAAATATTCTTAGAAGAATATGTGATTACTACACTTACATTAGGAAACGGAAGGCGAAGAACCTTTTTATCCTGACGACGATGATGAAGAGGAAGCCAAGGATGAAAGTGAAAATGGAGAAGCGAATGAACCGAAGAAGAAGCCTTATTTTATGGATGCTGATCATAGACTGCTCCTTAGAACAACTAGACCTCTACTTCAGAGTAGAAATGCTGCTGTAAGATAGTCTTAAACTAATCCGGATATACATTCAATTTATAATGAATTTTATAAAATTTTTCAATAAATCATACACATATTTATATTTAGGTCGTAATGGCAGTAGCCCAATTATACTATTATTTAGCTCCTCGTCTAGAAATGGTATCAATAATAAAGCCTCTTGTACGTCTCCAGAGGAGTCATAAGTATGTCCGATTGATTTATTTGCTTATTTACCTTGGTTTATTCTATTGTAATTCACTCATTAGTAACTGACATACTACCTTTACAGAGAAGTACAAATTATATCTTTAACCATGATGGCTACAATGTCAGTCAACTCGAAAGGTCTATTTGAACCTTACCTTAAAAGTTTTTATGTGCGCTCTACAGACCCTATACAAGTTAAATTACTAAAGGTTAAGAGATTCTTCTGTACTCTTTTGCCTACTTTTTAACATATATGTGTCATTAAAATTAAACCAACACTGACCTACTGTATAAACAAATATTTTACCTTTGATCAGTTGGAAATTCTAACCAATATTGCAACTGAATCTACAATACCTGCAGTTTTAAAAGAATTTCAGGTAAATCAATATTATATATTGTGTCAATGTACATCTCGTAAACTCTAACAAACTACTACTTGCTTGTAAAATGCGATTTAGACTTACGTAACAGGTAACGATAGAGAATTTGCTGTTGCTACTGTGCAAGCTATAGGACGTTGTGCGTCGAGCATAAAGGAGGTTTCGGATTCCTGCCTAAGTGGTTTAGTGTCGCTGTTATCAAATAAAGATGGTTAGTATTAACTTAACTATGTTCGTGGTCTATACATTCGCTTGGTACTATGATAAATTGAATGAATACAAATTGATATCCATTGCAGAAAAAATCGTTGGAGAAAGTGTAGTCATTATTAAGAAGCTATTACAACAAAACGTAAGACTAAAACATACTACGTAATTGGGTTTAATTTATTGATTCAATATTGAACACCATTTTCTACAATTAGCCATCTGAACATACAGAAATCATAAAACACATGGCTAAAATTATCGACCGAATTACAGTAAGCACCTTCATTCATAAATTGATTGATAAACCATGGAATAACAGAATTAAATCATTCTGATATTGCTTAGTTCCCTATGGCCCGCGCGAGTATAATGTGGTTAATGGGTGAGTATTGCGATAAAGTCCCTAAAATTGCTCCAGACGTACTTCGAATCGCTTGTAGAGGATTTATGACAGAGGTACGTTAGAATGTGTTGCAGATTAAACTGTCTTGCATTTTCGATAACTTAAATGTTTGACAGCGCTATTATATACTTACATATTATGCTCAATTCTTGAAGGAAAATATTGTAAAGCTGCAAATTATCAACTTAGCCTCAAAGTTAAATTTAACTAATCATAAACAGGTAAACCACACTTTAGCACTATTCAAGAAGTGTATAATCTCTAAAATCTACTATAAATTATGCCAATTTTCTAATACCCATGCGACATTTCTTCTAGACAAAATTACTTTGTCAATACATTTTTAACTTGGCAAAATATGATCTGAATTACGACATAAGAGATAGAGTCAGATTCTTACGACCAATCATTATGCCTTCTGAAAAGGTAAAAATTATACTAGTTACTAGTGTTCTTATGGTATTTCGAAAAAAAATAACTATAATCTCCGATATTTAACGTACACCTAGGGAGGAGCGTTACACAAATATGCCAAAAAGATTTTCTTTACAACAAAGCCTGCCCCTGTCCTAAAATCTGCTTTCATCGGTAACACTTTGAGTTTTAATCAGTAAATTGTAATATTAGGCATAGGACCTTTTCTTACGTCTTTATTTATTGAATAGGTCGTGATCGATATATCTTGGGCTCGTTGTCTCATATACTGGATCAAGAGGTATCTGGATATAGTGACCTACCGTCGTTCCCTGAAGAAGCCCCTGATCCGACTGTTCGAAACGTAGAGGTTAACAACCTACTATAAAACAAATACTGTCATCGATGAAAGTTATTGAACTATCTTTTGTATTAACTATAGGAAGAGGTACCAAAAATTACTAGTAAATCGAAAAAGAAAATGACGAGCATGTTAGAATCTTTCTATTCCGAATCAGAAGAGGAATCTAACGAAGATGAAGGTAGTAGAATTGATGAATAGTAAAATACGATTTGCGTTTATTTATAAAAGGTATTCTACTTTTTACAGAGTCTTCTGAAGAAGAATCAAATGATGATAGTGAAGAAGATTCGGATGGTTAGAAACATTAAATAAATCTCTGATATTGAGTGCTTTATAGTTATCATTTTGTGGAGTATACAAATTATACACTATTTGACAATATTCTGGAATGATGCATTTCAGAATCATCCGAGGACGACGATAGCGAATCAGAGGAATCTGATTCAGATTCAGATGAAGAATCAGATGAAGATGACTCATCGGAAGAAGAGTCTTCTTCATCGTCTGAATCTTCGTCGGAAGAATCAGAAGAATCGGAAGAATCTAGTAGTTCTGTCGAAGAAGAAAAACCTAAAGCTAAGAAAGTTAGTGCAAATGAAGATATATAAATCAATGACGTATAGATATATATCACTGCTGCATTATTTCTTATCTAGAAAATCAAAGAAGTTAAACCAAAGCAGCCAAATGCCGATGAACTATTATTATCATTCGATGACTATTCGAGTAATTTATAAGACTAATATCGAATATACTGTATACATTACGTGATATGTAATTATTTTTTAATACAAATAATTGATGTCAATGCACCTATTAGATACACCACCACCTGCAAATAACGCCCCATCGTACGCTCCAATAATTGATAGTAATATCTTAGCACCTGTAGATTATGCAGCTGCAGAAGTTATTTCAAAACCAGAACGTTCTACCACGGTTAGACCGTACAGTTAATATCGCAGCCAGATTCCATGAATCATATTTATTTGGTGTATTCTAATCATCTAATTTATACACTTTTTTAGATGCCATCTTTTGTACCTTCATCGCTTCCAAGACAGTCTTTTGATCTTTTAACCAGTGCTGGCGGACAGGGCCTTGCTGCTGTTTACCGATTTACTCGAAGCCCTTCATTACATGGATCAAATTTTGTTTCGGTTGAAATAACTTTCACAAACCATAGCCAAAGGGCGATACGTAATATTGGCATTAAAGATAAGGTCATTATATTATAATTGTGTATTACAATTTAGAAAATACTAACGCAAATTGTTAAATTCTTGTTTAATAGAAACTGCAAGCAGACATGATCATACGTGAATTCTCCGAAATTTGTATGTCATCCTTGCTTGTCTGGTCTCCTCTTAGGAGATAATTTAAATAGTTAAACATTCGATAGTATTCGATAGTATTTTAACCCATTTATTTGTCAATAGCTTCACTTGAAAGCAATGCATCAAAAACCGTCCTGATTGGCATTGATTTTAAGGACACAACGCACGCAGCAAAATTTTCGATAAGGTTTATTGAAATTAATGCAATTTCGGTTTCGCAATTCGAATTGCTGATACAGGATTATGCACCTTTTTAGTACACAAGAATTTAAATGCCCAGTTAACATTAAAGCTGTAGTGGGAGAACTTGTCAAACCTAGTAAAATTAGCCCGGAAAGTTTCAAAAAAGAGCAAGGTTTGTAGCTATTAAAGATTAATACATCTTGAATGTTGTTCTTTTCTTCTTCACCTTTTAAGTATTACCTTATGTTTATCATTTATTCATATAATACAGGTAAACTAGCCGGGATGTATGAAGTGTCCGATAATTTTAATATATCATCTTCGTTAAGTGCTCAAACGATATGTTCTCGAGTAGTGAAAGTCTTAAGCTGTAGTGTGATCAATATAGAAGAAAAAGAGAATAGTTTAAAATGTTATTTTGCTGCGCAAACTATATCTGGCAATCACTATCTTTTAGTAACCTTGCACCTTCGTAATTCAACTAATTGCTCCGTTACGGTAAATTGTGAAAAAATTGTTTTCAACTCGATGTTGACTAAGGATCTTAAAACAGAATTAACAACAAATTAACATTTATAACAGAAATTGTTTAACCTCCTGTAATGAAAATTCGATGCCAAACGTACATTTTAAGAGATTGTTGTTATGTAATAGTCTGAATGAGAGTGAGTTACTTTTACCCAATAATACATTACAAGATCATAATTCTGGGCACATCTGCAATTGTAAACCTTTGTAATATGTAATTAATGAGATATCAAGCTGATATTGTTAGATTGCCATTTGTAGATTACATAAGTACAGAAATTATAGCAAATTTTGCTTTGCATGATACTAAGAAATACCAATAGGTAGCTAGTGGAGAAGTAACTAGCTGATCATGTAGCTTATATTAATGATGACCTGTTATTTTAATGGCCTATGACTTTTCATAAAAGATAAATCATGAAAATTATATCTTATCAAGCAATTTATTTTCGAAATTAGGAATAGGTATGTGTTATGCAGAGTCTCTTATTAATTTACAGTCCAAGCTTATTTACTTAACTTAATATTGCATCACGTGAAGTATACATAGTATTCCAAATCAATATCAATAGCGATACAGCATTACAAATTGTCGTGTAGTTACGATCAAGTAAACAATTCCATATAATACATTACTATATTAAGTTTAAAATTTGTATTCTTGTATATCTCTTAAGGCTATTCAAAGAGTAAAATCTGCAATTTACTCTAGCAACAATAAGGAGGACTAATATCTATGTATGAAGAAAATCAAACAGAATCTATCGTACGTAGCATGTACGGTATCATGCAGTTTTAGAATTTTATATCATATAACAAGTGCAATCTAGGTAAATATGGTTACTGTAATGAAGCTTTTGCTTTCAATTCGAGCTCATTGCACATCATAGTAGCACTATGAAAAAACTCTATAATAAAGTTAATAAAATTTGCCTGGAAGACAATCTTTGCTAGAAGCAATAATTCAGTTAAATTCAACACTTAAATATGAGTCTACAGTTACTGTAGTATGGTTCAATATATCCTTAGGGATGCGGGGTGGATCCAATAATGTGTTGAAAAATGTATTGATAAATTTAGTGTGACAGTTTATACGGTATTTTAAGACTTATCAGGGCTGCGATGAATAAATAAATAAACAATAGTACATTTAAGTACAATGTAGTGTAATCAATAGACTATTGGATTATACTTTTATAACATACTTGTATCCCAATAGCAGTATCTATTAGCAGAATACAAATAACGTTTCATGTGCATAATATTCGTGTAAAGTTATTGCATTATCAAAGTATTAGTTTGTAAAGATATAAGGTAACAATAATAAATTTGAGCCAAGCAGCATAAAGTAGTTAGTTGATTGAAAGTGTACGTATGTTTGTAGATTTCAGTCATTCATCGTGTAGCCATCATTTATCGACACATTTGTAAGGTATCCTCCTATTAAATGCTTTAATCAACCACGACTCAAATCCTTGTTTAATCTTCCGATTTATCGTCAATTTTCATTGCGGTCAATCATAAGATTGATAAAGTACCTGTAAAGCAGTAGATACGCCAAACAACAAGAATCATGTCAGTAGACAATCAGAAATAATGCCAGTCTACAAGCTAATATCATTTTCTAGCGTTAGCTACGTTTTGCAATAGCGTAAGCTGTATTGCTCTTGACTTGCTTTAATGAAGAGTAATATTAATCAATTATTTATAATTCAGAGAGAAGATTTCATGTTACTTCAACCATTGATCAGCACCAAAATTTTATGACACTTTAGTGCTATCAAGTCAGTAACAGATGATTCATCATGGAGTGCATAAGTGTTAGCCTATGCATAGTAAGTAAGTAGATTATTAATATTGACGTGGAACTACATTATGTTTTACTATACTGTAGTATCAACACATTGGCGATACAAGATAACGCAGTAAATCATTGCAGCTTGGATAATGTTCAGTAGTTTATGATACGACTTTGATATTATCCCCATAGGACTAGTCAATAATTAGCTTCTACAATAAGAATTTATGATGAATGAGCCCTTGTTGGGACGATATACAGTTATTTCTTGAACAGCACAAGCATACATAAGAGTGTGTCGAAAAAGAGTCAATTTTAGTTGAATGCTTGAAAGCAATCCTGTCTTACCCTTTCCCTAGTGTTAAATTTCTATTCGAGCCATGAAGTATAATTCGGCGGCAGCTACCACAACGGCAACAAAGAGTCCAAATAAAACTCGAAATGCAACGTTAGGAAATGCATGTTTTGATGCAAAGAAGCCAAATGCAAAGGCTGAAGCCACGGTAATGACAAAGTTGATGATACTGCTGAGTTGGCGACGTGTCGATCGTAGATCTTTACCTAATGTTTCCTTGGCTGATTGCTTTGGACTAACATCCTTGACCATCTCTTGATATTCACGATTGGCTTGTTGTGCTTTCAGTCTTTCTAACCTAGCCAGTAATTCAGGATTGCGTTTAGGTGGCTGATATGCTTGGCGATATAATTCACTACCAGCCAATAACTGATAGAGGTAAGTTTTCTGTGTGCCGTCATCACCCTTCGTTTTGACAAAATATTGATGAATGGATTGAACTAATTGGAATGGAATAGCTTCAGGCCATTGTGATTGATCTTTCTGCGTTAAATTGTGTAATCTGGCATGGAGATCATGAGGCAAATCGGATCGTTTGCTGACCTCAACAGCAGCTTGATGCAAGCGTTCGGTGAATACAACCTCCATCTTGCTTGATTGGGAATTACTTTATCCTTTTACGGCGACAATCTGTATGTCTGTACGTCCACATGGCAGTTCCATGTCTAGGGTACTGTACTGTACACTCGTGTACAGTATATTGTACTGTATTACTGTCTAATGAGTGTTGTGAGGGTAAGTCACGTTGAATAAAGATGACGTAATCACCTGGGGACAACATGATCGGCATCTGACCATCTGACCGTGGCCTCCACGACGTACAGTACAATGTACTGAGTACACACTTGAAATACTGTACAGTACAGTACTGTAGAGTAGCCAGGACAGTGCGGTGTGATTCATTTCCTATCAGCTTATTCAAAATGCAATCCAATACTTTAATATTAATCGATTTTAAGTAAAATGGATATCGGTCGATGTTTATCCGATCTCTCTCAGTGCATCATATGAAATTGAATTCATTTTCTAGTGAAAATTAGTCACTCACTCCATTATGCACCGATTTAGCTACAGTCCAGTTTAGTACAGTACTGTAGATCATACTGTACTGGACTGGACTGTACACTGTACTGTGCAAGTGTGCATTGTACAATCGGTACTACGTATACCGGCTGTACTGCGCACATGCAGTAGTAGGCAATCAATCCGATGATCAGGAGAGTCTTTTGTTTACTTAGTACAGTTCTGTCCTGGCTGTACTGCGCAAATGCAGTAGCGTCAGTCAAAATCAATCAGAGAAGTCTTTACCTTGCTCAGTCCAGTAAGTTGGTACAGTACAGTAAACTAAAAATTTGCTTACTTCTTACCGGTAGTAATGTACCGTCCGCGCTGTTTTACTGTGGTCGTGCAGTGTGCGGACCGGATTAGACCGGACCCAGTTCTGAAGACCTGTACTGTACTGTACATTGTACTGTACAGTATACAGTGTACAGTACCGTACTGTACACTGTAGAGCACCGTTGGTGGCAGGCTTCAGTACAGTATGGTCGCTAATAGGCTTGGATTTTTCTTGCTTGTGTATGGCGTGGAAGCAGAACATATTGTGGCGTTACGACCTTTCTGACTGCAGCGTACAACACATCATACCATACACGTGCCGTGATGATGCTATCAGCAGACGATCAGATGTTTTCCATTTCCTCTGCACAAACACCAAACATCACCCATACACGTTGGCTATCACGTTTCTGCGTCCATCTCTCATCTCTTCAACTTGTTTCATCAACCAAACTGCCAACCAAGGATGGCAGACTAAATAGAGGAATATTCATTCCTGTTAGCCCAGTAAAGTCAAGTATTGGCACGGTCGGTACCAGTACTGCACCATTTGTCTTACAATACCTGGAACAACCTGGAACAACACCTTCCCAATAGAGCCAATGAAATGGCATCAATCGTACCACGTGTTGAGTCCACCCGTGCCCAGCAAAAGATTTTTGGCTACGCGTCACCGGCCAGTCTACTGACGCAGTCGGTACACCACGATGCTACGTCCACTATGGGTCGACCTGCCAAGTAACACGTCACTAGCATGACGTGTTACGTGACCTCAACCATTGGGCACGTCGTTTCAATAAAGCAACGGGACGACGACTACAACGTTACTCGTCCGAAGGTTGACTGCGGGAAGGACAGCGCAAAAAAAAAAAAAACATGGCTCTAGAATTAACTGCAGAAATGAAGCAAGAACTTGCTTCTGTTGCCAAGCAAATTGTCGCTCCTGGCAAAGGTATTTTGGCTGCTGATGAGAGTACAGGAACAATGGGCAAACGCTTAGCGAGCATCGGTGTTGAGAATGTAGAAGATAATCGTCGAAAATTTCGTCAATTACTCTTTACATCCAGCAAAGAGCTTGGAAGGTATATTAGTGGCGTTATTCTTTTTCACGAAACTTTATATCAGAAAGACGATCAAGGCACACCATTTGTTCAAGTACTCAAGGACAACGGTATTATACCAGGGATTAAAGTAGACAAGGGTGTTGTACAATTATTAGGTACAAGCGCCGAAACGACCACACAAGGCTTAGACGATTTAGGCAAGCGTTGTGCCCAGTATAGAGCCGATGGTGCTCAATTTGCCAAGTGGCGATGTGTCCTCAAGATTACAGCTTCAACACCCAGTGAATTGGCTATTCAAGAAAATGCCCATGTACTAGCCCGATATGCTAGTATTTGTCAACAAAATGGAATCGTTCCTATTGTTGAACCCGAAGTGATACCAGACGGCGACCATTCCTTGCCAGTCTGTCAAAAAGTCACTCAAAGAGTACTGGCGGCGACTTATAAGGCTTTACACGATCATAATGTTTTCTTGGAAGGAACCTTGTTAAAACCCAACATGGTCACTGAAGGTGCCTCTTATCAAACCAAAGCTTTACCCGCTGAAGTAGCTAAGGCTACCGTTGTCACGCTAGCAAGAACTGTACCTGCTGCTGTGCCAGGAATTGTTTTCCTTTCCGGTGGACAATCCGAAGAACGAGCTAGTATCAACTTGTCAGCGATCAATAGCTGCCCAGGTACCAAGCCATGGGCTTTATCATTTTCATTTGGAAGGGCATTGCAAGCGAGCGCTCTAAAAGCTTGGCAAGGCAAGGTGGAAAATACCGCTTCTTCACAAGAAGAATTTCTCAAGAGAGCTAAAGCCAATGGCTCAGCAACGTTAGGAAAATATGCCGGCGAAGGAGCTGATAGTGCTGCTGCTTCACAGAGTTTGTTTGTCAGCAATCATGTCTACTAACCTAGTTTCGATGATGAATTTGTATCTATAGATCATCATCAATGATCGTATTGGTATGAAGAAATTGCTATCCTTGTTCCTACTGATCATTTACTAGACATTGACTGTAGGATAAATGATAACCTACGTTAACGTAGTACTTACTTCAATTGATTCTAATGAATTGATAATAATTATTGTAGATCAATTAAAATCATTAAAATTGCAATAAAATAAATGCCAATCAACAACAACTGGTGATGTAAATTATCTTTCAAGCCAACGCATTAACTAACCAACTCAACATCCACTCATAACCAGTTACTACCGTGTTAACTTACCAAATGCAGTATTAATAATAATGTGTGCAACGCACAACAGACTCGCATTTCATCATTTCCAACCGTACTCGCTACTCATGCATTCCCTCCCTACACGACATGATTAACTGTAACTTAAGTAAACAAAGGCAGTTACTAGGTAATCAGTTTTCGTTCAATTTATCCCACTAGTCGTAAGAAAAAGTTACTATCCTTTTCTCCAATAACTGTTTTCATCCACCTTCGAGATTGTACCCGTGCAAAAAAATGCCTTACCTAGGCAATGCGATTCCTTGCATTCCGTGTACAAATTGAATCAACGTTTATAAAACAGTTACACCAAATTTAAAATCTTAGCCCACTATGAATTATTAATTGAGGAGTGGGTGTTAATAGCATAGTTCCTAAGCCACTTAATGTCCAACTCTACAGTAGTGTTGATACTTTAATGGCAAAATTGAGTACTACAATATGCATCGCCGTTGACTTACAACGCGAATAAACTTTGTTAATCTTCCACATAGAATTAATCGTATCATTGCAAAAAACAAAAACAAATAGTCCATAACCTACATGGGAATGATTAAAGTCAACGCTATATTGCCAAAGATCGTTTTAGTAAAAGTTTTAGCCGCCTTTATTGTCTCCAATGTTAACTCGCACCGATTCTATTTATTGACCAAAATGCGATTGCCTGGAGCATGCATACTCTTGCCAAACAAGTTATACAACGATGTAGATTTTATTCCATGATTTTTATCACAACATTTTAAAATTTTATACAGCAATTTAATTACAGCATCAGTATTTTCAGATAAATTTGAATAAAGTATGCTTTGACTTGTATTTACATACTTAAAGGTACATACATCTTATCATGATTAAAGCACTTAAAAAAAACTGAAAAATATGACAACCGCGTACATCCAAGTTAATCAATACAATATGCTAGACCCCCACTTGGCAAGAAAAATGAAAGCACCTGGTGCTATAATTTCTCTAGTATAACTAATATAAAACAGTTGATGATTAATGTGACACTGCAAATTACCAACACTTGCCCATTAATACTAAACGTGTAAACAATCATAGGTTATCACCGTTTCAAGAAAAGATTATCAGTTGTGTAATAGCAAATCAACTACAGTATATTAAATCTAATAGCACTTAGCTCAAATTTCATATGATAAATACCCTTCTTGATACACGTACTTTGTGCACGTTAAAATATGTGATATAACTTAGAATTGCTCGACCAGATACCCTCCTCAAATTATCAAAATTTGCAAGACTAGTACAGTCAACAAGAGCTGATATTGACTATAGTTTCCTTTTTCTAGATGTATAGAACTGATGATTCAATTTGCTAATAAACACGATACCATCGCCTATAAAGTTTCTCATCAATTGGATTGATGAATACTGTATGGACATCATTCATCTAAATATTCCCAGAGATCCATGTCATATCCTTCGTAGACATGCCGCAGTAATGCTTCACATCGACCTTCACAGTATCTGTAATGGACAGTAGTACCAAATAGCATTCAATTACATAAGCGTAAAAAGTATAAAAGATACATTAAAATGTCATCCTATCGCTATGGAACTAATAGTATTGAATATAATTTCATACTTTGCCTTATCCTGAACTTTTTGTTTAATATTAGACAGTTCATCAGTTGTAACATCCCTTTCCAAGTACTCAGACAATCTCTCGGTCGCCATTTCAAGATCTTTTTGATTTGCCTACATATCATTTAGTGAGCAGCAAGAAGTAAATCCGCGATACAGAGTAGATAATTTATAGAAAGAAAATTATTATAAATGTTTACTTACTTCAAAGATAGTAGCTTGGTTGTTGCTTCTCAAATAAAATGCAAAAACGTACGTATATTTTAATGTATTCCTACATTTACACAGGATATCTACAGCCTTTTTCAAAAACTGAACCTATATGTTAGTAGAGCACTAGTTAGCACTAATGTTGACAACCGAAGCAATGATAATAAGTTTTCAAGGAAAAAGATAATGGCAAATTTACAAACTTTATGGTTACCTCAATCCAAGACATATTATGTTGTTGCATTTCTTCCATTTTAAATTTTATTTTGGAATACAACTGTAGAATATTAGAGATAACAACGTTATTGCTGGAGCTCCATCAAGGATTTAGAATAAAATTTAACTCAACCTTATGTTCTAATTCTAAACTTTGGCGATGATTCATATATCTATCGCAGTAGAATAAATATCGATTCAAAGCAGCACGAGATTTCTATCGGAAAGACAGAAGAAAAATATAAAAAGTTGTAAAACTGGTAAAAATCAATGAAAATGTATCAAATAGAGAAATAGTAAATGCAGCTAAGACGAAAATTGTCACGTAACCTCTTGCGCTGTTCTAGCAGCTACAGAGTCGTTTGCATCATATCTATTACAGTTATACCTTTATGATGAATAAATTCAATATCGTTAATATGATATAAAATGGATACAAGAAATTATTGAAAAGATGGAGATATTTAGTTCATTATAATTTTGCGTTACATACCAACTTGAACCATGCGGTGACCAAGCACTCAAGCAGATCCAACAAAAGTCAAACTATATCATCATTGAATGTGATCATTATATTAGAATCTGCATGGATTCATATTAGTACCGTAGAAGAGAATCAGCGTACAACTCATATATCATTACAACTATATAGTGGTAAGTAAATCCTAGGTTACCTTGCAACTCTTGTTTTGACAAATCATATGATTACAACCTCCGTTCTTTTCAATAGTTGCACGACACTTTGGACATTCTTTGGTATTTGCTGATATCCAATGAGCAGTTTCACTGTCATCATTACACTTTCTTAGCCACTTTTTTAACAGCTGTTAGCGATAGTGGGTTGAAAAATTGGGGGTCACACTCAAACGTAGGATACTACAGGATTACGCCATAACTGATGGCACTTACAAATGGTATGCGTAGCTTACCGGACACCTAACAGGTTCATGAATAGGTTGAAGGCAATGGAAGCAAAATGCATGGCCACATATACAGGTCACATTACGAGTTCCAGCAGTAGTTACTTTAACAACAACACTACAACCAGGCGATGGACACCACTTCATTAGATGATGGCTCTGCAAAAAAGTTAATGGCTTGAATTGAACGCAATAAAGATCAAAGTCTTTTCAAATTGATTTATAATTATAAGAAAAATCTAACCATAACAAATCCATCTGTTAGGCGCTGATGATATTTAGTTTTAATATCGCTGCCTCGTAATAAACTCCTACATTTTGATACAGCAAGCATTGGAAATAATGAAATTACTCGACAATCACTATGAGTAGGCACAATTGACTGTAGAGTGAATAAAATATGCAGAGCCTTTATACTGTCATGAAATTGAGGATGTAGCCTATACACTGTTAAATTGCATGCTAAAGGTAATCGTTTAACTTACAATATAGTTTCATAATCCGTTAGAATATTGCAGTCATTGGCTGGACAAGCAATTTTCTAGAAATTCAATAATGCAAGATATTAACACTGCATGATGAGTCTTTATAACTACTTGTAGCAAAGATGGAATTGTATAAATTAACATTTGGAAGACTTTGGAAAAGATGCTGTCCACTGTGTTAGATGATATCGTAATTACTTACTTGTCCCTGTCCTTCATCAATAATTTTAATTCTTAAGTATTCATTCCAACAATCGATGCAGAAAAAATGACCACATTGTAATCCATTCATATGCTTTATAAGAGATACAATTTATATTGGAATAGGAGTAGAAGATTAGTTTCTTGCTATCCATGACAGCATAAAAGAGTAGATTTATAAGCATATTGTAGACAATAAGTGAAGTAGGATAAAGTTGATGTAACATTTACCTGAGAAGGCAAGTAGCATATATCGCAGACTTCCTGAGTTGTTAAAGGACGCTTAGTCTGTCAAAGATTAATTTGAAATTTTGGTCAGTCCACTTGATACGTGTGTATTTTTTTGCTGATACTGTAGTATCGATTTTATGAGTGCACATCATCAAGCCAATATCAACAAATCAAGTACAATGGTGAAAGTAATATTTTTGTTTTCACTTTTCCTTGATCAGTGTGTACAAACTGACTGCATGGAAAATGAAGTAATATTGTTTGTATTGCTCGAGACTACCTTGATTACCCGAAGTTTATGCTATGACTGAAAAGTAGACGAATTACTGTCATGTATCGATGTTGATATGATTTACCTTTCCTTTCAATCGAAAAGGATTAATGGTTTGTGCTTCTTCAAATATCTTATCTTGATCACCTTCATAGTACCTTAAAGTTTGATTATTGACAAAAATTGACAATAAGAATGATTCCTCTTTTTTGTATATTACGTTGTCATGGATGGAAAGATACAATTGAATGGTTACAACTACGAAACGACTATTTGCATGAGATGACGATAGATACATGCTATTAATACGCTTACGAATCAAGACTGCACGTATGATCCGATTTGTTGACAGTATGCTAATCATGTGTAAAGAGTATATTTTTGCAAGAAGAGAGTGAATAATGCTTCCTACCTTTCCATTAATTTTTCTTTATCCCATTTGAAATGATTTAATAGGATACAGGTTATATGAGGTGGAAGCTTTTTATGTTATCCATGTATCATTCAATTAGGAAATAGATGAAAGGAAAATTAGAAATGAATCAAATTAGAATTGAATGTATTGTGAAATGATGGTCCACAATTCATTTGCAGTAACAAATCGATTGATTGATTGATTGATTGATACTGGATAGTGCGGCTATACAGACATGATTGAGAGTCTTGCTGATGATGCCGTAACTGTCTTGTGTTGTAGAAATGGTCAAGGGAGGTTGGCACTTCAATGATAGACTACAGTGTAGGTTGGAAAGTGGTTTGAACTCATTGGCTAGACAAGCAATGGAGCTCCAGTAGCATGGATGATATCGTTGATTTAAGACTAGCGATTGCTCAAGATACCACAGTCCATCTCCTCTTGCCTACTATGTGGATAGCATTGCAATAAGACTGTTGATGATCGGCAAGAGTAGCGTGGATGAATTCTTCTACAAGTGTCTAGTCCACTGTTGTCGATGCTCTTGTAAACATTGCCGTCTTGGGTCTGCATGACTGCACTGCACCTTCCATCCACGCCATTCAACGACAGTACGATGATCATCATCGACAGCCATGTCTGCTGACTATCATCATGGACTCAAATCAACTGTCTGACTGCTTTCCTTACCTGTAAAATAGCGTTGACCTCGTCCACCACTTTCATCATATAATTGAAAATTTGATCGGAAGTCAGACATTTATACGAAGTCGGTTCATCCATAAAATCGTTGGCTTCTCCGTGTGCAGTATTTTCTCCCTCACTATAAATGCCATCATCGGAGGAATTATAGTTGATACTTGCGTCGCTTTCCACATCGTAAATTCCTTCTTCGTCGCTCTCCATGATGAAAATCGAGCAAGCCCGACAGCGATCAACAAATGGCGGACGACAACAGTGATGAATTGCTTCAAAATGACGGAATGCTTTGTTTCACTCGCAAAGTCAGGTCACTACACCGAGTTGATTCAACAGTCGCTAGGGGGTCACTGCAGTCTACAGTACACTGACTACAGTATGATGATGGACGCTGACCACCAACGCACATACTGTACACAGTAGAAATTGAGATACGATAACATGTAGGGAATGGGCCGGAACGCGGATGCGCAGTTCAGGGCCTGCCAAACTGCACCTGCGTATTTCTTCCAATATTGCCCCAAAGTGGGCAAACTACGCAACATGATACTATCCAATCCAGTACAGTGTACAGTACAGTACAATACAGGACAGCACTGTACACTGTACACTGTACACTGCATTGCGTTCATTCTGCAAAGTACAGTATGCAAAATACAGTAGGCAAAATACTGCCACTACAAGTATACTGAATAAGAACAATTCATGACTCCCGACCTTCTACTATACCTACAACATTTCATCTAGTACTAGTAGTACTATAACAGTGTCGGTATTGACGTAGTAGACGTCCTGCAAAGGAATCCATTGGATTGAAAATACCAGTATGCTTTACTTATACGAGTATACAGTACACTAGTACAGTACTTGTACTGTACTGTACAGTACAGTAATTATTCTATCATCTACAGTAGAGTCCTCTATAGTACAGTACTGTACTGTACAGTGTACAGTGTACAGTACATGTCAAGTTTCACGAAACACTAGCAATATTGTCGACTACAGACTCTCATAGACGGTCTCTACTGTCGACTGTGCGGTTTTTCCTTGACCATGCGTCTGCTCAGTGCAGTATGGACGGCCTCGTCTGCTAAGAAAAGTCCGTCTGTCCGAGGGAGTGATTCAGTCCAGGTCTTCTAGTCAATGATGACAGCAATCACAGGACTGTACAGTAATAAATTGATTTATTTTGGCCTATTTTTGATTGGAGTTTTAGTTTAGTTAGTAAACGTCGACTCCATTTTTTAGTGTCTCTACCGTAGGTATGCAGTCAGTACAGTACAGTACTTGCATGACAGAAGTACTGTACACTGTACATACAGTACTATGCACTGTGTGCTACTATCTCATGAGAGTAGTGAACTGTACTGTACATTACCGTCTGTCAAGCACCAGTATCGTACAGAAAGACGGATGGACGCGTCGCGGCCGTTTGACTGCAAAATAATGAGTGGGGGGCTAATCATCGTTTTACTGCTTATTCTAGTATACGCTACTGCCCAAAACGTCTACTCCATTCCACAAAATCGACCAAGCGGCTAATTATTCTAGTATACGCTACTGCCCAAAACGTCTACTCCACTCTACAAAATCGACCAAGCGGCTCATTTAGACCAAAATGGTGGACAGTATAAGGGTATCGTTTCCAGACATACGCTTTAGGTGAGATGACCAGCTAAAGAGTCAGCCCAGTCATTTTCGTATACTGAACGACTGTTGTCAGTCCCTGACCCCGTAGCTCGACTCGGAACTGGACTGAACTGGGTCTCTAGTGTGGGACCCAAAAGGGACAACTTACAGTACAATACTGTACTGTAGAATGGTACACTGTATACTGTACACTGTGCACAGACGGCCGGACATGACACCGTCGTCAATTTCGCGGGTTTGTCGAGTTGCAGGCTTTCAGCCATTGCCCAATCCACCATCTCGTAGTAGCTGGTTGCTGTTGTGTGGTTGCCTTCAAGAGAGAAACTTGATTTAATTTAGGCCTTAATATGAAAGATAATGGTGAAAACTTGGTATGGGCTAGAGTAGCTCGTTTTGCACCGTGGCCTGGCCTAGTAAGTAGGATAGTATACTTGACATACGAACGCTGCTTTCGTCATTCCTTTGCACTGCATCAGCATGATGCAAACTTTCATTCCAATTGAATTAAGTAGCCAAAATAAGGAGCAGTCATGGTCTTTCAACTTTCGTTCGATCATGGCATAACTGTAGATATTATCGATGTCGTATAAAACTGACAACAGCAATCATCATTATCCTACATCTTCACTTCTCCAATGACCAGTAATGACGTCGATTTGTGCTCAGTTTCGGTAGCGCTAGGTTTCCATGCGCCAGCTTACGGTACAGACACAAAAATCAATCACAACAGCAATATTGCAGTGGTAGTGCTGTATGGACGCTAGAACGAATCTACTATACTTGCACAACTCGTTCTGTTTGGCCGAACTTCTACTTTCACAATATCAACCAAGAAATCTTATTTCGCAAAGACCCAGATGGGAATAGACACAATCCCGTATAAAATAGTTTCCTATGTATATTCATCACTTGCGACTTGATCTTGTAATGAATGCTTGCCGCTACCCTAATTTACCTACTGTATAACCGCATATGCAATACAAATAAATGATATGTGCTGATTAACGCCAATCACTAGTGAGTTACCTAATTAAAGGGATACCAATGTCTTGTTCACTGGCGTCAATGGGCTCTATACTGTATACAACTCACGCTTTGTTGTAGATATTTTCATCCTGATATACTCAGCAAAAGGACAAGGATTGACTTTACGATTAGAGTCCTATTCGCACGGCTATGACGCATGTTCTCGACCCATTCCATAGTGGCTATCAATCAATTTCCTTCTTCCTCACCTATGCTCATTACAATCATCTAATATCAAATAATGTTGACGCTTAATTAGAACACTCATACGCCTATTTCTGCCAGTTTGCTAAACTGCTTAATTCATTTTTTTTTATTATTCCTGGCATACCCCTACTTGCCAAGTAACAGGCCTATCAGCCTTGAATCTTTACCATGGTTACAGTAAAGGCGAATAATAGTAGTGTACAGTTTGCATTAAAGTCGTTTGCAATATAGACATACTCGCACATCGATAGATTAACAATGTAAATGCAGAGTTTGCTTAATTAAGAATCACTTCAAATTGCAAGCCCACTACAGCCTAACGAGATTTATTACACTGTAGACAGCTCATTATTAAATCGAACCGTGTTAAAAGCAGTGCTTAATCAACTGCACAAATATCCAATTATATCCATGGCTATTCGGTATCTCTATAATGTACAAAGTAAAAAATTTTCAAAATTGCCATGAAACGCATGTTTGTTAATATACCAATGCTATCATAATACAACATAAACTTGTCAAGTTTTTCCCTTATTTATTGATATTATAGAATCTGTTACTAATAATCACAAACTGATAGATTGTACACGATGAAGAAATCAAGACTTTAAAAACCAAGACTATCAGAAATGAAAAAGAAGATCAAGAAGCAAAACTAATCCATTTCCTAGGAACGTATGAATAGTAAGTTGCTATGCGTCAAATGTTGAAAATGAATCTACCTCTAACAATAAAATAGACCATTTCTGACCAGCAGCATTCTCTATTTCAGCTTTTGGGTATTGCCAAAGCACGTTATTACGTACTCGGATGGTATTGATAAAAAATTGCACCGTAAAAGTAAAGGAAAGCTATTCATGGTATAGAATTGTATACGCTATCAATTTTATTAATTGTATGATATCATACAAGATCACTTGTAAAGTTCGCTTAAGTCATAATACGGTATACATTACGTTATTTATTCATAACTGCTCTATTCTTTAGCAATCAATTCAGGAAGCAGATAATTACCTCAATCATGGAAAGTACCCTGAGCATTTCTTCGATCAGTCAGATGATGAATCGGAAGATGAATCTCAACAGGACTCTAATAACATGGTAAATTTTATGATAGTTTTATATAAAATGGTATGCATATCTTTAACCGTAACGGTAAAGTCTTTAGCGCCAGTAGAACCAAACATACCCGTATACTAGTGCTTTGTAAAACAACAGCAATGAAGAGTGTTAAATCGTATCTAACTAGGAGAACGAGGAAGAAAATGTAGGAAATCAAAAATTAGACAATAATTCTGTGAATGATGTAGAAAATAATGGTGGTAATACTACAAGTTCACCTTCAAAATCCAAAATGGGTGACAAACAGACGGCTTCAACCAAAAGAAAAGTGGGTAAAGGGAATAAAACGCCAGCAAAAAAGCCTAACAACAACATTTCCGATGTAAAACCTGTCCTATCCAAGAAAGAGGTAATAAAAATAGCTTGAAATCTTCACCATGCTCACGTTCTCTTAATATTTGCATTTACTGTATATGTTTGTACATAGGAGGGAAGGTTACGATGTCTCAAAGTAATGCAACAACTTGGCTTAGCTCCTTTGTAAAGTACAGTAGAGAAAATCTTAAAAAAGAATTCTGTAAGGCGGAAACAAAGTATTACCCCTTAATTATTGTTTCTTTTTCCGAATTGTTAATAAATAAAATGTAGTTCGACCTATTGTTATAAAATGAAACTTAAACCTTAGTTGTTAACTATTCTGCAAATATGCTGTAGAAATGTTTGTAGAGTGCTTCTACAATTGTCAAGTTTATGTCATCGTAGTACTTAGTTAATCTAACGCATAAGACAAGTGTAGTCACTCTCTCCAGTCGACGAAATGGTTATTTTTTTTATAAATATGACGTTGAGTTAGTATCGCCTAAAATGAGTAATTTATCTCCTTACGTGAGTTCTTAACCTAGCTGATAATTCAAAAAAATTTAGTTTGTGTATAAAAGCAAAGAACGCACGTCTACATGTTTAAATACTCTGTATTGCTATTTTTGCGCATCGTGACATACCGATAATATCTTGATTTCTATGGATAATTGGAAGTGTCTACTACAGTATGGGACATACAGACTTTGTAAATGATTTTGTAGCTGTTACTTAGTATCAATGATTAATTGATACACAATTTTATTATGAGGTAAATTTTTTTTGATCAGCATTTTATACTGCTGTGATAGACTTGCTAATTCTATGATAAATACTTGAACTAAAATTATTGCCAATGATGAAGCTACAAATTTCAACTACCAGCTAGTTTGAGCAATGAAATTATGACTATAGCTAAATTTTCCTTTGCTTCAAAACGAAGTTTTCTCCTATTGTTGGTCAACAACTTGTAATGTTTATGAAAATTCATGCTATGAATATTATCTATACTTTGCAAATAAATTATATAATCATATGTATTAAAGCCTTATCAATGAATCAATTTTTACGATCAAGATAAGGTTAAAGCATCAGGTTCCCATTGATCATTACATGGCATCTGGGTGTAATTAGCTAAAAATGCAGCAAATGTAATATTGTACAGCTCTTAACGCATGAGCTCTCAAATTTTCATCCTACTACAACACACCCTAAGTCACTAAGGATCTGAATATTTCAGGTTGTTGAATCAAAACTTGAACAGGTAACGCAAGCTAAATATCGAGCAGATGATGTTCATATGTTTTACTCTACATCTTTTCTATTTAATTTCACAGATTACTGAAAAGTTCATTTGTACCAGAAGTATGATCAACATGCATTTTGCGTTTTAAGTGAATTGATTAATTAATTATCACTCCAAGCACAATAAAGAGTTGAAAGCAATGAAATAGTATTGAAAATAAAATTGTAAATTAATTTATATACAGATATTATACTAAGTAGTCTATAAATTGCTTTTAAATCTGCAACTAGAACGAAATGCAGCATTTTAGATAGGATATAAATTTTCAAAGAATCCATCCCATATTAAATGACAAACAAATCACAAACAGTCTCTGCAAGGTAGGGCCGAATACGAGTACAGTATAATAAATGAATTGAACGACTGTGCCAACGATGAAACTTTATCCTATAATGTCACAATTTTTCATTCATTCTGAATCAACCCAAGCTCCTTATTCATGATATATTCGTCCACATGACCATTGGCTACAAATTTACCATTGATGTGTAATACTGGAATTTCAAACTGGTATAAATCAAACCATTCCTTGTTTCCTGGACATAAGATGTCGACCTCCTCGTAGTCAATCTGTAAATAATTCATATCTGAGTATAAGTGACTGATACTGTAAAAGCAAATAACAAGTTCTGTATGAAGAACTTGCATATCAATAGTCAAACTGTAAATAATCCATATCTGACTACAAGCTACTAATACCGTAAAAATTAATTTCAAGTAGAGTATGAAGAACTTGCATGAGTAGTAGCAAAATATCAGTGCATACGACCTGCTGATAATTAAATTGATAACTTAATTTAATAAGCTTGGATCCAGTACCAAAACATTCCTTTCCATTTGGCATCCAGTACTGGCATGCACTCGAACACTACCTCACTATCAGCCATTCTATCATACCAATATTCTTCTCTTCCAAACACCAAAGAGTTAGTTATGCTACATTATTTTTATATCATTTTCTTCTTACTGTAAATTATTAACTTAATACATGTGTATATGTATACTGTATTACGCATAATATTGTATACGCGCTATGCGGTTAACGTTCGATATGTAATAGCAGCCTGTTGTGATATCTATGTTTACAATTCCGTTCTAATAAGGTAGTATAGCTATCTCTACTGTGCATTCTAAAAATAGAATGAATACCTTATTGCGATATTGCAAAATAACTTCTTTTGCTTCTTCACATAGTGGGCAATCCTTCTATTTGATAGTTGATGTACCGATATACGTACATAACAGTAGATAATGAAATGAATTTAATATCTTGTGCATGCCACATGGAACTTGTCTATACTGTACAACGGTTAAAGTAGGAAAGATGTTCATCATTGCACAGGCAAAAATTGATACAGCTACCCAACGCTTCAATTAATAATATCGACGTGAAGTATAGTAAAATCAAATTTATTGCCGACTATGAGTGTTTAATACCTTTTTATTGATTAGAATTATGAACGAAACAATAAATCCAAGTAATGAATCACTACTCTACATTCTACATTAAAAGTGATCCATCCATCATTAAGGAAAGACGAAACATGTCTACTAGACTTACTTTAGTAAAGAGTGTAATTTTGGGTAAAGACGAGAATTTTTGAATAGGATGAATACTGAAAACTAGGCGATTCACGGTGACTCGACGAGCAAGACTAAGGATGGATCTTGATAATGCCATTGGAGCCTAAAAACTTGACGATGATCTTGCCCTCTAGTACAGTAAGTGCAGCTGACTTCCAAATTGCTGTGCTAAATGACTAGCATTCAACAACGACTACTACGTTCATCAAGTGATTTTTACCCCACTGTTTGACAACTTATCACTTAGAACAAGCTCTAATCACATTGATGCACCAAACTAGGCAACTCAGCTCTTCTTCCAGTTGCTCTCTTTCCTATTTTAATGCTGATCTCGACTATCTTTGCAGCCTGGAGACAAGAGTGTAGTAGGATAGCAATGTCAATACTCATGCGCGCTTAATTCTACATACGATTGCTAGATTGACACACTGCACGGGGGAGGGCAGGGCATGATGGTGGGCCACAACCTTGTCAAAATGGCAATTTGCAAAGTTGCTGAAATTTAAGGATTTGATCGAAATTTATCCTTTCGGAGCTTGCCTGACCCCAGCAGTAACGAATATTGATTCATTAAGGGATGATGGGCCACAATCTTGTCAAATGGCATTTTGCAAAGTTATTAAAATTTAAGGATTTGATCGAAATTTATCCTTTCGGGGGCTTGCCTGACACTAGCAGTAATGATTAACGGAAGGTGGCCCACAATCTTGTCAAATAACATTTCGCAAAGTTGCTGAAATTTAAGGATCTGATCGAAATTTATCCTTTCGGGGCTTGGCTGACCCTAGCAGTGACGAATAGTGAATTATGAACGGTGCTTACATATGTACAAATGTCCCTGAAATAGCGGGCTCGATATGAAAAGAATAGCAATGTTGAATTAAAGGTTATACGTTAGGAATACGCGCATCTTCTCTCTCTCTCTCTCTCTCTATATATATATGCTAAGTAAATATAGCATTATATAAGAATATCAATCTTAATCCTCCTCCCTTAGCAAAGCTTGGCATTGTAGCAGCCTTCACTCAAAATGTATGAAAGCAATGCACCAAACCCGAATGTAAACATTATCATGAAAAATGCATTTACAAAATACGTGTATTGATATGTAAATATACCGATAATGTAGCGAAAGGTTGATCAACATTCGCGAAAAAATGACATGATAAACATCATTGATTGAGCCATACCTATTGCATTTATTGTATATAATATTCCATCGACGAAATACATCTAACATCCAATCCTATAGCCTACATGATAACTAGCAAGGTACTCAATGGTTACTATATCCAAAAGACATCGTCTAGTTCCGACACTCGTTAGCAATCCCTTTATTCATCCTGGAATAAATTTAACTATGAAGAAGAAAATTGAGGTTAAAATCCATTCTTATTCGTATACGAAACTTACCGCTAGCTTTGTATCGACGCTAAGAGATAGTACACAAAATATATTAGAAAGAAAACAGATTTTATACAATTGCAAGAGTTGTGGTCATGATTAAATTTAGATAACTATCTTACCTAAGGAAATGAAAGTTTTTTAGATTCGCTTATTCTTTAGTGTTTGAATTTTAAAATAGTATAAAGGGAAAAGTTTTTCTATGCAATTTCAAAAGCAATCTTCATGTGATCTTGTCTTTACGTATCTATTTAGATGCTGCTGGTTGCGATATTCATTGCTCCCATACGCATAATAATTATAATTATCACGATAACTTGTGCCGGACTAACAAGCTATTTAATAAGGAAATCAATGACACCAAAACAACTTACTCAGCCTCTACAAGGTTGGCGAAGGTAAATCAATTCTAACATCATGTGAATATATCAAAATTCTCATTTCTTACACATGCATTGGTCATTAAAATTTATCTTCTCATATCGCAATATATGTATATTCCTCCTACACCATTAAAGATTAATTCATATGAATGCCTTAAAATTCTCATTTCTCACACATCCATTGCTCATGAAATTTATCTTTTCACACCGTATTTTATATATACTCCTACATGATCAAAATTAATTTTCAGCTTTAAAGTTTTATTCGATGCTTTTCTACTGTATCTTGAACAGAAAAGCTATCAATCACTTTATTAATTATTGAAGTATTAGAGCTATCTTCTCATACCATATACTTTTAAAGTTAATTCAAAGGTATTCTATGGTATTTAATTAAAAGAGCCACCAGCTGTAACGTCATTAGTTATATTTACTACAAGCAAAAAATAGAACTTATGTTTTAAAGGTTAATTTAAATTATTCTACTGTATCTCGAATAGAAGAGACACCAGTTACTATGTTATTGATACGTTAACTCACTTTTTCGCATCTAATTTCATATTTATTACCAATAAAAATATTATAATTCGTATTTTCAAGGTTAGTTTAATAGTATTTTCACGGTTTCTTGATTAGAATGGCTATTAGTAACTACTGTTGATATATTAGTGCCATCTTTTCATGCCTAATCTTGTATTTACTAACATTAAGAAACAATCTATATTTGATAGGTTAGTTGAAAACTTTTCTACTATATCTTGGCTATAAGACGTATTAGCTGTTATGCCATTCATACATATATACTAATAGAATTAGAAATGACTTTCATGCAGCTTTAGTATAGAACAATTTCTAATTCTATTTTAAACTATGTTTCTCTCCGTCTGTGGCCTTAGATATTTACGCGAACGGTATCGACATGGTTCCTCCATCATTATTTTTGCACTTGGTTTTCATAAAGTAACTATTATCGGAAAACTAGCAAGCCCGGAGGAAGCAAGTATTATCGTGGCCGCACCTCATTCCTCATTCTATGATGTTCTACTAATACAATATTGCCGATTTTTCGCTTCTATCGGAAAGCAAGAGTTTCTTAATAATCCCATTCTACGTTGTAAGTTTACTGCAGAAAATAGAAATGCACCATGTTAATTCAGTATACTATACCGAGATTAATAAATACTTACAAGTGATCAATAGCAATATTCTTGACACATTATAAATAGTAATTACTAATGAATTAGTAATACATCGATTCCGATTTCATCATGAATAGTAATGAGCTTTTCTAAGGCCTACTTGAATGATAAATGATGCAATAATAGCATTCTTGATGATGTCTAAATTTTCCAATCTAGCTATTTCATCTATCAATCAAGGAATTTATGTTTCAAGATCTAGTTCGAGTACTGAAAAAGAAAGCATCAATAAAATAGTGGGTAATCCGAATAAAAGTGCAATAAAATGGCCGCAATTATTAATCTTTCCCGAAGGTGATTTAGAAGTGTCTAAAATCTCTAATCTCGAGTTCTCTAAATTAATAACATTACTTTATATAAGGACATTAACATAATTTGAGAGCTTGATTTTAGCAATAACTGCTACTCATATCGAAGCCTTTCATTTATAGGTACACATGGAAATAGAACTTGTCTGTTGACCTTAAAGTCAGGTTATTCTGCTATTTTAGAGTTGTATAAAATTAAAAGTTTAACTAATTAGCCATTGCAGTGAATGACTGAATACTTTAAAATGCCACTGCATTGACATTACATCAGATGTATTACAATTTTCAAATCTCATCAACTGCAAATCCTTTCTCGATTAAAATGCGGCTTGTAGGAGCATTTGTTCCTGGTGTTCCAGTGCAACCAGTTACTATCCGATATCTTAACGAATTAGTAAGTCTACTTATGCGCTAAAAGCACAGTGCCATATAATGTATACGAAAAGGGCGAAGAACTATTCAGGAAAATCATTGAATATTACTTTGTAATGCTAATTGAATAATTATTCTTACTGATAGGACACCTATACCTACGTTTTTGGCGGATATTCTCGGTGAGTCTACTACGTAAATTGAATCATTTTGCAATTACGTAGCAATTTCATAACACGACTTCATTTCTACAAATGCTGATAGGATTATTAAATTTCTTTCATTATTATCTTTAAAATTACCTCAGATTTCGATTATTGCTGTACACAATTTGTCTGCTAAACCATGAAGCTGTTATAGAGGTGCTTATAGTTTTAATTGCGAGTATATCGTGCATTATTGGTAATGATTTTTACTGTTGCATATGGTTATTTTTAGTTCTTACCGGTATATTATCCAAACGAAGAGGTAATTGAAGACTGTTTTCTTCGCTGAATCTCTCATATTTTCATGACAATAACTTCCATGATAACTGTTCAGTTTATTTACCTTGTCAAGATAATCTATAGTCATAATAATATGTAATTTCTGAGATTGATCCTTATTCGAGTATAAATATCTCCAACATTTTAGGAAAGGATGTGTTCCCGCTTGTATACTAATAATGTCAGAGACGTTATGTCTGAGTAAGCTTTAAACACAGTTAAGCTATTAATTCAATTTCTGTATTTTACCAGTAAAATTTTATCCATTCGTGTTACTGATTGTTTATGACGATGATTGCCTTTGCATAAGCACTATTGCCTAACATTTTACCATAAATCAATGATCTAATTGAGTTTAATTCAATTTTTGCATTTTGCTGGTAGAAATTTATCCATTCCTGTTACTGACTGTGCTTATGAGGATGCTTGCCTTTGCATCAACGCCACTGCCTATCATTTGCCAAGGGAAAGTGGTTTAATTGAATTCTCAAAATTAAATCGAGAACTTGGGTAGTGGTCGTGCTGGTTTTTAGCTCTCATATAGATATGCTAACTTTTCTACCTAAATTGAGCATCTTGCATGTTCTTATTCTTAGTATTATTTCTATCAAGACTGTCATTTAGTGACGCAAAGTGCCATCTACAAAAATTTGCGAGTATCGACCTAAATAGAGATGGAAAAATTGACATTGAAGAATTAGCCCATTACCTACAACTGGAAATGTCATGTCTTTTACCAATCTTTTCGTTACTAGATTGGGTATGTTTACATCTAGTTCTTGTAGTCTCTTTCGAAACTACAATATTGCTACAGTTCAACAGCATATGCAGTAAAAATAAGAGTCTTTTCTAGGATGGAAATGGATTCGTCAACTTCAGGCAGTATTTGATTGCAATGTTAACTCTATCTGCTACACCGATGTTAGAAGAAACGCTCTCTAAAGCAATACGGGTAACGTATAGAGTCTTGGAAATTTTATTAGATCAGCATTATTGGTAGCAAAATTCCCTTGCCTAAAATTTCATTTCTTCCAACTAATACGGGATAAATTATACTCCCCATGATAGAACACAGCTTTCACCAAGATCGACCAAATCGGTCAAAAAGACGAAAATGATTTCCAGGACTTTATGTTGCAGCTCTTTCCCTATCTCAGCTCTGATCAAATAAGAACATTCTTACTCTATCTTTTAGAGCAGCATGGGGATGGAATTACCGTGGGTAAGCAATCTATTAAATTGCAATCGATTTCACCCATTTGTAACCTACCGATAACTAAACTAACCAAAGTGATTATGCTCATTTCTATCCTTGACTACAGACACATTAAGAAATTTTTTCCTTGATGATATTGGATATAAAACTATAATGAGTTACTGCTGCATCAAACATGAACTTTAATAAGACTTTAACAAGGCCATAATGAAAGATTCGCATGGACTACCAATTATTTATATGCTGTACTGTAATGATTGGTTGACTGCCATTCTTCTAGACGAATAATAACCAGCTCTAATACCGAATATCAGTTAATAGCTTAGAGTTTTCGTTTAACCTAAGTATCGCTAGGGTAGCATCGTTGTCGAAGAAATGAATTCCCTGATTTTTAATTATTCTGTCCAAATATTAAAGCATTTTCTTTAAACACAGAATATTCAACTAGCCAACACACTAACTTACGATACATCATCTATCCTTGAGAGTGAATAATATTGCGATTTTAGGATATAGTTTATGATATCGCTCGTCAAAATGAGCTTGTTTCCGCCAATTTATCGCTGTCGTTACTTCCAATTTATTTTCGATCGCAATAAACACCTAAGATTGTTCAAAATGGTACGAATGTTGTTGTAAGTTTGCTTCTATCAACGACTTGAAAAATAGAGATACTGTTATAAGTAACGTATGTACGATCCTAATTAGAAGTACCTGGAAATATCAAAGTTTCAGGATATTCCTAAACAATTGAATCGATGAACATTTAAAAAAGATATCCATTAAAATTGTATCATTAACAAACTACGTCAATCTATTTTACAATTTACTTTACGACGACATTCTCACATCATAGTAGGAGAGCAGATAGGCCGAATTCAATAAGAAGTAAAAGTTTTTTAAAAAATGTCCAGCAAAAGATTCAGCAATGATAAGCTTTTTTCATCAATTTTGCAATTCCATTGACAAGAAAACGACGAGTACCAATATTTCATATCCAGTAATGAGAGCAGGGCCAGTTCTATTTAGAAGGCAGAAAATGTCTTCAAAGCAGGAATGGGAAAATTGCAGCGTTGCCTAGTTATTCCTACGAATTTACAGTACTATAAAGTTGTGTGCAATAACTTTTCATATTAAGCTGGAAGAGCAAGGACAATAGTTGAATTCAGAAGATAAAAATATCTTCAAAGCATAAATGAAATATTATAGCATTGCCTAGACGTTTCAATCATTTCACGATATAACTATGTGCAACTTTTCATAGCAGACTAGAGGAACAGGTCATTTAAGTTTAGAAAGAAGTGGAAATGTCTTAAAAGATACTTAACAACATTGCAGTATTGACTAGTCATTCCAATCACGATTGCTACTGAGTTTAATGCCATGTTCTATGAAATAACATGGTATGCGGATCTCTATTTAATTAAAGTCAAAAACCAACTTTCCTTCATTTATGTACCTTTACTAGTGGGTTTCCTTTATTCTACTGTATAGCTTCTACTGCAATGTTTCTGCTCTACTTCAACCAAATATGGTTTTATTATGGTCAAAGATGGGCACAAGATGTATCTTCTCGAATACTATCTTTATTAGGAATTATTATGATTGGCGTTGGCTATACTTGAGGATCATTTGGATCGCATCAGAAGTGAAAGACGCAACAAGATTGTAGTATAACCTTTTACCAGATGTTAATTATTTTATAGTCAATCGATGATTCTGCCAGCAACGATGTTGCATCTTTATCACGAAAGCAGACAAAAATAGCAATCACTAACAAATTATTTACACCACTAATCCTCTCTTCACAGAGAAAGAGAACTGGACTAGATCTCAAGCATTTCTTGAATATGAAGAGAAGGTAGAAATTGACAAGAAGTTTATATTCCATATTCCATGAATTATTACAAAGCATATTGGCAGTAATACTAGCTAGCGAGAATTCTTTCGTGGAAAATATTTTAACTTCAATTGAAGCCATTGGTTGCTCTAGTGATTGTAAAATAACTTTGAAGGCTCAACTTTTATTTGGCATCCTTGCCTTCTTGGTTAGCCATTAGGAAGATAAGGTTCAGTTCTAGCTATGAGAAAGCAAGTTTTTTGTAAGTTTTTCCTTATAACAGGAGCATTTATTCCTATAACCTTCGATTAGCGACTAGAAATTGTATGTTTATAGCCAAAAATGAGCAATAATGAAAAAAATAATTGCAGGACTATAGCTTCAGTAATAGATCGAAGATGAGACTTAACAGTAAACTATTGATGAAGGAAATAAATCATTAGTTATTTAGGGTAATGGATCTAACGACATGAAATGTTTCTTCTTTAGCTTGGCTTAGCAATAGTTCTTCTGGTTATGAATCTGACTTAACTACAAGAACATCTCAATCTGTTACAGCTCGTGATAAACTAAAGAAAGAATCGCAAGAAGTAAAGTTAATCTAAAGATTTGTAGTATACCCAATCGATAATGTTTTAAAATACTGATTTGTATTAACTAAAGAATTCTGCCTTATATTATGGTTGATTGTACTTGTGTAACTAGCAAAAGAAAATATTAATCATACACTAGTACAAAATTTATTGGTCGCCTGCTTTGTATTTAGAAATATTTGCGACCGATAAGGTAGAAATTTGCTAAGTGATAGTTTGACGATTGTCGGAGTCCCGTTAGTTTCCCACGTTGATCCAATATGATCGAAGAATAAATTGTCGTAAAGATTATCAATAATTTCTACAGTAGTTAATGGAAGGTATTTTGAATAACTAAGCAGATTTATAGCAGTTTCTTGTATATTCAGTATAGCGTCTATCGTATAATAACTATCCTATGTTACAGCTTAAATAGAAGGTAGACAGACAGCGATATTAGAGACTTAACTCTGTATCCAATACCTTATCATACCCATAGCTGCATTTCAAACGTGTCTAGAAGGTTGTGTTAGAATTAATTATAATTGTTAATAACCTTTACTACTGTTAATTGACGATATTTTGAATAACTAAGTAAGGTATACGACGCTTTCCTCATATTTGATATACCATCTCTCGCGAAATAGCTACCGTGCTAAGCTTATAATTAAATGGAAGGTAGATAAACAACTACCCAGCTAACTTACTATCTAATACCTCATGATAACCTTACCGCTGCTTAATAAGTGTTTAAAAAACTGTATTTAGATTGTCCATAATTTCTAATCTACATGTATACGTAGATAAATTATAAAAGAAATGAACGACCCTTTTGCCAATAGAAAGTGACAATTATCTGGCTAGTTAGCTGGATTTTAGTAAATAAATATAGCTTCAGTAATATTTAGCGGGTATAAGTAAATTTAAGGAATCCAATTTACTCTTGGGTCTTTAGTTCATGGATGAAGATAAAGCCCTTTCTAGTGAAAGTAATTGTAGCGAACAAAGCCTTGAAGATAGCCAAATGCAAAGTGAGGCCAGCAAGACTGATGAAGGAACTGATCAAGACGTATGTTGTTCTACGACTTCAGCTGAAATGAAGGAGATGAAATCTAGCATGGCTTCCAAACATCAGCTATTATTAGAATTTAAAATTAAAGAACTCATTGAAACAGAAAAATCTTATGTTTCCGATTTGGATATCCTGATCAAGGTATCGTATATTTGCATAGTTAAGAGTCATTATGACTTTATATCTAGCCGTAAAGTAAATGAGAATTAAGAAATTTGGTCTCTATTTAACATTATATCATCAAGCCTTTATATTGGGGCAAAAATGTTAAATTACCGCGTAACAGAGAGAATTTGTCGGATATTATTTCAGCAACCTTATCAGTTGATTACACCTATTCAAAGTGCTTATTTTAGCTGGCGGAAATGAGATCTGATATGATTGATTTCTTCTACGATTAATACTCTACTATTGAGCGATTAATAGATATCTATAAACAGTTTTATCCTACTCCAGGCGCTATACTTATCATCATTTTTTTAAATTATTCACCATCTCTATTGATTCCCTAAGCATGATCTTATTTTCTAGCATTACCTTCATCCATTTCAAAACGACTGGAAAATTATGATGGATGTAGGAGACAGCGACGAAATATTTCTCAACATCGATGAAATATGGGAATTTCAGGCGTGGGTTACTTATCTATATTTTGATGAATTATTTAATCCTTGCCAGTAATAAATCTTATAAAATAGCTAAAGTTTACTTGTACGCTTAGTTCTGATAATTATTTTATTTATACAGTCATAATTGTCATGATAATTTACATTTTACTCCTTAAATACTCCTAGTTCAAGCTTAGGCTAACATTCTATCATTTATCTTTGTAATTTCCTATCTAAAATTTAGTTCCTTCCTTCGGTCCCTTGAAAGCTGCAAGGGCAATCTTGTTCGCATATGTGCCACGTTCATAACTAAGGTATATAAAGGACTACTCTAGGATATTGGCAGTAATTCTATCTAGGAACGGCTCAATATTTGCTATTTTTCGACTTGATCTTCTACGATATATCAAATTAACTTTACTAATTAATATTTCAAATATGCTAAAGTGATCAAAAAATACTTTTCGTTACCTAGTAGGACTAAAAGTGAATCATTTAATTTATTTTTCTCAAGGATTGTTTAAATGGATTTGAAAATATTTATGGAAAATATATATGTAGCTATGATAAGTAAGATCAACATTTGAAATACATTTAGTCATTTCTGCTTCTCTCTAAGCCTTAAATACAATGTGAATTATTTGATAGGGCCGTTGCTACATTGCAAAGAATTATGAAAGAGGATACTATCGAAACTTTTTTAAATGTATATCATTTACTAAATAGGCTTGTATAACCTCTGCCGTTTATTAGATAACTTTGCATACTTATTTTAGCAGTCCTATTTCCAAATTCAATGTACATGATTCTCATGGTATTAGTTTAATGTTTATTGGCTGATTTATAAGTGTTGGTAACTTGATGATTTAGGAATGTCGTGAAAATACTGGTACTAACCTGAGCTTAGAATCTTACCTTGTTAAACCTTTACAAAGATTATTGAAGTATAAATTAATCTTGGAGGTATTTTCATATGGTCGTAGATTTAATTTTTGTGTATTCATTCAATTTCCTAAAATTCTTGCAAGATCATGACAGTATTTATTCGATATGCGATAGTAAGAGTATATACTATTAAGTTTGGGATCACTGCTTGTTTCATTTCCATTATTTTAACTGTGTCTTAAATTGACATAAGCTTTACTCATTTCTTCATAAATGATTCATTGAAACAAACGTGAAATTCATGCTTTTTTGATCAGGAAATACTCAAGTATTTGGATGGTTCAGTGAAAGATCAGGGAATTGTAAAAGTAATGACGTTATTCATATGAAAAATGACACTAATCATTAATTAATATAGGATACATTAGTAATGCCAGTATTAAGTAGTGATAGTTTATTTAGAATAGGGTTAAAGCTGATTCGAGCTAAATAATAATTAATTATTTATAGGCGGCTATCGAATTTATGTCAACGATAGCAGATCGAGTGAATGAGAGTAAAAAATTATATGATATGGCGAACAGCATTCAGGTTAGTCTGCATAAATTTAAAATTTTTAAGTCAATATAAAGGCATGACTGGCCTACTTTCAATGTTTAGAATATTGAAAAATCATTCATTCCGGATAAAAAATCAAAGGCTCAACTTGTAAGAAAAGAATAACTTAAACGGATAGAATTAACGATATCCATTACAGCAACTATATCACGGATAATTGATCTATGACTTGATATAATTGTATAATTAATAACGCTTAAAATGATTTTTATAAATCAGTGTATCACCAACTTGCAAGAAAACTACGGGGATTTTATAATGGAGGTAGTCGTTTCAGAATTAAAATTGGCTATTGCAAGCTGCTTGCCAATTGGCCTTACACGTTGAATGCAATTTTTTTATTTATTTTTATGCAGGGAAAGTTCCACAAGCTTTGGCCAAGGAAAGAACGAAAATTATTCCTCTTTGAGAAAGCATTATTACTGACGAAGCCCAGGCCACATGATAAATATATGGTGAAAGCATGTATTCCGGTAAAGAAGCAATTTTATTTAAACGGTTTTTTTCCTGAATTCTATGCTTTTGTAATTTAGCGACAGGTTACGTAATTATAACCAATTTCAACTCGCTCTGCTTCTATAGTTGAATCTTATTTATGTCAACATTCATGAAACTAAAGATGACATCATGATGATGACTACGATTTCGTCATCTTTAAGCTCAAAAAATAAAAAACCAATCCAATATCGTGTAAGCTTGATTAGAAGTGTGATTTCGTTATAATGTTGTCACTTAAAATTGTTTCTTATCCCTTTAGGCTGAAAACAGAACCATTTGCTGTCGGTGGGTCAATGAAATGAAGCAAAGAATAAAATCAATGAACGAGGATCCATGAAGCTAGTTTAAATAATAATGAAATTCCGGGTCTATCTTTCATGGTGCTTAATCGGTCAAGATGAAAATGCGATATTGCATATTGGGCCTCGGGCAAAATTGATTAAAAATGTTTAGAAGATTTCACAACGCTATCGTCGTTTCTTACAGAGTACGACGGATAAGAATTCTCAATTTCTAATTACTGTTGATTTATTTTTACCTTTCAATAGCTTACAGTTAATAACTTCTTGTTTATTAACAGTGAAGATAGATTTAAATAGAATCAATTTATAGCCGAAGGTTGCAAAATTAATGCAGCTCATCACCTTGTACAGTACTAAGGCAAAGGATATAAAGCATGTTATACTTTTACACGCATTTACAGCATCGTTCAATATCATGCATTACTTGTTGGGATCAACATGAATATCCGAACAAATACAATATTAAGTGACTTTTTGACTCTAGAACTGTTCGATCTCGATTCTAAGCTATCGAATACGGTCTGTCCTCGTATTATAGTGTAGAACAGCATCATTCATGAATGTGACTAGTCTTCACGTACTCTGCGATTGCCAATTTAACTCGACATACAGTAGTGCAATCTCTTCACGTATTATATTTTAGATCAACATCATTCATGACAGTCTATGAGTATACCGGTCTTCTGTGGTTGCAACTACAGCTAAGCGCATATGTGTAGAAGAAGAAGCCTGAACTGTAATCAAGTAGTATTGTTGCAATTCTTGCCCTATTTTACACTCGTCTAGCAATACAATGCCAAGCATGAATAGATGGACAGATTCACTTTGAAACTTGAGCATTGCATTTTCATCTGGATAGGAAAGATAAATACCGTACAGTAATTGTAAGAAAGGTATTTCAGTGATATTTTTGACTCTAAAACTTCTACTGTAGATTCAGATTCTAAGCTATCGAATACAGCCTCTCTTCGAATTGTATTGTAGAACAACATCATTCATGAGTTTGACTAGTCTTCCTATACTCTGAGGTTGCCAATTCAACTGAAAAATAGATCCCATCTGCAGCTAAGCGCATATGGGCAGAAGAAGAACCTAGAGCTGTAATCAAGTAGTATTGTAGCAATTCTGGTCCTATTTTACACTGGTGTAGCAATGCAATACCAAGCTTGAAGAGATGGACAAACTAGCTTTGAAACTTAGGCATTATATTTTCATCAGGATAGGAAAGACAAATAATTGTCAGGAAGGCATTTCAGTGATATTTTCGATTTTAAGCTATCGAATACAGTCTCTCTTCGTATTATCTTGTAGAACAAGATCATTCATGAGTGTGGCTAGTCTTCCCACGTACTGTAAAGCGTCTTATTTGCAATAGACTGATACCAACTTTATCTAATTTGATGTTGAAATTGTGTTTTCATATAATTTCAATCGTCGGTAATTTTTTATGAGACACCCTGTATACTCTGTGGCTGCAACTGGAAAACAGATCCCATCTGCAACGAAGCACATATGGGTAGGAGAAGAAGCCAGAACTGCAATCAAGTAGTATTGTTGCAATTGTTGTCCTATTTTATGCTGGTGTAGCAATGCAATGTTAAGCATAAAGAGATGGACAAAAAATTAGCTTTGAAACTTGGGTATTGCATTTTCATATGAATAGAAAAGACAAATAATTGTAAGGAAGGCTTTTCAAGTTTGTACCTTGGAGCCATTTTCTAGGGGTTAGCAGCAGCTGCATCGCCAAGCCAAGCAGTTTTGCCTTCGTTCTCAACATGCACTACCTCGGATAGACTGGTCAAAACGTATTTGACTGACCTGTACATTATACCAACACCAGTAGTGTACAGTACTGTACCGTGCACTACATCGGTGCAGCACATTGCAACCACCTGTTCCGACGTCTAGTGTCTAGTACCAGTACCGAACTGGACCGGACTGGACCGGTACGGTCTAGTCTAAGAGGTCTTCCATCATTCCACATATTCTCTACTGTACTGTACTGTACTGTACAGTACTGTACTAGTAGTACTGTACAGTGTACAGTACAGTACATTAGCATACGTACTGTAGCATCGTACTGTACTGCACATAGCGTCCAGTCTACGTAGTATCAAAACCGCATGATTGAGCTGATCGAGCTGATTGAGCTTTCCATCTTGGCAGATCCAGTTTCAAATTAAGCTAAACAATCCATCGCTGTTGCAATTTATTCCATTTTATCCATTACAATCGATTGAAAAATGTTACCGAGATCAAGCATTTGCCGTACTTTGGTACAATGGAGACAATGGACCGTCAAGAATAGAGCTATTTCTACAGGTCAGCTTGTATTGCAATTAATGATTGGATCGCTTGCTCGTATCTTGCCTAGCCATGGACAAAGCTCCATTCAAACATGTGTTGTTGTTGTACTACTTTAGGAGCTCAACATTGCATATTTTTAAAGCCTAAAGAACGTCCCTTAGAAAAATGGGATTTACACAAAGCTGAAAATGAAGGCAGAGATATCGGTCAGTCTCTTACCATTTAAATTGGCGTAACTAAATTGCTGAATGACCTCCATGCACGCTGCACAGTAGGCTGTAGGATGCATCGATAAACAACGAAGCCTTTTTCTCTCTTTCAGAAAAACTGCGCGAAACCATGTTAGAGAAAATAGAACGAACTAAACATGCAGCGGTTAAAGATTTGCAATTGGTTGGTTTAGAAATGACAGTATCATACACACTCGATCTCAATCCGATAAGTAGATGTTGTTACTGTACTAGCAAGAAATATCAAATCACTTCCTTTGAATCCTAATGAAAATGCCTACTGTACTTTCCTGCATTGGAACTAGCGAATAGTTTTGAATTTATTGCATACGTATCATTTTCTATTTTCATTTAGTTTATAGATGGTTGTACCAAGCCAGAAAATTTACCACTTCTACAGGATACAGTGAAAAGGTATCAATTGACAATTGGAGTATCTTGATCAGAAAAACCTTTACATTAGAATTATGCATTAAACTGGCTTGCAATAATGACAACGACAAAGTATCCACTTGAGGACTGTATCTTTTCGAATATGCCACTCAAAGTGCTAGTGATGTGCAATCAAAAGCGAGCATTTTAATATCCATCATGGCAGACTTAGCTAAGGTACCTATCCTATTTTTTTTCTCAAGATATCGACAGAGCAAGAGTGTGCCGTTTGATGGCTTGCCGGCCTTACTAACACGTACATGCATTCGACTGGAGAATCCAGCGATGGCTCTAGAAATGATCAAGAATAAGGCATGTCACATAGTACCTCTTTGTGATTGTTATCGCAATGTGCTAAGCCCTTATTACATAAGACTTGATGCCAACTGTTGTACTTTAAAATTACAGGCTGAATATGGTATATTTCCTAATGCTGGCTGTTACAATTTCTTGATGGATGAATTCATAGATCCTAGAAATAGAATAGAAAAGGGGTCAGATCGTGAGTCCTTTCTAGCAAATTCAGCCCATCTTCAATGATTCGATTATATGCTTTTAACTACAATATTTACATTGAATGCATATTGCTTTCTCTAGTTGCTTTGGAAGCATATGATGCGATGCTCGCCGATAGCATAAAACCCAACAAAGTTACCAACGCCATTAGAATTTATTCTTTACTCAAGCAGGTAAAATATTGTATGACTTGAGCAATTTCTTGAAAGAAATGGAAAATTTTAGCTTCTCTGGATGCCTTGTAGGATTCTGAGAAAGATTTTCTATATGGTATTAAATTACTTCGTGAATTTATGGAAACTGGCTTAAGAGTACGTCATATTAAAATAATTCGCAAGGAGATAATTCGTGCTGCGTTACGTCAGGTAGTTTTGGTTATTTTTACTATTACCAAAGGATCCCTATAACAATTGACCCATATCCACTTCTTGATATCACAGAACTTGCCCGAAATGGCTTTAGAGCATATAAATGAATACGTAAAATGGGACAAATTCAAACCTTCTAATGTAAATAATCTCTCTTTAATCGATAAACTGTCATGATACATTACTGTGGTACTAACAAGACTGACTGCTCACGTTGCACCATTTACTTATACGTACAGCTGGTCCTATACTTGTATATCAAAAGTTTGAAAGATGCTAAAAGACAATCAGAAATAATGGATGCTGCGGAAGAACATTTAAAGCTATTCCCAACTCTCAAAATAAAAGTACCTACGATTACTTTAATCAATGAGGCTGTTACTAGTCTTGAAAATCCAGACTTAAATGAAAAATTTAATGTAATTGAAATTCTTATTCAGTGCATTATTTTTGTTAATTTCACGTCGACGTTTACACTTTCTATTGATTATTCTATTTTTATAGGCCTTTGAAGCTCGTCTTCGATCTATGAACAGAATAAATCATGTTGGTGATACTACAGAGGAATGAAGATGGTGTTATAATAAACGCTTCTGCAAATTATTATTTCTCTAGTCAACTTCAGAATATCTTGATAATGCATCAGCTAAATGCATCCCATATTCGGTGATTGCTTAACTTACAGTACGCTATTCTTAATTATGTGAATAAAAAGTCACTCGTCGTCATTTTAAATATGGTGAGATTGGATTGAATGCATTACAAACTAGCGCTGGTTTGATGACAAACCTAGGAGCGAGTTTCTGAATTTATAATCCCTATATTAAAAGCTTATTGATGTGAAGCATGACTTCCAAAAGTGCATACTTATTGAATCCTCGGCCACAGAATAATGGAACTGTGTGATTGATAAATAACATTATAGCATTTCAGCACTTCCATTAATATCCAACAGTGCAAGCAAACAAGGTTAATGTAAAAAATGAAGTAAAGTCTGTATACTATTGCGACTAACTAATTGCAATTGCTACTGTCGTTAACTTCATAAATTTACACAGGATAAGATGCACATATTATAAGCAAAAATACTTGATATGCCTCATTGACAATTTATTTATATTTCGTAATGATAGCTTAAAGCTCTTCCGCACTTAATTATTTACTATTGCATTACTACTGTTCACTTGATTAATAATTTAATCGAGATTTTTTTATCGGATAATCAGAAATACACATATAGATGAGTAAACCTGAATGCTTTAATTAGTGATAAATCGAGTCATTGTTATGGCTAGAAATCAGTAGCTAATGCCTTTTCAATGGTTTACATTTTCATTTACTATGCAGGAACGGTCGTATAATATCTAAACGTTCCTACGATTATGCGCAAGTGATGAGCCTACTTTAGTGCCAAACGATAAATCAATTACCGTCCTGGCTTTCCCTAAAAGATTACTTATTGACATCATAAATCAATCGTTAATTAAGTCAGGCTTGAGCTTGACTATATCCTTAAGGTCACAACAGAGTTTAAGCCATAGAATACGTTTCTTCGAGAATGGAAAGGACACAGCAGTGGTACTATTAGCGTAGAGTTTAAATTTGTCATACAATATGAAATTGATAGCCTGCTATGATTGTCCGTAAAATTAAATAGATTTAAATAGGCAAGATTAGATAATTATGTATAACTAATGAGATAAACAATATGATCAGTAAAAAGCAGCCGTTGGTACTAGTGATAGATATCTTTATTAACATTATTTCATACAAGTGTAAGGTCAAGAGACCCTTTAAATAAGATTTTATCCGACTTTGAGCCAAGACGGAATCTTACAAAATATTCTAATCTGCACAATGTCTATAAGATGTTGTTTCATCGAAACAAAATATCAAGTTAACTATCTACCGGAACATTATAGTATCAAAATAATCATTCAAAATTATATCGCAATATAATTAAAAATATTGAAATTGTTACATTGAATAATATCCTTCAATAAGGTAACGTTTGTAATAGAATAAATGATGATAATCCCACGCTCAAAGTCAACATATATGTTCTCTAAGTCATACTAACACGTTGCATCATTTAAGATTTAATCAAGTGTTAACTACCCCATGATCACTGTTTTACAGTTAGGCACAACCCCCGAGAAAAATACTCCGATAAATAACATTTGCGGCGATGAAAATTGTTATAACTTTACTCATTGTGTATAATCAATAGGTAGCTATACTCCTTCATAGTAAGAAGCATATTGACAATCTTGTTAACAATATATAATGAAAAGCCTATTATGGTAATGGTTAGATACTGTTTAGAATAAATTATTCATTTTACTGTATGATCCATTGATGACGTTCAATACTGCTATAATAAGCTGAATATTTAATATTGTTACTATTACCGCTCTACTGCAGTGTATCATTGCCAACGTTGTTTAAAGTGCTCTCTGTTGCTATGGTAACTAGGACAAGCTTGGAGTACATGATATTCATTATTAACTATCAGCAGTCTTAACAGGCAATTTGTCCATTTTAACCCTCTAGTAATTTTGATTTACTACTATCTAGACTTGACAATTTTATTAGGCAACACTGATTTGATGTAGTTATTAGAATCCAGACGAGAAAGAATTTATTCCCCATCCCTAATTGAAAGAGTTGTATGTATTATTGTCATTAGTTACAATTTACAACAATTGCCCATTTTTTGATACCTATTTGTTAGTCTTAAAATTGCTGTCGTCCTTCCTGTTTTGGGATTATGCGAGAATTGGATGAGAAGAAATCATCAATGTAACATTGTAGTAAGTATAGAATTAAATATAATGTTACCACATTTAAAATATCAGACCCTCCTTAACTTGGGTTATATCCGATGCTTTTAATAATTACAAGTAAAATTCTAATTGCGACCACTAATTTGATCTATTCACGGAGTTAGCCTATCGAATGATCAATATATTTTCTTACACATAAGATAAATGAACTCGCTGGGCTATGCAACTCTAAATTTACGTTAAATCTCATCGTTATTCAGTTGGCAAGATAACTTTACACGTAATTGAGCCATAGTATCTATGGGTAAAAATTGATAAAATTTCTATCTTATTCTCCTACTTATATACGTCAATTTGACTAGCAATGATTGAATATCACGCAAGTAGCATGTCTAAAGCTTGTTTAAGTAAACCTTTACTAATCCTAAGAAATGCAGAGCTTCAATTAGATATTGATCTTAATGCCACATTAAGATGTTGTTTTTAGTATTACTTTAAATAATTGCTAGGACGGTTGATGATATTTTTATCAAATAAGTATAATTTCAGTTTTTATAATAGTGTAGTGATTTTTGAAGTATTTCAATAAGTTTATGCCATATGAGCAACTCTATTTACCATGTCTATATTGAATGAGATATTTATGATAAGATGATAATAATCGCTTTTCACGCAGCACCCACTGCCTATGCCCTCATGTGTTCTTGGTTACCCTATTTACAATTTAACGTAATCAGATTTCCTACTTAGGAAGATAAATATAGCTACAGGAAATGGATTTTATTTTAAATTTAAAAAATTGTAATAATAACCAAAGTAAAAGTTTAATTACCATGTAGTTAATTACAGTACAGTATAACATTTAGAAAATCTATCTCAATTCCATTTTTACTATTGAAGATAATTTTTGAGCTTATTGATAATCCAAATAAGAAATGAAACTATTATTTTGGCTCAAGGATTCATTCATCGATATTGTAGACAATTTCTTATTATATCTTTGTCAACATAATGATTTACAAATGCAATTCGCTTGAGTTTTTGGATACCTTACCTGTAATTCAGCGTAGTGATGTTGTTATAATCAAATATTCCCTTCTTCATAATTGGGTAATAAGGAGGTACCTTAAATTATTTCAGTATTGGTAAATTAATTAATATAATCTTCTTATTGCAGGATACAAGTTATTGAAAAGGCGAGATTTACATTAACGCAATCAACAGTGTTGGTTATTTCTGACTTGATTTGAACTTAAATTTATCCTCTGTATCATATTGAGGCCATCAAATTTTAACAACGCAAAAGTTTTCGATTTAATCCAGTTGGAAACTAATCAAATACACGATGAAAAAGAAATCTCGTTATCAGTTTAGTGAGTACAGCCGACGATATACGGATCACGGCTATCACCGGAGGCAGCTATCGAAACGTAATGATGGTGTACTATGGCAAAATAACGGTAGTGAATATCAAGCTACTACTAATAAAACAGATTTTGTCCACTTTCCACCCCAACCTAAATTGCTGCCAGTTAAAATAAAAAATGAGCTAGTTGGTCAAAGTGGCGAGATGGATTTATTAACGCAATATAATCAACAATATCTGGACTTTATCAAGACAGGTAGTCGTCCATCCAAATTAGTCCGAGCCAAGCAAACTTATAACTTTCCTGATATTGAAGCTTCTAGTCGATATCGAGCTACATATTCAGATGATTTTAAAGGTTGGGCTCTCCAACCTGAGGAACGATTACGACCCAGGAAAATTGAAAATACATATAAGCCACCGCAAGAATCAATTGATCTTCATACAACATCGCGTGGTGACTTTGTACGACACCAGACGGCACCTGCAGCAACAGCCAAGCCTAACTTGTTAACTATTCGACCAGAAGAAAAAATGAACTTTAGGACAACTAATAAAGAAGATTTTATAAAATATCCTGTAGAGATACGCCAATCGACAGATATATATAAGCATGATAAAGAATATCGACCTCCAGATAAGGTTACAGATTCTCTAAGCACCAACTATCAGGTTGGTTATAAAGATCATGGCTACTGTAAATTACCAAGTTTCAAGAAAATTCATAGCCGTAGTAAAACATTTCCTGTAGGCGACGGAAAGGAAAAAGGTAAACTAATGCTTTTAGCTCTTATCCGGATAATAATGTAGTTCTTGCAATGGATTGAGTTATTTGATAAATAAGAATTTCCAATATCTTGTAGAGGATGTCTTAATTCTTATTATTACATCATAATATCATGACAGTTTTAGCTAATTTATATGTTATACTGCTAAATTGATGATATTAGAAATATAGTAAAACATACTTGTCTATAATTATTAGTCCCTAAATGAACACATTTAGTGTGAAGTGTTACAGTATGATATAGTAAAGTATTAGCCGAAAGATGTTGAACTCCATTTTACCTTAAGCAAAATAATTATAACGCACATAGATTTGAAACTGAAAGAATAATTTCTGTACCGAGATATGATTAAGACGTGAAGACGTAAAATTTTACTTTAAAACTGTATTTAAAGTCGATAGATGCATTAAGTTATTAGTGTTTGATCATCGTCATAAAATGCTAACGACTTTCAAACGATAGTTGAAGTTACATTTGGTAGCCTATAACTGCAATATAGAACAAAATATTGTTAGAGATGAGTTCATGGGCAAAAATAGTAATTTAAAGTGCATATACTAGAGTTTCTTATTATCTATATGTGTTTAGTTTCACCAACTCCTTTAGAGATTGATTTTACGTTGCAGCTAAGAAGCAAGTATGCAGTTTCATAAATCATTAAAAGCACTAATAGAGCTGGTAGCTGAAATTATAGACTTCTATATTCCAGAAGCTTAAATACATTTACAGTTAAAGAACAGAAAACTGCGCTTAAATAGATTAAATAAATTTACTCTGATAAACATTTGATAATTGTTCCCCAAGAAAAATTTTAGTTTATGATTTAAACTGTTACTTTCTAGCTAAAAGCCTATAATATAAAATCAAGTAGTGCTAAAAATAGGTTAATCTGACAAGAAAAGTACAGTTTCAATGTATTTACTAAAGCTACTTGTTGCCTATTTAGCTTCAACTACTCATCTTGATGATTTTAAAGCCTGGGAAGGTGAACCTGTTCGCCGTATCAATCCAGTCCAAGCTAAGGATAAATCATACAGTCCACCTACAGAAAAAATGGATTTAAGTTCGACAATGCACAATGATTTTCGTAATTTCTCCTCTGAAATGGAATCGAAAAAGATTCGACGACCACGTACTCGGCAAACTCCATATCGTGAAAAGCCATTTACTGCGGCAACAACATCGAAGGAAGATTACTGTCATTTCGATGTGAAAGAAGCTCAACGCTATCCATGCCTACCAGATCATCAACGCGAAAGTATATTTGGCTATGGTGAAATGGATTTACGCACTGTATCGAGAGACAATTATGTCCGACATGTTGATGCCAAACCATCAATGTCTGCAAAAAAACCGGCAGTAGTCTTTAAGAGTAATGATCCAATGGATATGCGTACCATGCATCGTGAAGATTTTAAGAAATTTTCCTCAGATACATTCCATTCTTCTCGTGTTGCATTGCAAAAGTCCATCCAGGATCGTGCTATCCAATCCGTCTATAAGGATATCATAGCTCATGATCACGGCGATGATTATGATGATGACGATTTTGCACCGAGAACACACCATAATTATGAACAACAAGCAGTAACAGTAACATAATAGATTAATATAGCAATTCATTATAATATCATATTATTCTCATAGAAGATATCTAGAAACTTTGTACAAATACTGTACATCTATATCGGAATGAAAATATGCAATTACAGACTACGAATGTACGAATTTATTTTCTCATGATATTCGATTGGTAATCATCAGTAATTTAATGAGTAAACTTGTGAATCAGTCCTAAATTTTAGGTAATAAAATCAATCGTCATCATTTATGAATGATAACGATATCGATTTTGATGATTTAGTAGGTTAATATTATTTTTATGCTCTTGAATGAAGAATTTGTTATTTGTTACATCTTTATAATCACTATTTTCTTACTATCGTAACAATTCTATTTTATAGCCATGATTAGTTCCTTAAATTCAGATCCACCGATAATTGATTGCATCATAATATCGTAGATAGAGTAATTGTTTAATTAATTAGATATAGATTAAGTAAGTCTACTCTTAATAGTGGAATGTGGATGGGATTGATTGCCTATTGTTTACGTTAAAAATGTCATAAAAATATCTTGTATATAATTAGTATATTCCAATTAATTATTAGTTAAATGTTGGAATGTAACATTTCATCAAGATACAAACATCACATTTTTCTAGCGCCGTTAATTACTTTTATAGACAAGTATGTTAGATTTATACACGATGGTAGCATTAATGTATAGAATGAATAGCAATATTTAGTTCGCTCTATAATTTCAGGTTATCATCAATTATGGTTTTCTAGGTCTAATATTATACTCTAGTTATAAGATTTGCGATTAAAGGAATAGAGTAAAGAGCATAGCTGAAAGTATGCTGGAATCAGGATTATATATAGACGATTCCAATAAAAATCGAGGCCTAATAAATAATTTTAACTAAATGTATTTCTTTTTTTACCCTATGTACGATACTACTAATCATCTCGTGTTTAATTTTTAAATAGGGTAATTAATTAATTTGGTACTTTATTATATATAATTAAGTCCATCTGTATAATTTAGTGTACTTTGTTATTCATTTAATTTTGGACTGTTAATTATAGACTGATAAAATGGTCCCTTGATATCGATATTTTTGGTTGATGCAACAGTTCTATTTTTATACAGATGTTATCAATTATTTTTAAGGGGTAATTTGTATGTTTTAACATAATTTATATTTCTGAGTTGATACAATAAAGTTATCAATTTTCAACACCTGTAGGAATTGACAATCTCTACGTTCTCTCGTAATATCCGTAATAAGAGCGTGAACTAGCATAAAAACCATTACAGTAATCAATAAGATGTAGAAGAGCGACAATATTTACTATATTAATCTATCTTCACGATGATCCTAGCTGAATCACCAAAATTTACCTACTAGGCTATATTAAAGGCAATCAGAATGAGAATAATTTTACTACATTACCATTGTAAGTTGATCTGTCTTTAAATTAATTCCAGCTGAACCACTTAAAGTTAAAAGAAACTAACGGTTTATTCTATATACTGGAAAATTTTACAATGTTATTAATTAATTAATTGTTGATATGCAAGGCAATATTGTAGAGCAAATACAATTCTTTAATCCAGAGGCAGTTATTTCGTATGATAGCTGCAAGTTCTGATACGAACAGATTCCTTTGTACTTGGATTAAACGATTTAATTCAGTAGTTAGAACACTACTGATGTATTAAACTATATTTCGTATACAAAAAAAAAAAACGCAACATTATGATAAGTTGGCAATCTGTACACTGCCAAGAATTTTGAATGATTTTTAAAATTCGTCAATGTAATCTGGAATTGTAATTACTGTCTCACTATGTTCTGCAGGCATCTCAAAGTTATTTACAATAGACGATTTAGTAGCTTCGTCGGGAAGTTAGCAATCATTAAGAAGATTTAACTAATCTGTTAGCAGTCACAAATTCGCGTATGACATACATGCAATTACTTTGATAGTCTAAAGAACGTTATGTAGAATCTACTGCTATATGGACACTGATTAGACAGCCACTGAAGATTCTCATGATTCATTACCGTAAAGACTATTCTACTCCTGCCCCGAGCTGAGGCAAGTACTGAAATGTTTTTACTGTACTATCGCCCAACATAAATAGTGAAAACAATTCCGATATCCTTTCAAGATGAGAATATCAAGTTATCACTGAATTGAATAATTATCATTACCGATGATTTGAATACCGTAAGTACATAAGACCGTTATATTGACTGATATTGTTTGAGAAATTTGAACCCTTTCGTAGTACTCGTGAATTGCAAGTTATACCGTATCATTTTGAATACATGACAGTGAGAGGAAGGAAAGGCTTATGTAATTTAATTACAGACGTATATTAAAATATTGTAGAAGTGCTGTCTGAGCCAGCAAATGCTTGATCGGTACACGGGTATAGACAATTTATATAGGTCAATATTATAAAGATTTAATGTCTAAAACACAATTAAAAGCAAATATAGTAGTACATCCCCAAAAATTAAAGATAAAAAGGAATTGCAACACGTTTTACAATATCGCAGCATATAATTGCTGCAATGAAAATGTCGCTACACTACATTAAATTTATACTTTTACGTAGCTCTTTTTAGTATTTTGTATCAAATCTCTACTGTGCAACATACAGTAATACACTAGCAATTGGATAAATGAGTACGTATGTAGTTACTCGTGTGATTGAAGAAATTCATCACTGCTCTATTTATCACGATTTATCAGAAACGCTCGTGCTGATATTGAAAGAGATATTCTGACTCAAGTAATCAGCAGAAATAAGGTCAATTTTTCTTAAAAACATTTTTTCTGTTCTTTGACAGTTCATTTATCATTTCAGTGATGTGACAGAATAACATTTGTAAGCTGCTATCTTCAACCGATTATGAAATAACAGACCTTCTGAATCAATAACAAATTTTTTGTATAACTTAACATATTACATATACAATACATTAATTGTCGATATGATAAAAATGTACAGTAAAGATAACCGCCAATTTCCATAAATAATAAAATGAAGCAGTCGTAGCTGTATGTAACATTGTATCTTCAAAATTTTTATAGATACATTTGGCTTAGCCATTAACAGCCAGATAGATTGTTATTATTATAACGCCATACAAATTAATATAAAACAGCCAATAAATTTCATTACAGATATATACAGTTTATAAAGTGTAACATGAGCAAACCGTCCACAAATACAAATGAAATTTCAAGACACAAGATAATCATAATTGATACAGTATCTTAGAAATACCGTAACTGAGATTACTGATTATTTATGATGACCTTGATAAATATTTGGACGATTTTGGTGTAACGGTGGATGGCGAGGATCAAGGACTGAAATTTGCCTTCCTTGATCTTCTTCCATGCTTCTTCGTGGATGATGGATATTTGATCGACGAGGGCCTTGACTATGACCATGAGGATATGGGGATCGTTTATGTTGCTGGAGGACAGGTATACTTTGTGGAGAACCACTATTACTACTTTCAGATTCAGATTTTGTTCGTTTCCTGTGACCAGGCCTACTATCACCAAAATGAACTGGTACGTCAGAGAATTCGTCTGGTGGCAGAGAAAGTCTTCGATCTGCTGTATCACCATGTAAACGTTTACGATTTCCGCGCCAAGGGTTGGCTGATGGACCAACTTTGGGAAGCTGTCCTTGCATATGATCTGATATTGCAGGAGGCCCTCCATAAAAAGGTGGATGGGTTTCACTTGAAGGTGAGATCCTGTCGTATTTAACAGGACCTGTTTCGTGAAGTATACTTGGTGGCCGAACATTTCTATAAGTGTTAGCGCTACGTTGAGCACCTTGATTTACATCAGCTTGATAGAATAATTGAGATCGTTGCGGTTGAAATGCAGGTCTAACATCATGAACAGTTTGAATAGACTGTACATCACTCATTCTATTTGTTCCTTTATCGGTCTGAGCGGGTTTAGCTGATATTGGAGGGGGATGATTATTTCGATGTTTATTAGGTGAATTTGGTTTAAACGATCTATTTTCAAAAGTTGCTTTTGATCCTCGACCTTTACCAATGTTGGATATGCGACGCTGTCCGGTCGCCAACGATGTTGTATTTCTAACAGGAATTGTTTGACTGCCTAAATTTGGCTCTCCTACAGCATCGCTGCCAATGTGCTTAGTCTGGCCAGGTTGACCTATAGATTGGGCAAATTCATTTCTGTGACTATTTCTATTTTCAAGATGCTCATTACTGTTGTTGCTATCAGTCTCTTGTGAAGTGATACTTCTCAGTGATGGCAATAAATTGTAGAATAGTGAAGTTATTGATGAATCTTTGTGATCAGCCGTCTGCTGAGAAGCTTGATCAGTGAGAGGTAAATTTTGATTATCTGCCACAGTTGGATTATTCAACGAAAGTAACTTAGCTAATTGTTGAATGGTGTTACCATTCTTAGCGCTATTATTGGCGTCAGATGGTTTATCACTATCGATATTTGTATGATCAGTTTTGAGTTCATGTTGTAATGGTAGTTGCTTGTTGAACAAACGACTATCTAAATTGGCATGCCTTGGTTCTGCTTGGCCTTGATTATTTAATCCATCATAACGCATGCCAGTTGTAGGAGTAGCCGGTGTTGCTTCATTTTGCGGATAGCGAATGGGCTCATTGGGTGGTACACTAGTTGAACGTTGCAATGGCCATGAATTTGTACTAGATTGTGGTGTTAGATAAGTTGAACTGCTTGGATTGCTACGGTCGGCTGCCTGAGGTATAATACTTGGCGGTCTGGCATGTGTCGTTGCTATTGGATGGATATCGCGTCTTCCAACAGGAGGTATGGGAATACCTGGATTTATAGTAATTGTTGAATGGGATGCCGTTGTTGTATTATCATGAAAGCCTCTTTCATCATCGCTGTTATCTAAATCCATATCCTGGACTTGTGTGTTATCATTTTCAACCGGCTTTTTGCTTACAATGGGTTCATCTGCTAAAGTGGATACCTTATCGTCTAACTTCAGTTTAGTTTTTTTAACACGATCGAATAAACTTTTGTAAGCCTACGAAAAGAAATTGGAGATCGATTGTCATACAGGATTATTTGTATTGAACATGTTATTCAGTCATAACAATACATACGTTAGCAATAATTTTGACTTTATCTAATTCGCCAGCGTGATACACATTGCAATCATTCATATTCTTAATCATTTGTATACAGGCTTTGCTTTTCTCTTCTAGAGCACTTTGATAATCTGACCATCTGGTACGAGCTTCATCAAATTTTGCGATATATTTGGTCCCTTCCGTACGGTCTATATTGTACATAAAAGGATAACATAAAATTAACGATCATCAATCTTTTTCGTAATTCTTCTGTACTCTGAGGCTAATTATGGTTACCTTTTACACTCTTGACATTTTCTGACGTATACCTATCAAATGCAGACGCGCCTTTTTCTTTCATGCCGACAGCTTGACTGTAATTTTGAAATTTCATGCATGACTCGGTCAAGGTGAATAACTATTAGGATAAGAATGACATTTAATCAATTTTACGTGAAATATGTGGTAAATAATAATAATACATGTCAAATAACGGGACAACAGAATAAGCATCTAATTTAGGTGGATGATGTTGTAATCTTTGAGTGAGTTATTAATCATAGATTGCCGAATTATGACTTTTACTGGGATAATATCGTAGAAGAAATATTCCCTTATTTTAGTTAACATGTTGGTGGTTCAGCATTTCCTACTGTATTATGAATGCTATTTATTCGTCAAATAAGTGCATTGTTGCAATGGTACCTTAAATTCTTCAATAGGTCCTGGTGTATTGTTGGTTTGATCTGCATCTAATTATAAATAAAAATTTGCAAAGGCGAATATTTAATTTCCGATTTGTATTTTATTATGATTATCATAATGCAATAGCATTGGCCATTACCTAGTATACGATAAAGATTAGTTATACAGGCTTTGGTAACGACATCACGATCTTCCCAAATTTTAAAAATGCGCTTGATTCGTCTAATTTGCGCGGTGTCGCTATTACTTCTGATGATATTGGTAAGAAAATAGAGAGATATCAGTTATTTGAGTATCAATTTTCCATTTTTGAATTTCACTGTCTGTTGGAGAGCAATATGCTGTATGTCATCATTGAGGACGAGCATGACTGAATGATTATGTAGCAATAGACCTTTAATACGCTACGTAGTATGGTGATCCACTACACGCCGGTAAATCAATAAGAGTTGATTGAATATCAATTTTCTTGTCTAATAAACTCTTATGACCAATATGTATGTGAAAGCAATCAGATAGCAAGTCTTGCACTGACTAAACAACACTTTATCAACGGGCTAAATGTATCATTAATCGTCTACTAAGAAATGAATGGATTTTTTTGTCGTAGGTAATGCCTACTCTATTTGCAAGAATCAAGTTACAAAATGAGACTTTGATCCAACAGTACAGTGTGAGGACGGTATAGGACGTCATGGACTTACCGAAAATGAGTAACCACATCGTTTAATACGTTGACAAATTCGTCGTAGATCCGTGTGCTCTTCCTTTTACTATGCTGTAGTACATCGTTGATGAGATACAACAGGATCATATGACGGTCTTTCTTGGCTAATATCGATAAACAGCAAGAAATGAAATGTTATTCATGTAGGCAACAATAGGGTAACATGTTGTAAAAATTACAATATCGTGATCACTCTTATTATCGAGGCATTGAAGATAGATCAAATTTTGAATACAAAGGTAGATGTAGACTGTAGGGTCTCTAATGTAGACAATATCGTGTAAGAGTAAGGCAAATGATGTATAAAAAGACAGCGTTAATCACTAGGATAATTATGATTAATAATCGATGGTAGTCTAAGTTGTCAGTTTGTCTATGAGAAGGAATTTTGACAGCAATGCTATTGGTGATATGCGAGTGTTGATGGCAGATGCAAATTTCCATTTGGGATAGTCTTGCATACTGTATTGATTTCATGAATCAATTTATCAGCAATGGAGAGCTTGAAAGAAGGCGAAAAGAGCATTCAAGCGTTGGTTTTGTTTTGTAAGTACATCCATGTCTTGGTGTTGGACTGTTGTTGGTTTGAACTAGGAAAAAAAGTTGGTAGGATTGAAAAGGATTGGATCTTGCTTTGTAGTTGAAACATTGACTTACTGCCTTGATAGCATTTAGTATGGGCCCAGTGTCATGTATGAGAGTGTTTGCAAGACCTGTATCGAGTGTTGTGTATGCGCGCTGAATACAGGATAGTTTGTCTATCAACAAAAGGATTAGCAATCATGGCTGAATTGATCAATCCAGATCACCGTCCATCAAGGTCGTTTATAATTATCAATTGCATCTGTATGATACTATCCGTAGAAATGGATGGCAACGCAAGTTATTGATTGTTTGAGCAAAAGGTTCAATTAGCTCTGTAGACAAGGATCGGATGGTATCATCAAGATGCTTTGACTACGCTGATCAAGAAGGGATTTGTTGATGACTATCTCTCCTCCATCCTCTACACGATTGTACAGTATTGCAGTACTTGATGGAAACGGTTGAAGTATAATACAACACTACTGTTGACTGCATCTTTACTCTGTTTAAGGCATTGCTATTCCCACTTTCGATGTGATCTGAGCACTGGATGCGTTAATAACATCACCATTGGGTGAAGAAGGCGCTATCATGACGACTAGCTTGGAAGGGAAAGTCAATTGGTGCGTACGATGATCGATGGAAGCGTTCTCCTTTTGAAATGTGTATGCTAGCTGGAAGAGAAAACGACTGGTTTTCAGCACATGGTTTCCACTGGCTGAGGCGTTGTTTCTTCTCTTGTCTTGCACATTTTCGTTTCCACTGTCGTCATGTACTGTAGCATGGTGTATCAAGTAGGAACGCCATTCTATCCAGCTCTTTGCTCAAGTGTGATTGATGCTATTGCAGAAGTGTTTACATTGGATGATGATCCTCTCTTACCTTGTTTCAAATCTCGCATCAACGTGGTTAGGACCGATTTGACATGGATTACATTGCTTAAAATGTAGCTTGATAATGATTGAACACTTTCTTGTGATCCAGTCAGGTGGTTGAGTTTATCTTGGAAAGTAGATTGATCAAAATTGGCGGCCATGATTGCTTGTGATTACACCATCGTGTCATGCGTTGCTTTCAGCAGTAGGTCTACAACGACGTTGTTGAGTAACGTTTTGGTTGTTGCCTAGCCAGTCGTCAAGAGCCAGCAGTATGGTCAAGGAGGAAAAAAGTTTCTTTTGCTGCAGACTACAGTCCATTGTCGTACTGTACACTGTAGGCATGGTACTGTAGCGTGCGTTACTGGGGAAACAAGAGTGTGCCAAATCGCCACGCATTTTTCATACAAAGCCATATAAAACGTGTTGAGACTTTCCGCTTGCCGTGTACAGTGTACAGTGAAAAAGTGTTCATTTGCTGCCCAGTTCGGTACAGTACAGTACATTGCGGTACTGTACATTGTAGTACTGTACACTGTACAGTACTGTACAGAAAAAAAGTTTTCATTTGCCTGCTCAGTAGGGTCCTGTACAGTGTACAGTACATTTTGGCACTATACTGTACTGTACATTATAGTACTGTACTGTACTGTACAGTACTGTACACTGTACTGTACACTGAAAACGGGGAAAAAGAAAAAGTTTTTCATTTTCCTGCTCAGTAAGGTACAGTACTGTACATTGTAGTACTGTACACTGAAAAGGGGGAAATACAGTACAGTACTGTACAGTACTGTACAGTACTTTTTCATTTTCCTGCTCAATCCGGTACAGTATATTGTGGTACTGTACATTGTAGTACTGTACACTGTACAACAGTACAGAAAAAAAGTTTTCATTTTCCTGCTCAGTAGGGTACAGTTTACAGTACTGTACAGTACATTGTAGTACTGTACACTGTACGCTGAAAAGGGGGAAAAAGAAAGAAAGTTTTCATTTTCCTGCTCAGTACAGTACATTGTAGTACTGTACATTGAATACTGTAGGTGGGAAAAAAGGTTTCATTTTCCTGCTCAGTACGGTACAGTACACTGAAAAGTGAGAAATAAGTTTTCATTTTCTTGCTCAGTAGGATATTGTAGTGCTGTACACTGTACAGTACAGTACACTGAAAAGGGGGAAAAAATTTTCATTTTCCTGCTCAGTACGGTACGTTGTAGTACTGTACACTGTACAGTACACTGAAAAGGGGAAAAAAAAAGTTTTCATTTTCCTGCTCAGTACAGTACTCTGTACACTGTACAGTGTCGCACAGTACGGTACGTTGTACTGTAGTACTGTACACTGAAAAAGGGGAAAAAAAGTTTTCATTTTCCTGCTCAAATACAGTATGGCGCAATGAGCGGGGCCTATCGCTGCTGTTGCTTTCGCTACCGTAGCGGACTACAGTATAGCGTTGCATAAAAGTGCCAGAATGGAGTACTACTACACCTAAAAGGGAACTCTCACACTCGTCGAGGAGACACTTCTTGTACTGTACTGTACAGTGCACCGCACTGTACGGTACACTGTACACTGTAGTTCCTCCAACGTCAACAAAGAAAAACGTCAGTCAAAGGACTGGTACCGTTCCGTGCCCAAACAGCAAACACGGGGTCTGGCATTTTGCTGGTCGTTCTACCACGGCTCTACTACTCCACTCGTCCATCCTGCTGTACTATGCCCAACCAGTGGAAACGCATTTGGATGATCATCATGGACAATCTAAAATAGATGCTGTAGAGATGTATCTTTATGCATGCTATCGGGCTAGGCAGTGTTAATCATTTGGTCCAAATCCTTTTCATTGCTAGGGACTAGTGTACGACAGCCAAAAAAATGAGACCCCACTTACTGTATTGTACTATTCAACCAGAGTCTCCACGATCACCTACTGCAGCAGTAGCTAGCTGTGCTTCATTTTCAACTGTTTGAGCCTGTTTCTCTTTCTACCTGCTTGCTCATCGTGATTCTCAGTCATTCTTCTTGCTGGTCTGCTTACTGTATGACAGAATAATGTGTTCTATGGGTACACAATCAGGATCGGTGTGATAAATCAATTTCTGACTCTAGTCTGATACCCCCAAAATCGAGGATCAATTCGATCAGACGCATACAATGGATCCAAAATCGATGACGTGCATACAGCAGTAGAATCCTGTAGCCAATGCAAATTGCTTTACTCCGAATGAAATCTAAAATTTGTCTTACTGACGAGTATTACAGCTCCTACGTATAGCGGCTAGGAAGGAAGTTTTTTACTGCGTGCATACAAATTCTCCAGCTGGCTAAATCAGCACGGTTAGACTGCTCGATGTAGGAAGGCGCAGTAGTAGACCATCATCTGCACTGCACTGTGCAGCGTACGCAATGCAATAATAACAGGCAGGGATTACGTCAAAATAGGAAAGGAAAACCATTCTATTCTACATTTTGTGAACAGGACCAGCTACCTGCTACAATTTCGCTGCATGTTCTACATTAAACGCTCATCACCTTTCAATTATGAGTGCAGGACTTGACCCAATGACCCCTTGAACTGCTTAACAATCGCTGCTCTTGTCTACCAAATTGATGCAGCAAGTATGCAGTATAATTCTTTTTTTTACCCTCTTGTTCGAGTACCTATACTGTCTTCAACACCAACACCATGCTGAATGAATGCAGCAGGTGCTATCGCAGGTAGTTGCAGCCCCATCTGCAACTAGGCTAAACGTCAACATAAATCATCTGTGCAAAACTACCTCCTAACCCTGTTTTACAGAAACCTAGTCACTAGTACAGCTACAATAGTCATATTATCTTGCAAGAAATTGTATTCCATGGCGACATCAGCAATTAGTGATACTCCCCATTTACGTTTCAATCCTTTACGCCAAGAGTGGGTTATCGTTTCGCCGCAACGATTAAGCAGACCTTGGCAAGGTCGAAGAGAAACGAGCGAAAAGAAAAATTCATCGCAAATCAATGCAAATAACGCCCTTGCGCCAGGTGGTCTTCGCCCCAATGGGATTGTAAGTGCAGTAGAAGAGATGTTATAACTCAGATACGTCGTGCTTAGTACAGATTAAAAAACATGGATAACAATACTTGTAATTAGCTACTGCTTGTTTACTTGTCATTAGAACAATATTGAGTCACAGAACATGTCCAAGTCCCAAGTTTATTATAAACTACTTATGTTCCACGTTATTGATTTTATTATAATGTGCATTGGATATCAATTAGCTACAGGCTTTATCAATAAGAAAACATTGTGGCACCTACATGCAAACTTCCTTCATATTACTGTAATTAATGAATGCTTGATTTATCACATACAAGATGCCATCCATGATAGCGAGTTAATTATAATACAACATGCCGTTGATAGTGGTAATGTAAACTGATTCTATGAAATGTTATACCTTATTCAGCAATAAATGAGTAGGGGGATTGATTAAAAATACTTCTAAATTGTATCTCACCATAAAATTGTTGCACTTCCCACAAAGGTCTAGGTTGAACCGATTAAATGTTATGATGGTCAACTCGTAGTACTGCTAGTGATTAAATTAAGGGCAATTTCTTAAATTGTTGATGATTACTATTATTATAGTAATGAACAATTTTGGAAATTGCCCTTACATTAATGCAACAACATTGCTAACAAGGCCTGTAACACAAGTTAACTTTATCATCATCATCATTTACGAGCTCTAAAAGTATCTACTATACACTTATCGCTATCCCACTACAACTGCATTTGCTTGATGGTTCATGTTTTCCTTCCTGTACTTTTTTATGTTGAGCCTTACAATTATTACTTATTTACTTTATCCGATGAGTGAAAAGCAGTAACAACACTACTATTATACAGGATAGGCTCTACATTCAAAACATGCATATCATTCTACACTCTGTCCGCTCTATCATAAATGGTAGAAGATACTTATGGTATTTTCTTCTCTTTGATTTTAGGTAAATCCTAACTATGACAGTACTTACGTCTTCACGAATGACTTCCCAGCATTGATCGAGAGTGATAAAACACTGGACGAACTCAATAACGGTAAGTTTAAGTGAGATAGCTAGTCTAGTATAAAAACATTGTAAATTTCATATCTAGTCTTTTTACTTGTAAGTGCTATAGGCCCAATAGCTTCAAGACTATAGATTCTAGCTACTATTTATCAAGTAATCTCTACATGTTCGAACTTAGCATTTGGTATAAGAGTATAGTACAATGTAGTACCGTATGGAATATCGTAGAGACTAGGTCCATTATTTTTAGAATTGTATGAAATATTGCACATCAAATATACACATAAATTAAATACTACTACATCGAGATGATAGAATTTAGGTATTATTGTATCATTTACTGCAAGTGTACGTATATTGCGGCTGCACTACATGGCTGTATCGCAGCACTTGACCAGGAATGTGATGCCATAAATTAAATTTTATATTTACTATCATTACAGATTTTGATTGTGATCATCCGCTGCTAAGGAACGCTGTTGCCCAAGGAAATTGGTAACAGTAAACCATTTCGATAGCGTATTACAATATATAATATACAGCCTGTAGCCTGTATTTTATATCACTTTGTTACAGCATAATTCCTATATGCTAGTACTTTTTAAGTTAAAACGATATTAAATAAGTGATATACTTATGGCTATAATATCACAATTATAGTATATTTATAATACATAATAATTGATTGTCCTACTTTGCAGTCGTGTCATGTGCTTTCATCCCCGATCAGATCTAACTTTGCCGCTAATGACTGAAACCGAAATTCTGGCAGTTATTAATAAATGGAGTGAAGAATTTGAAGAATTGGGCCGCAAATTCAATTGGGTTCAAGTAAGGCTAACATATTAAGGCATAATAATATGATTTACATGGCAAATTATCCATTGGCTATTAGCTATCTATAATTAAATAAACAATACAGGTTAGTATTATGTATCATTCTAAAGGTTAATTTATTTGCAGATTTTTGAAAATAAAGGAGAAATTATGGGTTGTTCTAATCCACATCCTCACTGCCAGGTCTATATTCTGTTTTTATGGATTTTAACTTTCATCCTTTTAATACAAAATTGATAGCAAATTGAACCGATATTTATTCGAAATCATTCGCTGAAATGGTACTTACATAAATATAGTGGATGATATTAAATTTATTCTATTCGAAATTTTCAAATACATGTCAGATATGGTCTAGCAATTTCATTCCTAATGATGCTTCTTTGGAGGTAGTATCGAAATATCTGTAACTAAGCTGCTTAAATTTTGTAAATGTTATCAACTATGCCCGTTTTATTTACTGTACTTGACAAATTATCAATCATTACTGCTTTCATTACACTGTTATGAAAGGATAAATCACAAAAGAATTACTACGAAAAAAATGGTAAAGTTATGCTTCTAGAATATGCGGAATTGGAATTGAAGAAAAAGGTTAAAATAGATAGTATTATTTAAAATACCATAATTTGATCCAATTTTTTTTATCAAAATAGTTTTTCTCCGTATCTTATTTTATAGACGAGAATTGTAGTGGAGAACAATCAATGGGTTGCTTTAGTTCCATATTGGTAATAATTAAATGATGTGTTAAAGTTAGTTATACCTGAAAATATTTTTACTTGGTCACTTGATTTCATTTCTGGTGACTGCACTTCATTTTTAATTTCAAATTTTAGTTGTAAGGTAAGATTTATTTACGCATATGTTAGTAGTATTAATATCCTTGTTAACAATAGGGCTATGTGGCCGTTTGAGATTATGCTTCTTCCAAAGCGTCATATTAAAAGATTTACGGAATTGACAGAGGACGATAAGGCGGGTTGGTTAACATTCAAATATAAGGATAACAAGTGAAAATGTTGAATTTTCTTTAGCAGTCTCAATATGAATTTCTATAGGTCTTGCTGAATGCCTTAAGAAGTTTCTTACAAAGTATGATAATCTCTTCGAAACCTCATTTCCATATTCTATGGGATGGCTTGGTACGTTAGATTTAGTCCTTTTATTTAATGTTATATAGATTTTAGAATATTGCAAAAGCGTTAAGCTTACCTTATTCTTACAGGTGCCCCTACAGGATCATATTTGTCTCAGTCGTGCGAGTATGTTATGGTTTAGTAGTATCGCATTTATTAGCATTTTTACATTATAGCTGTGAAAAATTTATTTATCTCCTACTCACAAATTGCCCAGACATTGGCAGTTGCATGCTCATTATTACCCGCCATTACTGCGATCAGCAACAGTAAGTTATCATGTGTTAAGTTACTAGATCGAACGTATTGATAGTTTATTTAAGTCAAGTCGTTAATTAACTAATTTTTAATAGGTAAAGAAGTTTATGGCCGGCTATGAGATGGTTGCTTCCCCACAGCGCGATCTCACTGCAGAAATGGTTATTACATGATTAAGATATTGTAGTAGTCGATTTATACATCAATATTTAATCTTATAAATATTATTTATTAACTGAAAATACGCGTACATTAGCCGGATCGTATGACATAGAATAAACTGTCGCAATTAACTCTGGACAATTTAAATTTACAATCTTGTTATGATTTCATGATTATTAGGCAGCTGAACGCTTAAGAAATTTACCGGATATTCATTACAAGTTAGTATAGAATCATGGTATCGGTGAAATATGTTGATACTGAAGCGCATAGTCGTCATTTGAAATTCGATTTTATGATGTATTGAATTTCAGGACTTTACAATAATATACTACATGATACGGGATGCGATGAAGAGAGAATACTATATGCCCGTCAATAATAATATTGTGCCAAATTTACGTGATAATTCCTACTAATTACGTTCAGAAATCACGATGGTTTTATTGTAGGGCTTTGATAATCGATAGTTCTCTATACATAACTGATTTACTTTGAATGGACAATCAGAATTTTATTTTTATACCGATCTAGCGTATTTTAAATTAGTTGAGTTTAATATTAATGTCGATGTTAAAAACTGCATGATATCGTGTAGTAGCGTCGCAAGCAGTTATAATGCTTACCTGTATAGAGAATATTTCTAGTATGAATGAGAGAAGATATTCTATTTTTGTAAAGCAGATATATATGCAGCACGATATTCTCGAATCTCAATATGTGAACAGCGGAATGTAGTGTATTTGTTCACGTTCGCTGAAATTTATCTTGGTAAATATAGTGACAACTTCTGATATATTCTTATCATCTAGAAAATCATACTGCGTGTATTATTACATCTGAATTTATGGATTTTGCTTTGACATTTTATAGAATTATAGAATTATAGAATCTTTATAGAATTAGGTGTATTAACTATAAATTGCTCATGTTGACAATAAAATATTAGCTGGGATATTCTGTTAAAGCAAAGGTAAACCTAGTCCCCCTATCTACTAGAAGATTACTGTAATAAGCGGCTTTCCCGCTTTTAAGAAATCTAGTCATTTGATAGCTATTTTAAATATAGAGTTATGTTAATTAAATTTCCAGTATAACGGATCACTTCGCATATATACTGAGCTTTATCCTTTAAATCTTTCAAAGACCTTCAATTTCATTTGCAAGCAAGGTTTTAGGTTGTGTTGTATATGTTGTCTTGATTTATTGACATTAAAATAGTATTACGAATTATAAGAGTATCTTTTGCATGTGTGATAATTCATGCATCAATGAAATAATAGAATAAAATTTAGCTATTCAAACAGTATAAAACAGTAATATCTATATTTGGATATACATATTTATTGTACCCATGGTACACTGACTAAAACTACACCAAGAGACACCGCTCAATATGATCCTAATATCGTAGATAAGAGAGTCTTAATGTGCAAACTGCATTGCATATCAAAGTACTATCGATAGTTCAGTATCACAGCAACTTCAAGACTTAATGTAGTTGTGACATACAACGAATGGTCAATAGTTAGGAAGGCACAATGCAATTATTTGCTACATTATGTTTCAGTGATGATAGTACTCATTTTTTAGCGGTACAAATTGAGCGATAAAGAATTCTGTCTGCAGATGAAATTGTATACCTCCGATTCTAATTCCTATGCATATTTACTATATTTATAGTAAGTGTGTAAATTGATTTTCAGCAATTTTGGTTAATATTGATAGTAATTTGATACCCTATTTGTAAACAGACGGTGCCTAACTTCAGACTGTATGAAGTGCAATAAAATGCGACTCTCTTAAAAAGTTTCGCTCTCATTATTAGAAATATTTTCTGATTGATTTGTAGTAATTTCTTCTGCTTCATCTTGGGATTCATCCTCTTCATAGCTCTCTTGGCTAGTATCATCATCCAAAATATCATTATCGTCGTTATAGAAGTAGTCTTCGTCATCGTCATCATAAGAACAATTTCCTAAATTTCCTTTACTTTGAATAGAATTCCTAGTGGTTTTTAAACAATATTCTTGAATAGTTGTAGGTACTTGGACACCATCTTTTTCGGCATCATGTTGACTATTCAATACCTGTTGTCTATTACATGAAGATTTCGGATATCGTATTTAATTTAGAGTAAAAATGAATAGGGAAACTGGCTTGTACTTTAACAGACCTGCTTATAACTGACATCAGTACATGAGTAGGTAGTAGCGAAAGCTAGATCAATTTTAAATAAGCTATGGTAGGTTATTGTAACGTTGCCGTCTAACAGTTACCTGACAATGCGCTCATATTCTTTATCAAGAGACTCTCGCCACCTTCTAAACATTACTGAAGCATCCACATTAGCAGGCGATGACGTGTTGGGTTCATTTAGTAGCGATATTACGCTAAGTAAGATAGTCCTAAAACAAATTACTCTATCTTAATATAGTTATTGAATTATTAAAAACGCGATATTGTCGATATAACTCAAGTATCATTGGAAGGTTTAATTTTAATATTCCCACTAATTTCGATTATAATAAAGATGGCAAATACACTGCAGCTGTAAGATTAAACGATTGATTTCCTAGACGTAAAAAACTAGTGTTAGGCTACGGTAATGGCTTGGCAATACTTCATAATAGAGTAAGACTGGTACAGGTACTTGTTCTTGTTAAGTGTATTATTGACTTTTAACTGTATTTTTATGATAAAATGAGAAGAATTGCTAGTGATGTAAATATGACTATTCATTATGTAGCCAAGGATACGCAACGCTTTTATTACATATTATATATGTAGAGAGGGGAGAATGGCTTTATACTGCCAGGGTGCAATACAGTAAATTGCAGTTTTAGTTTACCTGACATTCTGTGTAGGGTTCCATCGTTCAGACGGCAATTCGCCGCTAAATGGATCGTCAACAGGAGGATGCAAAATGGAAATACATAATTCACCACTCTGGAAATGTACACAATTTCATTTTAACGGATATTGATCGGGTGTAGACGTTGTACAATACATATTCTATCGTGTTTCATTTGTTAGCAAATAGAATTTCATACTTACTTCGTAAACATTAGGATGCCATAATTTGGTTGTAAATCGAAATTGGGGTGGCGAATATGGATAATCATTTGGAAATATTAGTCTTGCCTATGAATGTAGAGAAGAAATTTTCACTCATTTGCCTGATTGTCATCGTGATTGGTAGAGTTCGTAGCGCGTTTGAGAAATATACGCTGCTACGTGTAGTGAATTCATACTAACAATAAATTTTTAAATTATGTGTATTCAAGATGTTTATATAACATTGATGATATCGTACTAGCAAGGATGAATCATTTGTAGTACAAGAATAGAGTTCAGTAAACTTAAGCCATTGACCTGTTATAGGTTTAGCATCAATTTTTAAAAGTAACTGTATAATTCTTGTTATGTATCTTATATACAGTTAACCTTACAACCATAATATTGATGTCTTGTGTATATGAAACGTACAAAGAGTGCAAGTCGAAGTCTACGCGTCTATCAACAATTTTGATTGCACTCGTTTGGATGAGTTTGCTGCATGCTTGCCCATTACAGTAACAAGTAGCATTTACTTATTTATCAAGTAACAGCAGCAATTTCCATTTTCCTATTGGAAATAATACAGCCATGGATTGCATCGTGCTGTTTAGTCTCGTGTTGATGCTATTGCATCATGATACTGTTGCAGTATAAATAGAGTGCAGTCTATGAGTATAGACAGTATCTATTCATTTTGCTACCGTAGTTTACAGTAAGTTGAAGAATCTTCGTTACAACTGAGTCCAAGTATTGTTCATATACATATACAAGTAATAATGTATTTTTCTTAATTTTATAAGTGCCTATATGTATTATTTTACAGCGCCATGACGAGCAGCAACACTGCTGTCCATGTTGATCACTCCTGACTCTAGTACTGTCGTAATCATTTTCTCAAGATTGGTACAGTACAGTGCAGTCAAAAGGAAAGAAAACTACGCAACACTGCAGTAAGTGGAACTGTACCATTTGACTCTACAGTACTATGTACAGTACACTAATTAGTACTGTACATTGTACAGTATTGACTGGACGTACAGAAGGAAGTGACAGACAACGGGTGAAATAGATGGTTCACTATAGGGGACAGTAAAAGTCCATGACAGTGCAGTATTGTACTAGCGATTTTATCCGATTGAGTAATGAGCTATATTAAAGTTATTATTGAAATTAAAATTACGAATGGATATGGTAGTCAAAGGAGAATATCTTGACTGAACAGATATACTGGATAATCATTGATAATATATAATTACAATTAATAATTCGCACAAAGTGATCAAGCCGATCAGTGAAATTGATCAGAAAGTGAGCACTGATCAAACCAATCAGTGAAATTGATCAGAAAGTGAGCACTGATCAAACCAATCAGTGAAATTGATCAGAAAGCGAACACTGATCAAGCCAATCAGTGAAATTGATCAGAAAGTGAGCACTAAGCACTGATCAAGCCAATCAGTGAAATTGATCAGAAAGTGAACACTGATCAAGCCAATCAATGAAATTGATCAGAAAGTGATCACTGATTCTAAAATTATACTTATCGATCAATCGTCAATGATCATTGATCCTATTCGTTGTGATTATGCTTCCAAGATTGTTGTGGATACAAAAGTAGAAAGTTACGACCATTGATCCGACACCGTGTCATGACGAATTAGTAGTGCATGGATTTAGCCATCATTTCTATTAATAACAAACACTGCGATTCATCTTTCTCAGGTTTGTACTCACCTTAAAGTAACCACCTTCGTACAACGTGTCTGGGGGACCGAAAATTGCCACATCCCAATCGAATAGATTGGATTCATCCACTAAGCCAACCACACAACCTTCTAAGGGTTCATTGGTCAGCTTGTTCAATTCTTGAGCTAGGGCACGTAATGCTGGAGTAGTCTGATTAGACATGGCTTCCCGTAAACTTTATTTCATTGATTAGTAGGATAACCTTTTAAAATGTTGACCATTCAAAGTGCACCTTCTCAATGACGAAAATACACCGACGAAAGTCTACGTCTAGCATTCAGTACAGTAGTTCTGTACACAATCTGGATCAATTTTGGCAGGATTGATCGGGGCGTCAAATATCTTTTGCCAAATGAATTCGTACAGTACAGGACACCAATACCAGATAGGAAGGGGAATTTACCGTTGAAACCTGTTTATTATTAATCTACTTCATTTAACTAATGAAGTATGGACGCGTTTTGACAACACTGCACTCAATATACCACCAACACATCCACTGCAAGAGCTAAAATTTCGCCATCAGACTGCTCGGTGATTATTACTAGCCTCTAACACTGGCTTTGAAAGCGAAATGGACAGCAGTAAATAAAGGACTGCTGAAATGGATGCCGCCGATGCGCAGAGCAGTATTGGCCGCGATGTACTGTACTACAGTACTTTCACTGTATTTCTCCCCCATAGTGTACAGTACTGTACAGTACAGTACTGTACTGTACACAGTATGGGCCCTAGTAGGCGATACTGGTACAGTCCAGTACGACCGTAATCTAGTATCCAGTGGCGTCCAGGCGATAAAAGAAAGAAAATCATCGAGAATGGCCCCCCTAGAATAAGACCCACATATCGACAAATTGAACCGTATACTGTATCAGGGACTGCTAAAGTAAATAGAAAGAGAACTTTTTAGGATACTCGTTAGGGTAGGGGTGACAACTTTTTATGCAAGAGGTACAATTTGGATGGAGTAGTCCGTCCCTTCATACTAAATGCAGTTCTAAAAAGAGACGCGAATGGAGATGACTGAATCATGATCTGATCAGTACTGTACAGTATAGTAATGCACTGTAAGAATGGCATCAAAGAAAGAAGGCACAGTGCATGGTACTGTAAAGCGTACAGTACTATGCACTGTGACCAAAATTGCTGATTAAACGGGACTACAGCATTTCTTTTTCAGTTTCCGCTTATACGCTTGCGCACTCATGCCATTCTGCACAACGCTTGTGCCAGCGCTACTCGAACATTCGGAAAGATGGTTAGTGCCAAGAAAATAGAAAAGCGAGAAAGCTTTAGACATTTTAAAATGATTCTTTACGTTGACTATTGATGTAGTTTGTCATATTCATACAGTCCTTTCAACCTTTCTTATTATCTATTTTAGTCGCGTCGATATGATACCAAAACAACTACATTTTCTCCTGAAGGTAAGTTTGTCCACATCCAGTGTAGTGTCGTTGTGCTAGAATTTTCGCTACAGTGGAAGACATGAAATGAACTAAAATTAATCTTGATTAAATGGCATTTGAATGCTCTGTTTAGTTAATGACACAGTGATTCGATGTATGATAATGAGAATAGATCCTAAATGACTATCGTGATTTTATCAGATGTAACGCTGTAAAGTTGCTTGTACTCATGATATAATTGACCCATAATACGGTATAACGAAGGATAATGCAGTATAAAGTGCCGTATCGATCATAATGGAAAGTCGTCCATAAAATGCTCGCTTCCTTAAGAAGTCACTGTATTGGACTACAGTAATAAATTACAATGACGACTTTTTTCGTCAATTTCGAACGAATATGTACTTGTGGAAAATTATGATAATTCTTGAGCTGATGAAATTATTTGTATCGGTATAGGACGGCTGTATCAAGTCGAATATGCCATGGAGGCAATTGGCTTGGCAGGAACGTGCTTTGGAATACTTGCTGAAGATGGTATTGTGCTTGGTGCGGAGAGAAAGATTACTAATAAACTACTAGATGAAATACCCTTCTCGGATAAAATTTACAAGATTAACGAGTTAGTCCATTTATATACTTCTCTCTCGCTTCTAAACTACCATGCAAGGACTCGTATCGATAATATTCTCTTACGAAACTGTAGGAATATGGCCTGTAGTGTTGCTGGAATCACTTCAGATGCAAACGTTCTCATAAACGAATTACGACTCATCGCTCAAAGGTTGCTTCTTGATCTATCTACCTTATCTTAAAAAAATTTTCAAACTGTTATAAACATACCCAATTGTTATAATCATGGTCTCAAAATTCAATCGTACTGTTTGCTACTAATGTAGTGGTTGACATCTATTCATATTGGTTTGTGATATTGAATAGGTATTTGCTTAATTATCAAGAACCGATACCTTGTGAGCAATTGGTTAGTCATTTATGCGATATTAAGCAAGCCTATACCCAGTTTGGTGGTAAGAGGCCCTTTGGAGTTTCTCTTCTCTATATAGGATGGGATAGACATTATGGATTTCAGTTATATCATAGTGACCCTAGTGGAAACTACGGCGGCTGGAAGGCTAATTGCATTGGCAACAATAACTCAGTGAGTAGATGCGCTTATTAATTGTACTAGGCATGGTCATTTCGCTTGAGAATGAAATTTTTTCGTTGTTGTTATCAGGCGGCCATGGCTATCTTGAAGCAGGAATACAAAGAGGATATTAAGATTGACGATGCCTTGAGTTTATCCATGAAAGTGTTACATAAAACTCTAGACGTATCTAAATTAAGTCCGGAAAAAGGTAAGCCTATATGTAAGCCTAGATAAGATGAGACTGTAAGTTGTAGGCTCTACTAACTTTCTTCTTTACCCTATTGTTTGCTCTACTAGTTGAAATGGCTACATTAACTAGGAAAAACGGAAAGACTGTTATACGTGTGTTAAGTAATGAGGAATTAAATAAATTAATTGAAGATTACGAGACAAAGCTTAAGGCTGCCGAAGAAGCTAAGGAAAAGGAAAAGAGTAAAAAGCCAAGTTCGTAATGCATCTCCGGAGATGGTGAAAGAGTATGGTTTCATTTTTTATCTGTATGGCATGATCTACACTTGCACTGATGTATGCTGTGTATATATATATATGGCGCCGTTAGAGTAATAAAGTACTATACCGTAGGTATACTATTCAGTATTAATAATGACAATGATAAGTATTGATTTTAACATTAACTATTCCTTTTCATACATATACTGTATGTACTTTTGAAAGTTTCGTTGTTATTTTGGACTTGTCCATATTTATATCCAATAAATATACATTATAACAAAATTGAATCTTTAATAGCGGCAGGATCTTTGAAATAAGACAATGTTTAAATTGATAGAATGCTGATTGCAGCCATCGTTAGTATCCGTGCGATATCCAGCTTACACAACACGTAGTTCAATATTACTATTCGTATATACGCATAGTGTATTTATATTGGAGATCAGATCTGATTCTATTGAAAGTATTTCGTATGCCGCTGTTCATCACGACTTACTTTGTTTGCATTGGTGGTTTGTACGAGGGATTACACTGGACTGATTATTCACTGTCCTTGGAAGATTGACATTCTACGGGTATGTGTTATGAATGGTTACAAATAACTTACACTTTTAGCTTGTTATGGTTAAAGGTTGTTGTTGTGTTCGTGGCGTCATTTTGATGTACTTGTACAGTAGATATGAATGATACAACGAGATGGCCAAACTTTAATGTAAGAGTTGTATGCGATAAACTTGAGCTACTGTATTCGGCGATCCGCAAGACGCGAACTCGAATTCGCATCCGTGTTTTTGTTGCACTCACCTTAGTTTCATAAAGTAAACATTGAAGATCAATGAGTCTAGGTTAACTTTCCCTATTTAAAAACGAAACAAGTGATGGACTACTGCCTAGTATGAGTATTCTGATTCTCTTTAGCAATAAAGACCTGCCCTCAGACCTCCATGCTGATAATAACGACACCATTTTCCTGAAGCACTATTGGAAAGATATTTGGATTGAATGGAATCTTTGGTTACAGCTGGAACATTTCTATCTGTTACACTACAGTATACTAGACATTAACTCTTTCCATAGCATGCTCCAGCAGTGAAAATATTACTGGAACTACTTCGTGTTCATGGTATAGGGTATTTATCCTGGCCATCTATTATATCAATTCAAGCGAAAAATGATGCAGCAGTGCTGGTGATCATCTACGTAGATATTCAATTTATGAACTTCAAATAGTAAATTAGGGGAAAATGAAAACTACAGTTGATACTCTGATTGATCCAGTGCAGTAATTATACTGTACACGAGTAATAATTATGTAAAGTGAAGGAGATTACACGTATAAATGCCTTTTAGCCTAAGCCCTCTAAAGGAGTCTGTATGGGGGCTTCACCATGGACTACTCAAAGAAGACCGGCCTTATTTAGTAGCCTATAGCTTTATATGACTATATTGAACAATATACCAGAAAGAGAGGGATGCAAAGTAGTTGCTAAATAAATTGTTGAGGCCTATCGTTTCTCTGCTCGTTCTGCTCTGTTAACTAAAAAAGCTGGTAGTTAATTTATCATCGACAGTACAGCGTTCGATGCAGATATACAGTACAGTTCCTGCCCTTTTTTAGTGGTCAGACTTAAACTGTTTACAGTTAGGTCGAGCCACTGAATGGTACTGAGATGCAACTGAATCATTATGCTACTGTAGTGGTTTAAACTAAAACTGTTTACGGTTAGGTCGAGCCACCGAATTGTACTAAGATACAACTGAATTATGACGCTACTAGGGTGTACAACTTCTTTAGCTACAATATCATTTTCAGTACAGTTCCTGTCCTTATTAGTGGTTTGAACTAAAACTATTTACGATTAGGCCGAGCCACTGAATGGTACTGGAACTGAATCATTATGCTACTGGGGTAGTTAATTTATCATCGACAGTACAGCCTGCCATGCAGATATACTGTACAGTACAGTTCTTGTCCTTTTTAGTGTTTTTTTTTAAAGTAAAACCATTTACAGTTAGGTCGAGCCACTGAATGGTACTGAGATGCAAGTGAATTATTGTGCTACTGGGGTGTACAACTTGTTAAGCTACAATATCATTTTCGATACGGTTTAGTAGCTATAAAATGGATGGAAATCGTCAAGAATATACTGTTGATCCTCCAAGACTGATATATGGTATATCAAAATACCGTACTTCATGTTCTACAAACATGTAGCTACAGTGATCTGTATTGCAGGAGTCGGATATTACTGTTTGATCCGTCTTAGAGAAGTTCCTGGTATGACAGTAGAATGGCTTGATATCAACTTGCGTGAGTATAGCACTGTACTGTATAAGTTGACGAATAATTGTGCGGCCGACATGAAAAGTTTGTCTGCAATTTGGCTTAAATCATGGACTGCTAGAAGTCTAGGAGTCCATGCTTCAACTAACGTCTAGTTATGAACGCTAGCAAAGCATTCCCTTCCACCTAGACCTAAGATCGGTTCGGTTCGGTTCGCTGCCTTTACGATCTATATGAGTTCTGCGCATGGAAAGTCATTGATTCACGCTCGCACCAAGGTTGTATCGACCTAGCGCTACAACTGCAAGTGAGATGACGTCTAGTCATGTCAACTCGTGACCACGATCTGGACGAACAACACAACACTGCTCGTGACCTTCATGTGGAGTGACAGTAGGTGCAGGTGACACTCTGCATTATACCTGGGCTTTGTTTCCGTACAATACCCGCCAAGTGTACAGTACTGTACTGTACCGTACAAGCGTACCGGACCGGACCGCACCGTCAAGGCGATTGCATCACAAAAGGGACATTGCCCATTGGGTCACTCCATCGGTCCAGCCCATAGCCTTGTAATATGTGCTACCGGTACTGGTGTTACTCGTCTAAAATAATAGTAGACCTGTACCGGTACGGGACTGGTTGAAATTACTATGGCAACTGGGCACTCAGTAGCCGGCAGAGAGCAATTTCTTCCTTTCAATTTTGGGCCAAATTCTTTTATGACATAGGAAAGGTTCAATGATTTCCATCTCTTAACACAAGAAGACGCTTAGGAAGGGCTGGATTAAGGCAATTTGAACGTTGAAATCTTATTCTCGTGTCTATTTATTGGATAGAAGCACAAGTTGAACTGACGACAATTGCCAAAGCGACCTTCCGATTGACAGCAATTTGGATTCTAAATGATTCTAATTTGTAGACGGGGATCAAGTTGACAAGTTGACGCCTTCCGTTTATGTAGATTATTTTTCCCCCAATTTGTACAGTGATTATTCTGTATTAGGTCTAAATTCTTTCCATGACAGTTATCTTTTACTGTAGTTATCCTTAATAAGGTATTAGTACACTGATCCACCCACTTCCGATTGTACGTGGATTGCCTTTCTATAAACTAATCTTTCATGAAACTGAACTGTTAGTAACTATTAAGAAAAGCTCCATAGAGAATGATGATATAAAGAGAGTATTTTATACGACTACAGACAGTACTGATTGAAAAAACTATCATCAAAAACGAATTCGCCTCAATCCTTACACGGAACATTGATTGGATTTGAAGTGGCCGTTGATCACTCCATTGTAGTCAAATCCGATGCTTACAAGTCAACTTTATACTGTGTAAAGTCCTGCGGTGTGTGCGTGCCTTTCTAACTTGTAGACAATTTTTCTCGACTATCAAGTGTAATATACTCTAGTAGTCTACTGCGTCTTGAAGGCTGCTAAAATTAAATCATTTGTACAGGGAAATTTAACAATTTCCCTATATTATAACTGTGGCGTATTTTAGTATTCAATCAGCACTAAATGCTTCATTAAAGTCTGTATTGTTTTATCATTACCAATTCTGTTGATATTCCTACTGTTTATATTGATCGAAAGAGATTTCCGAAAAAATTATTTTTACAGGGAACTACCAATTCTCGACAGTATTGTTTTGACTAGAAATCAATTTTATCACCACTGTATTTGTCTTGCTCTATTTCTAATACCTGCGTACGACTAAGTTGATGCACTGTACTCTCAACTCCATCACCCAATTTTGGACTTGATTAGCTGGGCTACCGAATTTTTATCAACGTGCAATCTGGTTCATTATTACAAGATTTTAACCTCTACGGCAATCGATTCACATCATCTCAAGCCATTATCGCCTTATCGCCGTTATTAGCCATACTATAAGCTGAACAATTATTTACTATGGCGACGATAAATGAAGGTAAAATTAGATCCAAAAATTCATATCAAAGTAAATTAGACTGCCGTCAACGTTTCTCCTTTGGAGTGGGCCATGTCTTAAATGATTTATGTGCCTCTATGTGGTTTTCCTATTTGCTAGTATATATGCATTCTGTCATCGGTTTTTCTCATATACATGCTGGTATATTAATGCTCATTGGACAAGTTGCTGATGGAATTTGTACACCTATTATTGGCTACGAATCGGATAGAACTGCAGATAAATGTTATTATGGTAGACGTAAGAGTTGGCATCTACTTGGCGTTTGCTGTGTCATAGTTTCTTATGCTTTCGTTTTCAACAAGTGTTTTGTCTGTTCTGCGGTAACAGCATGGCCGCTATTAATCTATTATACACCATTTGTTATCCTCTTTCAATTTGGTTGGGCAGCGACACAGATATCTCATCTCTCTCTAATTCCCGAATTAACTGATGATGAAAATGAGAGAGTCGGCCTCAATGCAATAAGGTAAGATAAAAATAGTGCTATTTGAAAATGGATCTTGAATTATTTACAGTAGATATCTAATGCTAGGAATCACCCTATTAAGCTAAAAGATAGTGTAAAAAACTTTTATTGCTATACGTTACTAAATAGAAGATTCAAAGGATCAAGTAAAATCCACGTACTCTTATGCATGGAGACTAGTAACCTTTACCTATCTACAAAAGTACATTGGTGGAATAATATTCAATACTAGACAGTAGATGTCAATATTTGTTCAATACTTGGTTTTATATGTTAGTCATCTTGTACGCCATTTTCATGTCAGCACGTATCTTGCTACATCCATTTGTTAGAGGAAAATTGTTGTAAAATATTCAACTTTGTAACAGTTTGTAGTGACTTCGAATTCTGTACTTTAAAAAGAGTTGCTTCAAACTAACCTTATTAACGGTATGAATGAGCTGCTAACTGAACGTTCTGTTCCTTCTTGATTGAGATTCAATCTTCCCACCGTAATCAATCTACCAATCTTGTAAGATATACGTTTCATGTCGAGATGCTTATTTTTTCGTTATATACTTTAATTGTAATGCAGGTATGCTTTTACTGTAATCTCCAACATCTACGTCTATCTTGTTGCTTTCATGCTGCTGAGATTCCATGGCGGCAAATATCGGTCTACAATCTCTCCAGCTGATGCTGCAAACTTCTCGGTAAGGTGGCTATAGTTTCATTTTAAGCATAGAGGCGATCCCCATTTTTATACGGGACTTGCATAATTTAGTGAAACGGAAAAATATCATATTATAATTCAACCGATTTATACGCACAACAGCAAATTCATAACTAGATGAATCATTAGATTTCTAAAAATAGAATTGTTTTACCTATCTTTTGTGATTAGATTACAAGTAAGAGGGTCATGTATTAGATCAATAGTTACAAAATTCATCATTGGTACAGTTAAACATCAAAATAGCATAATACTATTAGTTAATATATTTCATTTGTCATAAAGAGTAACTATTGTCGTGACCAGCAGAAATGACATATTCTATATGGCTATGTAATTTTTAAGGTATAGTTAAATTTGCTACAGGATACCAACTCTGACAATCTCTGTAGGTAATAAGCGTTTAAAAGTAGTATACACCTTATTTAATGTCTATTAATTGCACAATACAATACTTAAAAACTTCATTGTATTTTTGTTTCATTTATCAGTAGCTGTCTCCTGCGGGCAATATCTATTGCCAATCAATTACAATTCAATAATCCTAATTATCGTTATTTTTGGATTTGATTAATATGTTCCTTCCTTAATTTTGACGTCTTTTCATCTGTAGTACTTGGTAGGGTCAGTCCTTGGTATCGGTTTAATAGCCGCTATTATCTTTCATGTTGGCACTAAAGAAAAGCGTCAACATGAAATCAATTGCCGAACTACGCAAGAACGGTATAAGAAAAAGACCTGGATAGATTGGTTGAAATCTTCATTATTCTACCGGGTAAGCTAACTACGGTATATAGTAGTAGCGAATAATTAGAATGTTATACAAGTTCTACGTATCATATGCTAGCTATAATTGATAATTAAGCTATTAAAATAGAATTTAAAACTGCTTATCTGTTTTTAATTTTTTTGGATAATGATGCTTTAAATTGTTATAGTACATCTTTAAATAGCTATCATTAGTAATATCATCAAAACTAAAATCATGTTATTCTTGTTTTAGCATCGTTGTAATGTAAAACTAAGAGCTAAAAGTTCTATTCATTATTATTTAGGTTGCCGTACTATATATGTGTAGCCGTTTAATTGTCAACATAACTCAAGTATATATTCCACTTTATGTCATAAAAACTCTTCATTTACATAAGGTAAATAGTATTTTAGTATAACTGCTTTCTCTGATTGATACTAAAAATTTACTATGTTTATGCTATTTTATTCTAGCTCCTGCTTCTAACTTTCATTCTCTCAAATATAAATTTCTTATAGATGCATATCGCTTTAGTACCACTCACAGTCTACGTCAGCGGTTTTCTTGTCAGCTTAGTATTGAAACCTATCAACTACCATCTCGGTCGCAAAATTACATTTTTCTTAGCTTTGGTGATGTGTGGCGGCTTCTGGTAAGTTTTGGGGATTCAAGAAATGTTTTATTTGAATTAGCACGATCATTTTACCTTTTATTCGATTCATATACTATATAATCTCTTGTAGTTGCTGTATTTATCTACTACCAGCATCCCATGCTTACGTTGTGTACGCAGGAGCGACAATGTTAGGCGTTGGCGGCACGTCACTTTTGGTTACCGTGTTGTCCATGACAGCAGATTTAATTTCCAAAAATGTCGTGAGTATTTTAGTTTTTTTTGATACCATTCATCAGTACTGATTCGAACAAAATAAACGATTTATTTATTTAAACATTGCCTGTTTGGCTATAGGAAAGTGGTGCATTCGTTTATGGTGCCATGAGTTTTACCGATAAATTATCTAATGGCATTGCAGTAATAATCATACAATCAATACACCCTTGTGCTCACATGTTTGCAAAGTAAGGCTTATATTTAGTGATGATGCTGTATATGCGTAGCTGAAAAATTTCTTAAAACAAATGTTTTCTTATACCTTGCTTAGAGATAACTGTGCTAATTCGGCGGCCTATTATCGAAGTGTGCTCACTTATGTTCCTGGAGGAGCAGCAGCTGTTGCCTTTTTATGCTTATGTACTATGATGTACACCAAGATGCCTTCAACTACTGACGGTTAGTCAAAGGATAATATATATATCTATAAGTCATTCATTTTAAATTAAAAACTCATTCCTTATGCAATTCTCTGCAGATTTGATAGCCTACGATGATGGAGACAATGTTCGTACGAATCCGCGATCGGCCGGCATTAACGATCCAATTATGATAAATGATGATCTCTTAGAAGAAGCGAGACCACTCGTCTTTTAGGCAAAGCTTATCACCGTTTTAATTCTATGACAAGAATTTTATAGTAGTGCCAGACATAAGGTTAACATTACTAGATGTTCAGTAATTAAAGCAGAAGTTGCAATAAACGAATCAAGATTTTTCTAGCTAAAGGTTGTGCTTCAGCACAGACAGAACTGCAAATTAAATGCAGAGCATTCTTAATTTTACACCATTTCAACTTAAAAAAGGTCATCATAGTCTAACTTTCATTTATTAGGTTATACAAGGTTTCTGAGATGATTAAAAAATGATTGTTATATAGAAAATTTTAAAATGATTATGAAAATTATTTTATGAGCTGAAAGCCGATACGTGATATATATGTAAGGATGTACTCATGCATCGTTTTAAGTGTTGTGCAATTGTGCATTTGTATAGTGAGCAATGATGCTTCTTATTACAATGTATTTGAGCTAAACTTATTTTGTTTTACCCTATAGATTATATTACTAAGAATTGCATTCGAATAACATAACGATTACTTTCTAAACTTCCATAAAATAGTTTATTCTGGAGAGAATGATGCGCATAGCGCTCAATTTATTCAAAAATAAAAAAAAAATAACACGTATTATATCTACCAATACCATAGAATGCTATATCGCTTTTCTACAAAGTTGCATTATATCTATGGCTATTTTTGTGTTGTATCTGATAAGAAACTTTAAATAAATAAATAACAATTTCTCCGTATCTTCTTAGTTACTGCATATCTGCGTAGTGTGCATGTTCACTTGCATAGTTCTAACATCTTCAGCGTACGCTTATTTAGCTAGAAAGATTGATTCTATACGGCTAATACTCGATGCAGCAGGCAATTACAGTACCCATAAATACGCTAAATTAATTACAAACGATCTCTAGTTGTAATGTTTCCGATCCAAACAGGTTTAATCGCAACGTCAATAAATACTGTTTATAAAACTAGCAGTAAATAGTAGTCGCTCCGACTCCAAACAATGCGTCCCATGGTCCGCATATCCGATACTCGCAGCTTTTCTTTAGGCAAAACCCCTACCACAATAGTTGGTTGGATGCCCAGAAGACCTTCGTATCTCTAGCTTTGCAGACTCATAATTGCAAAGAATGGCTGATCATCACCTTCTATATGAGCAAATTTGTCAGGCTTACGAAAGAATTAAAGAGTTTATACGTTGTACTCCATTAGAGCGATCGTATCCGTTAACAGAAGGCACTTCTGGCCAAGTATTCATTAAATTAGGTACTAATGTTGATCTTATTTATATAATCATCTCTTAATGTTCAAGTTGATACATACTGGATAGCATTAGTATCCGATTTTGCATATGCTCCCACAACTTATAGACCACTGGATATTCATACATAGCGGTATAACTGAGTATATTATGGTTTAGCAGTAGCTACATGATTAATATTGATAAATGATGACAGCCTATAACAGGATTTTATGCATGGCTTGATAAAGTATGAATGTGCAATCTCTGCTATTAAGGCGAGATTACAAAAAGAAAGGCTGTTAATGTACGCCTATATCTTGCATCTTGTAGAATACTGTACATTTGTTTTATATCAGCATTTCTTGTTAATAGAGGGCGTGATCATTTTTAAAAATCTACCATTAAGATACTTGTATAACCAAAAGGAGTTTGTTGTCTAAAGCTGTTAAGGTCAATATACCTCTTACTCCTGCAATAAAAATATCTCAAGATGGAGTCATTCAAGTTTAGAAATTGTAATTTAATAGTAGTATCCGCATTAAATACATTAGATATTTTATACTTTTGATTCATGGCCAAGGATAATTCTTTGCTGCTATCAAATTGTTCTACAATCATTTCAAATGATCTCCATGTCTAAATTCACATAGCTTTTATACGTAAACATGTTTAAGTTGCATAGAATTGTCACTTTAAACAGAATGATTTCATACAACTGCCACTGTTCATTCTTAGAAAGTGAACAACTAACTGGTGCTTTTAAAATCCGCGGAGCGTTCAATAAATGTATGCTTCTAAAAGAGCGAGCAGCTGCTTCTGGACAGCAAGTACAAGTTGTTACTGCTTCGACCGGAAATCATGCGATGGCATGTGTAAGTATATTCAAATTTGATCAGATAGATAATACCTTCAAATGACGACTTCACAACTAATAATGAGAACTTAAATGACAATTTAAATTATATTATTTCCTGAATGATCTTAAATTATGAATATTTTTACACCATTAATGGAAAAAACTTTTAGTTCCTTGAAACTAAAGCATGCACTCTGTTACAGCAGACTTTTTAATTCATCCGATCCAATGGTGTATCAATTTTAGAGATTTTAAACTCGATGAACATTTGCTAATTATGGAATAATTAGTGAATTAATAAATTATTACTAATAACTCCTTAGACTATAGCTATGAAGACAACGCAGATATCTGGCAAGATTTTCGTACCAAATAATGCTAGCCAAGCAAAATTGAGAATGATCAATTTGATGGGAGGATCTGTTCACCATTACGGTGATGACTGTTTTGAGACAGAGAAACGGGCACGTCAAGAGGCATTGGATAATAATTCGATCTATATTTCGCCTTATAATGATTTAGAAATAGTAGCAGGTCAAGGAACGATAGGGTAATGAATAAATTATAATTTATTTATAATATCTATATGCTTCAGTATACGCATATCAATATTAAAATAATGAGTAAGTAATAGACATCATTTATTATAGAGTGGAAATTCTTAAGCAGCTACCGGAAGTGGATGTTGTTATGGGTTGTGTTGGAGGTGGTGGAATGCTGGGAGGTATTTCTGCTTATTTAAAAGCAGCTAAGCCTTCTATAAAGGTTGCTATTATTGAAAAGGGTTGAATATTGCATAAAACGTAGAGTAATCTACGATTAAAGTAAAACTAATTATTAAAAGATATGTATGATAGGCATCTATGAGGACTTGTTGCATTAAATTTTGCAGATTATTGGTTGTTCTCCAGCAAATTCTGCCGCTATGTACCATTCGATCCGAGCTGGGAAAGTCATAGATATTGAGAATAAAGAAACATTATCCGATGGATCTGCTGGCTCTATTGAAGAAGAAGCGGTGAGCTAAATTTTCTTGAAGTTGTAATTATAGCTTTTTCCAGGATTGTATTACACAAATCGATTTGCAGTCAAACTTTACGATGATCGTAACTGAGTTCTTTTCAGCTGCTGTTTTATGAGCCATATAAAATTTTTATATAGGTTACTTTTGAGATATGTAGAAAATATATTGATGAATGGGTGTTGGTGACTGAAGAAGAAATTGCTGATGCTATATATTTTATGATGGAACAACATCATAAGGTACTGACATTCCTAAGACTGTCTATGCTTTGACTTTGAACTCATTTATAAGTGCCATTTATATTCTTTAGATTATTGAAGGCTCTGCAGGCGTTCCTATTGCCGCTTATTGTAAAATGAAAGAGCGTTGGATAAAATGAAAGTAGTAATAATTGCATGTGGCGGCAATATCAACATGTCGATACTGAATAAAATTATATTTTCGAAGAATAATTCATAATAAGCATTCAATCAGTACTCTAATCCATTCTAAAATATTAACAATTTTCCGTTAAAAAGAAACAAGAAAAAAACTTCAAATCAAGCATCATTGGCGGACGAGTTATTCGTAATGATGGATACAGCATCTTTGTGTTTATCGACTTTTATTTAATGTTATAGCAAGACAAACAACTTTACATGTCATTTTCATCTTATCAACTATTAATCAAGTATTTTTACGAAAAAAAACTAGTAAATTACGACTAAAATTGATATGTGTGTAATATATTGTTAAAATGATTTCATTATTAAAAATTATCTTCATCAGCTTTTGACTTATTGAGTTCTTCAAATCGTTCAATAACTTTAACAATTGTTTGTTCGCCATAAACTTGGTTATTTCTGGAGCGCACGTTGACGCTTTTATTTTCGCACTCCTTCTGTCCTACAACTACGAAAATTTTGTGCAATTTTATCAGATAATGGAAGATCTAGGTTTTAATAGCATCATCAGTACTAACCCATGCTGAAATTGTATTGAGCTAATTGAGCATTCCTAACTTTCTTATTCATAGTATCACCAGGTGCCAAATCCACATCAACATAAAAACCGGCACTGTGTAACTGATCACGAACCTGTAAAATATTATAAACAATTAACCCGATATATAGTTTTTGGTTTTTGCCAATAGCAAGACAGTGATGCTGTACTGATTGGCATGGTGTTGCAAATTAAATATTTAATTTGATGTACTTGAAGTGCGTATTCGTCGAACTTCGCAGCCACAGGAATGACCATAGCTTGCCTTGGTGAAAGCCAAAACGGCCATTTACCAGCGAAATTCTCACATAGAACAGCTATCATTCGTTCGACTGACCCTAAGATAGCTCTGTGTATGATAACGGGTCGCAATGTATCGTCGCCATTCTTCCTGTAATCAGTAATGAAACAATTTATGATAGCTAAAATTTAGAAAACCAGAAGAATATTGTTCAATCAATTTAAGAAAGTATGTATTCAACATCCAAAAATCAGTTACAAAGTATTACCCAACATAGGTCAGATTAAATCGTGTCGGCAACTGAAAGTCAAGCTGAATCGTAGCACATTGATGAGGTCTACGTAGTGCATCCAAGACTTGAATATCGATCTATATATCATAAATATTGCAATTACGCACAGCAACATGCCAAGAAGTGAGCATTAGACTATACCCGGAGGATTATAATCTCTTATAACTTTACTGTTGAGTTCATATACCTTAGGACCATAAAATGCACCATCCTTCTCTTTTAAACCCCACTTTAAGCCAAATTCATCTAAACTTTCTCGAAGTTGTTGCTCTGCTCTATCCCAAGTTGCGATTTCACCCATAAATTCATCAGGTCGGGTCGACAAGAAAAGTTTCAATTGGAAACCAAGCGTGTCGTAGATGTACTTTAAGAAATCTAGGCAGCCCTTAATCTCATCTTTCACCTGGTATAGAAATGAGCAATTTATTGCAGGAAATTAACTTCTTTTCGTTTAAAATATTAACAGGAATTACCAGTATTATATAGATTAAAAATTTCTTACTTGATCATCACGACAGAAAATATGAGCATCATCTTGTTGAAAACGTCTAACTCTTGTCAATCCTGACAAAGTACCAGAGAGTTCATTACGATGAAGGACACCAAATTCAGCATAGCGAAGAGGTAGCTCGCGCCAAGATCTTGGTCGATGTGAGAACATAACACTAAGACGTGTTGATAATTATATAATTAGATATAAATTTGCTGGCTAATTTTTTTGTAAATTTAATTTCATATGATAACATCATTCCATACCAATGGCCAGGGCAGTTCATTGGCTTTAAGCCAAATTGGTCTTTTTCAACGTCAAAGGTAAACATGTCATCCTAAGATTACACGAATACAAGTTAACAATGCTAGGCTGTAGATATAGCATTATTGATGGGTTAGTCTAGAAGGTCGATTTGCAACTCTTTACTGACTTTGTAATGTTGCCAGTGTCCCGATGTCATCCATAATTTACTGCTATAAATATTTGGAGATAAAACTTCGTGAAATCCTCTTTTGCGGTACTGATCCTAGAATATAGTATATAGCTATTACTATTAACAACTTTAGCAACATTGCTAAATAATTAATAAGGGTTTTTACCCTCATTAATTGCATTAAAATTCCATATATATGAGCACCACGGGGTAAGAAGAAGCAGCTACCAGGCGAAAGTTCACTAAAGAAGAATAATTCTTGATCCTAGTCAGTTAAAAATAATAGCCCAAGATACCTTCAATAAATGCTAACCATAAATTATTACAAGTTTAACGTGTAAAGAGTTTTGATAATATTTTTGGTGGCTGAGTATACACACCCTGCCAATTTTTCGATGGTCTCGTTTTGCGGCTTCTTCCTGAAATTTTTTCCATTCTTTCATCTGTAGACATAGATACATACGAATTTAAAAATTTTAGAATTGTAATACAACAACAATATAATTGTTTATTATAACAATATCAATCAATTATGATACTTTTCAAATTTTTTAAATACGTACTTGCTTGCTATCTGGAAATGATATTCCGTAGACTCTTTGCAGGCTTTCAGCTTCGCAATTACCTTCCCAATAACTGGAAGAATTCTATGTGAATAAAGACGGCTAGTTTACATTTATGAAAAACACATCTGCTATGAATATGTTATACTCCAGTCACAATGTACCTTAGTCAATGTCATGGCTTTAATTTTACCGGTGTGCCTTACATGAGGGCCACGACATAAATCGATTAATGGACCGCACCTGAAGAAAGAATTCAATTTATTAGGGTATTAGTAGTAATTTCTAAGCTATGCATCATTTATTATTTCCAACAGATATGTCTGGCTACCTGTAAACAGTGGTGGTTGGCGTTTTTACTCTTTCTTCTAGAATTCTGACCTTGAACTTATTATACTAGAAAAAGAGATATTCATGCATGTCCATTGAATCTATGTTACACTATTGACAATTTGATTTTATACAGTTTCAGATCGTTTTCTACCTTGAACATTTCAAGTAAATCTTCTTTCTTCATTTCCAACTTCACGAATGGCTGCTTGTCTTTCAAAATCGCTTTGACGATAGTGTCTAATTTTTCGAAATCGTTACCGGATACTTGACTAGAAATTAACCATTTAAAGGTTTAGTTGTTGTACATGCTGATGAAGATACCATGAAATGTGTTACCATCAACTAAAGGATAACTAGGTTTATATACTTTTTTTCTATAAACATATCGTAGTAGAATCCTTCAGCAATCGGTGGTCCATAGCACAGACATCCACCAAAATATCTCTCCATAGCTTCACCCAAGATATGCGCACTGGAATGCCAGTATACTTTTTGAGCTATTATATAGTGATGTTGAACAAAGATATAAATTAAAAATCATGCGAAAGAAAAGTAGCTTCGTAATTTCACATTGACCTTCTTCATTATCAAATTTTAGTAATTCTAAAGTACAATCTTCAGTTAACGCTTCATCCAGGTCTTTAATAACGCCATTGACCTAAAATTTAAGACAACAATGATAATGTAATTAAAATAAAGAATAGGTAAAATTATTTACCGATTGAGTTAGTATTAATTGTTACAATATAGTAATTACCTTAGCCACTACGCAATTATCAGCAAGTCCTTGGCTATCAAAAGAGTATAATAAAAGTAGAATTGGTTAAGACAAGAATAGGCTATAGTTAACAATTTTTGTTTTACGTTAAAGAACAAAAAATGCCGATTACGAATAGGATTTATGTATACCACGCTTTATATACCTGATTGAAGCTGCAACTTTATAAGAGGTCGTTTTCCATGATTCACCTTCAACGACTTTACCATCCGGAAGGGTTATTTTAATAGGATGGGATTCTTTTGCTAGTTTATGATATTCACAATATGGAAAAATTACATGAATATTTGGAACCCAAGGTGGGTTTTATATTAATGATAAAAGAATGTAATTGTACATTGTAATGTGATTATCAAATGTTCTTTTAATGTTATCAAGATCAATAAGTGATTGATAACTTTTACTACCAACTTGTATATTCAACAGGTGCAGTAGAGTCTAAACAGTAATATATGTACGCGTCAGGTAGGCAAAATACTATCACCAGCATTAGAGTGGAAGTTCTTGCTTGCATACAGTATTAGTATTTCAGGCTAAGATAAATTACTGTACATAATAGTTAATATCTAATTTTACTATCGTATTACCTGCAATTTTCGCATCGTATTCGGCCTTGACTCGGTCAAAGATGTCAATTCTTTCCTGTATGTAAGCGGGCCACGGGTTTAACTAGAATTGTTTCAATAACAATGAAAAAGTTGATTTTAAAATCATAACACGTTGTTGTTGACCAAATCTGTCGACTTTCAGTCGTAGACTGGATTACCTCCACTAAATTAACTTTTGTCTAAGGTATCCTACTATACAGTACTCCTGTTACAAGATTCCATTTCAATGCCGATGTATAAGTAATTAATCACATAGAGCACTGGCATTTCATGCCACTTTGCTGAAGTTCAAAATTAGAGCGAGCAAAATCATGACTAAAGCATTGTACCGTTAAGATCACTAAGCTTCCATCAAAAGGTAATATTTCTTCAAGTACAGTAGTGCATAACTGAACGTAAGTAATGGTTTACGACTATACTTTAGTTGGCTGAATTGAGTGGTGTATTGAAGATATGATGACCTACTCGTAAGTATGACTGCTTGCTAGTCTGTCTGTAGAGTTATATACAGTAGTTATTGAATTCTTCTTACTTTAGTTGTACTTCATCAGAATGAACGTCTTGACTGCCTAAAATAGTTTTACTTTAGTTGTACTTGAAAGACAATTCATGTCTTGATTGCAGTGACTATGAATCTAATAACATACAGTAAGCTGCAGTGATTATTGACTACTCTTTTTCACTTTATTTGACTGAATTGAGTGATGTATTGAAGGTATGATGACATGAGCATGACTGCTTACTAGTCTGTCTATAGAGTAGTGTCGTAATTGAATTCTTCTTACTTTAGTTGTACTTCATCAGAATGAACATCTTGCCTGCCTAAAATAGTCTTACTGTAGTTGTACTTGAAAGATAATTGATATCTTGACTACTTTTCGACTGGTATCTAAGATACGAGTCTAATCACACAGACAATCAGCTAGGTTGCAGTAATTTTGACTACTTTTCTTGACTTTAGTTGATAGGATCGAGTGGTATATGGAAGATAGAATGATATGAGCATGACTGCTTACTACAGTAGTCTGTCTATAGAGTTGTGTCGTTATTGAATTCTTCTTACTTTAGTTGTACTTCATCAGAATGAACATCTTAACTGCCTAAAATAGTCTTACTGTAGTTGTACTTGAAAGATAATTGATATCTTGACTACTTTGAGACTGGTATCTAAGATACCAGTCTCATCACCCAGACAATCAGCTAGGCTGCAGTGATTTTGACTACTTTTCTTGACTTTAGTTGATAGGATCGAGTGGTATATGGAAGATAGAATGACATGAGCATGACTGCTTACTACAGTAGTCTGTCTATAGAGTTGTGTCGTTATTGAATTCTTCTTACTTTAGTTGTACTTCATCAGAATGAACATCTTAACTGCCTAAAATAGTCTTACTTTAGTTGTACTTGAAAGATAATTGATATCTTGACTACTTTGAGACTGGTATCTAAGATACCAGTCGAATCACCCAGACAATCAGCTAGGCTGCAGTGATTTTGACTACTTTTCTTGACTTTAGTTGATAGGATCGAGTGGTATATGGAAGATAGAATGATATGAGCATGACTGCTTACTACAGTAGTCTGTCTATAGAGTTGTGTCGTTATTGAATTCTTCTTACTTTAGTTGTACTTCATCAGAATGAACATCTTAACTGCCTAAAATAGTCTTACTGTAGTTGCACTTGAAAGATAATTGATATCTTGACTACTTTTCGACTGGTATCTAAGATACGAGTCTAATCACACAGACAATCAGCTAGGTTGCAGTAATTTTGACTACTTTTCTTGACTTTAGTTGATAGGATCGAGTGGTATATGGAAGATAGAATGATATGAGCATGACTGCTTACTACAGTAGTCTGTCTATAGAGTTGTGTCGTTATTGAATTCTTCTTACTTTAGTTGTACTTCATCAGAATGAACATCTTAACTGCCTAAAATAGTCTTACTGTAGTTGTACTTGAAAGATAATTGATATCTTGACTACTTTGAGACTGGTATCTAAGATACCAGTCTCATCACCCAGACAATCAGCTAGGCTGCAGTGATTTTGACTACTTTTCTTGACTTTAGTTGATAGGATCGAGTGGTATATGGAAGATAGAATGACATGAGCATGACTGCTTACTACAGTAGTCTGTCTATAGAGTTGTGTCGTTATTGAATTCTTCTTACTTTAGTTGTACTTCATCAGAATGAACATCTTAACTGCCTAAAATAGTCTTACTTTAGTTGTACTTGAAAGATAATTGATATCTT